CACTTCATCATTGTGTTTCGCTCCTGTCCTTTGCTGCCTGTCCTAATGGTAATTGCTACTTTACCTTGGGCACCTGCTAGGACTTTATGGATGCCGGCATATAAGATTAGAATATCATTATCCTATCGTAGAAGAGAAAAGTGAAACTTAGAAATTTATGTGACTTGCTGGTGGCAGAGCCAGAGTTCAGACAAGATCTGTTCATTTCTCAATCCAGCTGTCTTAACCTCTCTGCGCAATGCCTCCTGTTCTTCCTGGGCTCGCCCAGTGATCCCACTTCCTCTAAACGGTCTGACAGAGGATGACACTCTAAAACTGATTACAAGCAGACCTCCTGCCGAGCTAGATTCACTGAGATACTATCCCTGAGATGAATACTATCCCTGAGATAAGCAGTTCTACAGTGACTGCGCCCTGTGTCCTACCAAGAGGCTCACTGCTCACAGCCTACGTGTTTCTGTACTTCTGTTCCCTTCCTCTCATCTCACACTGCAGTAACTTTCATTTTGCGTTGACCTAGAATTTCTTCTTGTGGGAACTGAGTAACGCAGGTCAAGTGAACCCTCGACTGGGAAGGTGCACAGGGTGGAATGTTAATTATAGAGACCACGGGGCATGTGGGAGGTGTCATTAGAGCAAGAGACCTGTGGTGTCACCACCGGTCATCAGGAAGTTTCCAATTTAAGAGTGCTGATGCAATGGCCAAGCGCTGGGTCCTAGGAGGTTGGCGATCACTTATCCTCTTCATTTCACCCCTTTTCTTTAATGCCGCTTCAGATTAAAAGGAACCAGGTTCCTGAAGAAGTGATTCATTCCAGATCTGGGGCAAGAACTGTACAAAACGAGCCTGGAACATTTTGTCATGGCCAGAAAACAAGGAAGCTATCTATTCAAGGTCAATGGGGTCATGGCAAATGATACAGGCAGTGTACAGGCATGGAGGGGAGGGGCTGCCACTCTTCACAGAGGGGACAATTTGAACATCAAAAAGAGTCTTGACTGCAAAGGATTAAAATATGCTGCCTTGTTTCATACGGATCACTCTCTTAATGGAATATCATTCTGAGTTGCGGTGTTTAAGAATGCAGAGGATACAGGAAGCGCAGCTGGCCCTCATCATGTGGTAGCCATGCTCCGTGAAGTCGCGGGGAACGCTGACGTGGTGAGTGTGGAGCCATCGCTCCTACACGAAGCACAGGGTTAGATTCCTGTGGGTCTCTCTGATCACAGCATTCTCATCAACTGATAAATGCAAACTTATTCTATGTGTCTTTCCATAGAGACACCTTATTTAATATACATTATTGATTTTTTTTAACACTGGACTCATGGCCAGCAGCATGGTAACTCACACCCACATGAAGCTCACCTGACACCCGTATGTTCTCCCTCAGGCACAGCGCAGCCTTCCTGAACTTAGGGGCACTAAACAGCACCTCAGCTGTAGGCTTGGGGGACATTATAAACACAGAAATCACCAACAATAAGCACGAAAACGTGACACTAAATAGACTGAAAAGGACTGAAGCAAGAAGGCAGAGTCGCTATGTTTGACCTCAGTTGGGAAGTGCGTGTAGGGAGACTCAGATTTTTCTCTGCCCTCCACATGCCCACTAATGACCACAGAAGCGCCATGGACGGTGACTGCAGGGTTACAAGTAAACCGTGGTGAGGAGGTGAATTCACAATGTCTGTGAATAATGAGGATCGATGGACTGTGTGTGGATCATAGCACCAACCTCCCCAGCTTTGGAAAAATCATACCTATGGGGTAAAGTTAGAGGAGTTTTATGACTATTTGAGCTGAAGCAAGTACAGAAGAATGACATTCATGAATAGGGAGAATTACTGTGGAGAGGAAATTAGCTGACTCTGTTTCACTGTCTGAAAGGGTCAGGCCAGTCCCCAGACCACCAGACTGCTCATGACCCAGTCAGGCCAGTTGTCCAACCTGCAGGACTGCCCATGACTCAGTTATCCCGACTCAACTGGCAGCCTGCATGCTTAAACTCTCTCCCACTTCCACAGTAGACATCTGGTGCCGGCCTCAATGGCTGGGAGTCAGACTGACCTGGGAACAGCCTGACCCTTTACCTAACCTATTGGCCCAGTTCACATCCTGAAACCCTGAGGCATGCACCCAGAAGAATAAGAGACGATCCCCTCCCCTATTCCCTCACAAACCCTTCACTTTTTCTTTTAAAAACCTCACTCTCGCCTTCCCCGCTGCTGCAGTCAATCCCCCCTCAGCCGGCCTGCAAGTGCAGCATCAAATAGAGGCACTTGTGTCAGATCATTCCATGTCTCCAGCCTCTATTTCTCATGCATTTCTGACCCCGTGTTCTGGTTCTGAGCTAGAGATAATGTGCTACAGTTGTGGCTGGAAGAGTTCTGGCTAGAAATAAGGATGAATTTCAGACTGTGAAAGGTACTAACTATAGGTTACTGAAGGAGATGGGGCATCTGTTTTCCCTTCAAAACCTTAACATCAGAAAAGAGATCCATCTACCTGGAATAACTGAAAGAAGCAGTTCCCAAACATTTACAATCTTATGGCTTATAAGGAGTTTTTAATAGCAGTTTTCATCCTATATTCCTGGTGTTCTGGAGGTATGTAATAAATGTCTAAAAGTTCTGATGGTGACTATTTAAACTTGCAGGTTGGATGAAAATGATAAAGCAAGAGTCAGCTTCTCTTTGGCAGAACGTTTCCCAGGTGTTAGCTGGGGGCTCCCAGCTCCTTGGAGATCTCGCACTCCGACTTCATAGCCCTTGAGAAGGTAGAGCCTCCTCACTCCCTCCAGACTTCTGGGTGTGTTGGCTCAGGTCTGCCTGTAAAAATCAGGAACTAACTTCCGTCCTTTACCTGAAAGTTACTTGCCTCAGGCGTTTCACAAGTTCACCATCTGTAAAGATGTCTTTGAGGGTCGGGTCACTGGGAGGGAAGATGCAGGTGTGTGTGGCCTCCAGCCCTGTGGTTGTCCCCATCCCTCTTTGGTCTCTAGGTCTCCTCCTCTTGTAAGTGAATGGCATTTTTTTCTTTTTCCTTTTTTCCGTAGAAAACAACCATGTCCAAGAGAGAAATTACCCTTTCTGTAACCTCAAGTATCTTTCCTATTTTTGCTTATGAGTTTTCCTCTTGCAGAGAGGAGAGGAAGAGTCTGCCATGCTAAGGGTTCGAATTTGGTAAGCACGTTTGGTGAAATGGGCACATAAAGTTAAAGGCAATTTTGTAGTAGCAACAAGACCTCACCTGAAGAATAAAATGATTTCCCTGCTAGTGTAACAGTCTTAGGAGAAGGGAGAAGCTGGGTCTGCCAGAACGGAGGCTGAGGACTCGGGAAGGGCAGGACACTGGGTCAGACAGACAGACAGACAGTAGCAAAACCCAGCAGGGATGGTGGGATCATGCTGATAGGCAGTATGGGAAAAAGAAATGGCTTGGGAAGAGGAGTGGGAAGGGGACAGCATAACTGAGTTAAGTGGGGAGGGGGCCTTATTCGTCTTACTTTTCCTTTCTAAGGCATCCCCCCAATCACCCCCACCACATTTAAGTATCTCTGAAATTTGATGAGTCTTATGTTAGAAAGCTTCCTTCAATTGCAGGCAGCTGGGTCGTGGTTGTGACCTTCTTTGGACACCTTCTGAAAAGATCCAGAAAGTAACAGCACCAAAATCTTCTAGATTTGGTAAAATACAGTTCATGATGAATTGCAACTTGGGAGATTTACCTAAACTCTATCCTTAAAAAGAATCTAATGCAAGAGATTTCCAGGTATGGGAACCACAGAGAATAAAGCCACCTGTCTGGAGTATAAAGGGGCGTCTGTCTGTCAGGGAGGTTTCCTGAGGTCCAGGTGTTGGCAGAGGGAAACCTTGGCCCACATTTGCAGAAGAGCAGGGCCAAGGGCCGGGTTAGACCAGCTGGGCCAGGCACAGCTGTGCAGAGATAGTAAAAGCAGGAGGAGCCTCTCATAGGGCATAGTCTGCTTCTCAGATGCTCAAGCCTGGCAAAGGTCATTGCATCTATGGAGTACATGGGAAAGTTATGTCTCCAAAAGTGCTTTCCATTTCAGAACGTTCTGAAGTTATTTCAGTTTCTTAATTTCAACCAGCTTGTGTGACTATTGATAAATCATTTACCCTTTCTGGACCTTAACCACTTCACCTGTACGTGAGGGGGCTGGACCACATCTCCAAGATTCATTCTGACTCTGACCATCTCTAATTCCATATCCTAATTTATGCTAATAAACCCAATAGGCAGTGTTCCCCCAATCTTTTTTTTAATCCTCACCCAAGGATACTTCTTTCCCCCATTGCTTTTAGAGAAACAGGATGGGCACTGATGTAAGAGAGAAGCATCAACTAGTTGTCCCTTGTGTGCCTGGACTGGGAATCTCTGTGCCCAGACCACCAGGGACCAGACCCACAACCCAGGCATACGCCCCGACCCACAGGGAATCGAACCTGTGACCTCTCGGTTACCAGAAAATGCTCCAATCAACTGAGCCACACAGGCCAGAGCAGTCCCCCCAATCTTAACCTCAGGGGAAAGGGGCATTTTAACCAAGAGAGGGCTTTGCTATCTAGACCTTTAGCAACAGTGGAAAAATCAGGATTTTGATGGTGTTGTGGGTTGGGACAGACAGGTCTTTTGTTGTCCCTCATGTCACACCGATACTGACAATGTACGTTTTAGGACTGATCGAGGGCTTAGAGCATAAGTGAAACTTAAAACATTTTAATTAATATGTAAGCCTAGCTTTTCAAACTAAAATCCAGCAATGATTTCACTAAAAACAGTATTTGTATGTCTCTTGGCTTTTTCTCAGCAGTACTATTAGAAAAAGCTTTCAGGAACTCCCTGCCCTGGAAGGCAGGGCTGTCCTTATCTCTTGGCTGTAGGCACCTTCAGATGTGGGTGGGGCTTCCTTCACCAGCAGCAGCTGAGCAACTATGGAGGGCCTGGCCCTTTGCTGGGTAAGAGGACCCAAAGATGAACAGGAATGGTCCCCTGTCTTAGAAGATGGGCAACAGATGTAAGAAAGCTCGAAGGAAGTGACACCTGAACAGGGTTTTGGACAGAGGGTGAGGAGGAGCAAGTGAGATGAAGGTAAGTGCTTTCCAGAGAGGCAGGAAGAGCAAAGGCCTCCAGGTGTGGGAAGAGCAGCTGAATACGTCAGGGTCCAGGTGGAGAGGGTGAGAGTGGATGCACAGGTAGGCAGGGAAGCTTGAGAAGGGCCTGTATCTCAGCTAAGGGGTTTGGACTTATCCTGAAGGCATAGGGGGAGGGTGGACCAGTGTCACTGAAGATATTTCAGCGGGGGAGGGACATCTCCCATTACCTTAGCAGCAGGGCAGCAACTGGGTTAAAGAATAAAGTTCTTTCAAGTCCTCACTTCTGAACTGAGGGCCCTCGGGACAGTCATGGACCTTACCACACAACCGTCAGGAAAGGACAGGAGCCCTGTGCAGCACAGAGGGTGAGAGCCAGGGTGTTGGGTGTTTCATCTCAGCTTAAACAGAAAAACATGGCTAATGAATCACACTGGGCCTCAGCTTACCTTCATCAGACTAATCAATAGCTTTGGCCTCAGAGTAAGTGATCTCCTCAGGGAGGCTTTGTCTCCCTGGACCAGGGGAGCTCTCCCTGCCTTATCGTCCACAGCACCCTGAACGCTGTCTCCCGACAGTCAGTCAGTCAGTCAGTTGTGTTCAGTGCCCGTCATCCCCTCAGGACGCTCTGCTCCAGGAGAGCAGGAGTTTTTGTCTTTCTTCTTCAGTGCCATCTACCTGGTTGCTGACCTGGTGACTGGCTCTAGTAAATGCCCAGTAAATATCTCTTGAATTAAGAACAAGAGTCACACAGAAGGTATGATCAGAGAAGGAAGCCAGGGGAATATGGTTTTCCTTCTGGTGGATCATGGTGGATGAAACGCAGAGGCTGGGAGAGTCAGCTGAGAGAGGAAGGGCTGTCATGCACTCACTGGCTGTGTGCTTCGCTCTGGCCTTTATTTCCTCACTGGTGAGGCGAGGTAAATGGACACAACAATTGAGAGGGCTTCTCCTTCTAATCCTAACCTTTTATGCATGAAAAAGTAGTCTTTGCCTGCCACTGCCCTCTCTCCAGGACTTCTGTGATCAGAAAAACATGGCTACAGGCAAACTGAAGAAAATATCGTGACTGTAGCCCAAGAAATTGAAGAGTTCTTATAAAGGTGCAAGAGATTTAACCAGGGAGGCAAGATCTGGACTGTTTGGAATATGTTCTAGGAAAGGAATATTTACTTTTATAGGATGCATTAAACTGAGTTCCAATTACTTTTACAAAAAGCAAAATGTTGTTTGAGAAGAGAGAGAGAGAGAGAGAGAGAGAGAGAGAGAGAGAGAGAGAGAGGCAGCCCTGCCTTGCCCCGCAGACAGAGCCTGGAGGAGCTGCTGCCAGGACCCTTCCCCCTGTGCCATGCGCACGGAGAAGCTGTGGGCAGGTGCTGAGTGGGAGGACTTACTTCTCTGAGGCAAAAAACCCAACCAGCAACCAGTAAGCTACTCACCGGAGGTCTCTTCCAGATGAACTGGATGGGGAACTTCTGGCTATAAAAGAGAGAGGTCTCATCCGGTGGGAACTCGGGATCCACGTAAAGAACCTTCTTTTCTAGACATTTCTTGTGAAGCTGCTCAAATGTCTTCTCTTTCACTCCGATAATAGGAAAATTGCGGCTGATGATGGCTGAATAGATGCCACTTGGATTGCCGCCCCCCGCCATGGTGGTCTTGCCCTGGGCTGGTGGGGGAATCGGCCCTGGGGACCTGGGGTCAGCCCCTGTCTGTGGGGCCACAGATGGGCTAATGACGGTCGGCATGGCAGGCAAATGTGGAAGCAACAGGTTTTTAAAGAAAACAAGATACAGCTACCTTCAAGGAAAGGAAGCTAGCACAAAAGGGAAGTTGGAGTGATTCTGTCTCCTGAGAGAAAAATGTCCACATCCAATTCAAAGTTTAAAGCCCATCAGAAAGTCGTCCAGCTTGTGTTCATCTTAAAAACTGGTCGGTGATCCTGAAGCCACGAGTTTCCCTGAGGAAGGAGCACCAAAGGGTTTAGGCCCCAGTTTTTACCTGGGGGGGCTCCCACCAGCAGCGTGCATGCCAGAGGGAGAGAAAGAGAGTGAGAGTTGTGTTTCAGTGGCCTGAGGAAGCTTGAGCCAGGAAAACTAAAAATAGACATGCAAGATCATGAGTAGGAGAGCAAAAGCGAGGCGAGCATGCAGCTTGACTGCGTGCTCAGGGAAGAAGGACCTGGCTAGGGGCATTTACGTGTCGTGTCGCCGCTAAGTGCTGGTGTCAGGGAATGAAGGGAAAATATCTGAGTAAGCTGAGCAGCGAAAACTACCAAAGAACTGCTGACGCGTTATTGAACTGGCCGTTACACAGCGTATCAGATCGGTGGCCACCAAATTACGGCAAGACATTATTGAAAAAAAAGCTAAAAAGGGTGAGATACTGAATTCTAGGAGGATTCTAGGCATTTTGAGAGTACGATTTTTACTTTCTAAAACTTTGGGATATCACATCATTTCAATGTGGATTTGGTATCTCTTCTAGAATGTTCTGGTGTCAGCGTTGAGTGGAACTGTCTGAGTGGAATATGCTGCTCAGCAGAGTCCTTGGTTGTCTCTTCTGGCCCACTTGACCTAGCCACCTCTCGTGTCTCCCTGCCCCCAGGATAAACACTGGGACCGAAACTGTCACCAAAAGTGCCCCTGAATACCGATTCCCCAGGCATACCACGTTAGTCATCTGAGTCAGAGCTGGAATTGGTTACTGAACCAGGTTGGTGGTCAAGTCCCAGGATGTCATTCCAAAGGAGCTAGCTTCCGGGCTTTGGGTGGGAGCCCAGTGACGCTGGGGAGCGGAAGTTCCCACCTGCCCTCCACCTTTTCTTCTACCCACAGTAGCTGCGACTCAGACTGAAGGGAAATGGCCACATTCCAAGTGTGGCTGAGTCAATGCTTGTCCCAGACTGCAGCCTGGCCTGCTCCCAAGTTTAGAGGCTGTGAGAGAAGAGGGATGTGAGATAGGGAGTACTACCAGGCTCGCAACCCCTGTGGTTGCAGTTTTGAGGAGCCCTGTGTCTGGAGCTGCTCCTTGTAGAAGCCATCAGCCTGTCCTCCTGGCCCTCTGAGGAAAGGCCCAAAGGTTTTTACTGCTGCTCTTGGAAAGGCAGAGAGAAGGGCAGCCCCCGAAGGCTGACTGCCTCGCTTCAGAGTCTGGGCCTGCTGCTCACTGGCGGTGCCCATGTAACTTTTGGTGAGTTACTTCTTTCTTTTTTCCTGTGGCTCAGTTTTCTCACCTATAAAGTGGGTACAATGATAGTCATTCTGCTATGCAGTTATAAAAATTAAGCTTTGTAAAACATTTAAAATAATGCCAGGATTGCCTTAAACACTCAATAAATGCAGCTGTTAGAGATGACCTGAATTTCCTATTACTTGGAGGTTAGATCAGGTTGAATGACAGTCACTCATTGGAGAAAATCAGCACTCACTCTGTGGCATGAACGTCTTCCGCGTGCACAGCCCCTGGACAACTGTGATCTGCCCGGGATCATGTGGTCACAGTGCCTCCAATCAGAGGCCTGTCTGCCTGCCTGCACTAAAAAAGCCTTTAAAAAGAATGTCTCCCACCCTCAAGCTCACCAATGGCATGGAAAGCAAATGGGGGGAGGAATTTTCTTTCCTATCTTCATATGATTGAGTCCCAGCTCAGTGCTCTGTCCGTTCCACCTTAAAATTCCCAGCACTGACCCACGTTTTATTGTTTCTATTTACTGAGCTTCCTGTTTGCCTGCAAGAGTAAGTTCTGTGAAGGTGGAACTGGGTCCCCATTCCACCTCCAGAGTTAAGCATCTATAGAAGGCTCCTAATAAAAATGTGTTGTATTTCTGCTGAATAACATTTTCCTACGTGGGGAGAAATTCTTACACTTCTTATTGCTTGGCCAATGCAATAAAAGTTTCTTGGCTGATTTGCCCCTGGGGGAGGAGCTGCCTCTGAGCCACACACATGTTGATCTTTCCTTTCTCAGCTGCCTAAGCCAGCTCCATCTGTTAGTAACTAAGACAAGTATGTGACAGAAATGGATCTCTAATCATAGAAGGATGGGAATATCAAACACACAGGGTGAGTGCTATTTATTTTGCTCTACCAGTTGCTGTGGATAAATTAACCCCCTCTCAGATTAGCAGGTCTAAACTCAGAGTTTATTCAGCTACCCAGCTGTAGAAATGCATGCTATCAGGGAAAAATCCAATCTGAGCTCATGAACAAAGGGCAGATAATGACCATATAACACCTGCATGTTTCAATTCCAGAAGCTTCTTCCAGGATAAAGAACTAGTTTTTAAAAAAATTTTTTTTTAAAATCTATTGATTGATTTTAGAGAGAAGAAGGTGCGGGGAGCAAGACATGTTGATTTGTTGTTCCACTTACTTTTCTTTTTTAGATTTTATTTATTTATTTTTAGAGAGAGGGGAAAGGAGGGAGAAAGAGGGAGAGAAACATCAAAGTGTGATTGCCTTTCATGTACCCCCCCAACTAGGGACCTGGTCTGCAACCCAGGCATGTGTTCTGACTGGGAGTCGAACTGGCAGCTCCTCGGTTCTCAGGCCAGCACTCTATCCCCTGAGCCACACCAGCCAGGGCTGTTGTTCCACTTATTTATGCATTTGTTGGCTGATTCTTGTATGTACCCTGACCAGGGATTGAACCCATACCTTGGCATTTTGGGACCACACTCTAAACAACTGAGCTACCCAGCCAGGGAACTAGTTTTTATAAAATATTTTAGTCAAGGTTATGCAATATCTGTGGCTGATATCTGTGGAATGATATCTATTGCAACAAAAAGGCCAATCAATGGCTCTGTAACACTGTCTTTTCCACCAGTAAATACTGCTTTGATTCAACACTGTTGGAAGCCATGTATTTGCTTATGAGTATAATAATACCTAGCATTCAATAAGAACCTAGTAATAAGCCAGCTACATCACATGGTTTAAAAAATTTCTAATTTACCTAGCTGGTGTAGCTCAGTGGATTGAGCGCGGGCTGCAAACCAAAGCATTGCAGGTTTGATTCCCAGTCAGGGCACATGCCTGGGTTGCAGGCCACGACCCCCAGCAACTGCACATTGATGTTTCTCTTTCTCTCTCTTTCTCCTTCCCTTCCCTCTCTAAAAATAAATAAACAAAATCTTTTAAAAATTCTAATTTGAAAGTAATTTTAGACTTATGAAAGTATTGAAGAGGTAGTACAGAGTTTCTGCATACACTTTACCCAGCTTCCCCTAGTGTTTACACCTTACATAACCATGGTGCAATGATCAGAACTGAGAAATTCATGTTCGCGTAATTCTATTAACTAAACTATGAGACACATTTGGATTTCTTCAGTGCTTCCACTAATGTTATTTTTTTTCCTTCTGTTGCAGGATCCAAATTAGGACCCTGAATTGCATGTGTCAGAACTCCTCAGTGTTCTTCGATCTCTGACAGTTCCATAGTCTTTCCCCCTCATGACCGTGGCACTTCTGAAGTCATACTGTAGAATGCCCCCTGAGTTAAACTTGTCTTCTGCTTTCACATGATCAGGCTAAGGCTATGGATTTGGGGGAAGAATATTGCAGGGGTCATGTGCCCTCCTCATTAAAGCATATCCAGAGGTCCATGATATTGATGTCTTTTATAACAGGTGATGTCAGCTTCGGTTCCTTGGCTAAGATGGTGCCTATCAGGTTTCTCCAAAGTCAAGTTACTATTTTTTCCTCTCTACACACATAGAAAATATTTAATTTGTACAGCAACCCTGCAGGTTTGATTAATTCCATTTTAGAACCAAGGAGGCTTGAGATATCGGCTGTATTTTACAGTTAAGTCATGGAAAACTCAGAGTTGTGGAGATTATCTCTTCTGTTTAGCAAATGAGGAAACCAAGGCCTAGAGAGATTAAAATGACAAAGCAAAGACCACTCAGCTTGTTCACTGCAGAACCAAACTAGGCCCCAGGCCTCCTGCTTTCTCATGAAGGAGTAAATGCATGACCAAGACTCCAGTAACATGAATTAGGCAGATGATCCCTGGATACTTGCATATAGATTGCTGGGGCTTCCCTTTCCCTAGCTCTGACTGGAGAGGAACCTCACACCATCAGCCCTGCTGAAAACAACTGTCAAGAAGTAGCTGCCTGGTTCTGGCTGGCCTTGCTGTGGTTCTTGTCTTTAGCAAGCATGGTCACAGGACGGGCAGATCTGATATCAGATGCCAGTGTCTCCTCTATTTCTCCTAGAATGCCAGGTGTATGGCCTCATAGTCTGTGGTTAATGTGTGTTTCTGTTTCCAGTGGAGCTGCTGTTGTGTTTCTAGTCCCTGGGCTGAGAAATTATTTTAGTCTAGAGTGCCCCTGCTGGTATCGTGCAGGACATTCCAAGGATTTGGTAGATGGAAACTAAAACCTGAGTGGAATGCATGACACTGTCACCGGAATTCCATTACTAAGAAGGGTTTTAGATAGGATGGCCAATTATGAGCTAAAAACCATTAAGCTTCAGATATTTATGTGTTTTGATTATGTTTCTGCTGCCTATTATTATAATACCCTGGTACTGAAAGGAATGTGAAAAAGTAAAGGAATTCTGCACACAGACCAGACTTTAGAACTGCAGTCTCTCCTGCGGCTTTAGTGGTCTGATTGGTGAGTTTTAGTTAACCAGGACACAAGGCACAGCACAACTTTACGGCAAAGCTATGGTGACAAGCTGTGCTTTCTGCTCTAGGGAGCATTAAGGTGCATGGCCCAATCCGGGCTTTGCTCTGATCGTGTTGATACGTGAGGCTATGGCCATGGAGCTTACTTAGTTCTGCAGTGAGCTGTACCCCAGAATATAATTAATCCTATGGGTCATTCTTAAATGAAACCAGTCTCCTTGGGCAGGCAATGTCTTGGTACCTAGTCTAACTGGAACCCACATTCTGGTTTCACTTCTGTCAGGAACTGACCACCCAGGTACACCAGAGTCAGAATATGATCTGTGGAATGATTTAGATCTGGGGCAAAAAGGAAGGTGATCACACTGGCCTTCCAAATGTGTAAAGGACTTTCCCTGGCCACTCTCCAGGTATTTGCCCTAAATAAATGCCCACCATAAACATGTATTCTATTCTATCTCCCAGTGTAAATACCATCCTGAAGGCCCCCTGGTCAGCTCCTGTGGTCAGACAAGACCTCTGTGGTGCAGGGTCAGGAGCTGCTGGCCTGGTGCTCAGAGGATGGTATGTGTATTCCCTGAAGTAGAGGATTTGGCTTGGCCCAGCATTTTTCAGGTGAAGAGCAGCTGATCAGATGAAGATTACAAAGCAGTCTGCATTATCAGAAATTTTCTTGTACTGGAGTTCATAATTGACTCCATTTTTTCATCCTGTTTACATACACAGCTTGTAAACCTTAAACCAAACTTTTTAAAAAGTCTATTGTATTGATTATGCTATTACAGTTGTCCCATTTTATTTTTCCTCTTTATCCCCCTCTGCCCTATATGCCCCTCCCTCCACCATTCCTCATCTCCCCCTTAGTTCATGTCCATGGGTCATACATATAAGTTCTTTCAATTCTCCATTTCCCATACTATTCTTAACCTCCCCTTGTCTATTTTGTACCTAGCAATTACGCTTCCCATTCCCTTACTTTTCCCCTCCTTCTGTCCCCCTCCCCACTGATAACCCTCCATGTGATCTCCATTTCTGTGATTCTGTTCCTGTTCTAGTAGTCTGCTTAGTTTGTTTTTGTTTTTGTCTTTGTTTTTTAGGTTCAGTTGTTGATAGTTGTGAGTTTATTGTCATTTTACTGTTCATAGTTTTGATCATCTTCTTTTTCTTAGATAAATCCCTTTAACATTTCATATAATAAGGGCTTAGTGATGATGAACTCCTTTAACTTTATGTTACCTGGGAAGCACTTTATCTGCCCTTCCATTCTAAATGAAAGCTTTGCTGGATGGAGTAATCTTGAATGTAGGTCCTTGCCTTCATGACTTAAAATACTTCTTTCCAGATGCTTCTTGCCTGGAAGGTTTCTTTTGAGAAACCAGCTGAGAGTATTATGGGAACTCCTTTGTAGGGAACTGTCTCCTTTTCTCTTGCTGCTTTTGAAATTCTCTCCTTATCTTTAATCTTGGGTAAGTTAATTAAGATGTGTCTTAGTGTGTTCCTCCTAGGGTCCAGTTTCTTTGTCACTCTGTGAGCTTCCTGGACTTGCATGTCTAGTTCCTGCACCAGATTGGGGAGGTTTTCCTTCATTATTTGTTCAAATAAGTTTTCAATTTCTTGCTCTTCCTCTTCTCCTTCTGGCACTCCTATATTCAGAGGTTGGAACTTTTAAAGTTGTCCCAGAAGCTCTTAAGCCTCTCATTTTTTGAATTCTTGTTTTTTCATTCTGTTCTGGTTGAATGTTTATTTCTTCCTGTTCCAAATCTTTGATTTGAGTCCCGGTTTCCTTCCCTTCACTGTTGGTTCCCTGTATACTTTGTTTCACTTTGCATAGCCTTCTCTTCTTCCTTTATTTTGCAACCATACTCAATTCTGTGAGCATCCTGATTTCCAGTGTTTTGAACTCTACATCTGATAGGTTGGCTAGCTCCTTGTCACTTTATTGCTTTTCTGGAGTTTTGATCCTTACTTTCATTTGGGCCATATTTCTTTGTAGCAGTGCACCTGTTATGTTGTAAGGGGCAGAGCCTTAGGTATTGGCCAGGACAGAGCAACACACTTCACTGTGTCGTGGTGCTGTATGTGGGGGAGGGGTCAGAGAGGGAACAGTGCCACTTGCTTGGATCTCACCTTGCTTTTAGTTACTTCCCCTACTACTCACAAGCAGACCAGGCTCTTCTGGTGCTGATTCGTGGGTGAGTGGGTTTGTGTACATTGTAGGATCCGTGGGTCCCTCTAGCGGACTCTCCTGTGAGACTGGCAGTTTCTCCCGCTGCCACAACCTCCACAGGTTTTTATAGCCAGAGGTTTTAAGGCTTTATTTCCCCACACCAGAACCCTGGGTTGTGTAGTCTGTCTTGCTCCCCAGTTGTTCTTCCTGATTTATCCACATGTGAATGTGTTACCACCCAGCCCTCTGCTGCTGCCTTGCTGTGTCCTCTCTGCCCCGGCTGCCTGTCTCCGCCCCTCCTACTGGTCTGGATGAATATTTCTTCTTTATCTCCTTGACTGTCAGACTTCCATACAGTTTGATTTTCTGATTGTTCTCATTGTTTTTTGTTTTTAAATTGGTTATTGTCCTTTTGGTTGTGTGAGGAAGCAACATGTATCTACCTACACCTCCATCTTGGCTGGAAGCCCAAATTTGAAACTCAAACCAAACTTTTCAAAAGTACTAGATATTATAGAGCATGGCCCAGCACCATTTTTTGAAAACTTTTGACTTTGAAATAATTTAAAACTTATAAGAAAGTTGAAAATATAGTATAGACAGTTCCTGTATATGCTTTGCCCAGATTCTTCAATTGTAACATTTTAACACATTTTGCCTACTTTCTCTCTTTGTCTCTATTTCTACCTTATAAATTTTCTTCTGAGCCACGTAGGAGTTAATTAGAAATATGATGGCCCATTACCATTTAATACTTCAGTATGTATTTCCTAAAAACAGGGGAATTCTTCTATATAATCACAGTACTACCCTTCAAATTAAGAAAATTAGCAGGTCATCAAAAGATCCCATTCAAATTTTGAGAGCTGTCCCAATAGTGTCCTTTCCTTACAGGTCCAGAAGCCAGCCCAGGATCACACGTCTGCTGGCATGTCTCTTTAGTGCCCCTGTTCAATCTGGAATGGTTTCTCAGACCAGTTTTTGTAAACTTCACATCCCTCAAATTTGGTTTGTTCATTGTAAGTTTTACTTAAAGGAGCCTTGGCTGGTGTGGCTCAGTGGATTGTGTGCTGGCCTGCAAACCAAAGGGTTGCAGGTTCGAGTCTCAGTCAGGGCACATGACTGGGGTGCAGGCTAGGTCCCCAGTAGGGGGCACATGAGAGACAACCACACATTGATGTTTCTCTCCCTCTCCTTCACCCTCCTGCCCCCTCTTTAAAAATAAATAAAATCTTTTAAAAAATTTTCTTAAGGATCACTCAGTAAATATTTAATCAAAAACATTGCTCTGTATTGATATATATAGATTGTTATTATAATGGTCGCATAATATTCCACTGTGCGAAAGGACTATATTTAACCAATCCTTTGGTAAAGGACATTTAGCTTATTTCTAGTTTTCCACAGTATAAACCACAATGCAATTAGTAGCTCTGAGTGATTTATCTCAAGTGGAATTACTGAATTAGAGCATGCAAATTAAAATTTTTGATACAACTGCCAGATTGCCATACTGAAAGATCACACTTACTTCAGATTCTACTAGCAATTCACAGGAATGCCTCTGCCCCACACCAGTGCCAGCGCTGAACATTTTTACTCCTTTTAATGTTGGCCAATCAGGCAAAAAAATCATGTATTTAATTATTAATGAGACTGGGCATCTTTCATGCTTATGTCATCTATTTCATTTTTTGTGTGTGTGAATTGCTTTTGCCCATATTTTTATAGAGCAGTTTCTGTTTTTAAACTGATTTGTCAAGTCATTCCTTGGCTTTTAAGTCTTTTTAAAAAATATGTATTTTATTGATTATGTTATTATAGTTGCCCCATTAACCCCTTCATTCCCCTCCACCCTGCACACCTTCTCCCACCCACATTCCCCTCCTTTAGTTCATATCCATGTGTCATAAGTTCTTTAGCTTCTGCATTTCTCATATTCTTGCCCTCTCCCTATTTTCTACCTACCATCGATGCTACTTATTCTCTGTACCTTTTCCCCCTCTCTCCTCCTCCCACTTCCCTGTTGCTAACCCTCCATGTGTTCTCCATTTCTGTGGGTCTGTTCCTGTTCTAGATGTTTGCTTAGTTTCTTTTTGTTTTGTTTTAGGTGTGGTTGTTAATAGTTGTGAGTTTGCTGTCCTTTTACTATACATGTTTTTTATCTTCTTTTTCTTAGATAAGTCCCTTCAACATTTCGTATAATAAGGGTTTGCTGATGCTGAACTCCTTTAACTTGACCTTATCTGAGAAGCACTTTATCTGCTCTTCCATTCTAAATGATAGCTTGGCTAGATAGAGCAATCTGGGATGTAGGTCCTTGCCTTTCATGACTTGGAATACTTCTTTCCAGCCCCTTCTTGCCTGTAAGGTCTCTTTTGAGAAATCAGCTGACAGTCTGATGGTCACTCCTTTGTAGGTTACTGTCTCCTTATCTCTTGCTGCTTCTAGGATTCTCTCCTTCATTTTTACCTTGGCTAATGTAATTATGATGTGCCTTGGTGTGTTCCTTCTTGGGTCCAACTTCTTTGGGATTCTGAGCTTCCTGGACTTCCTAGAAGTCTATTTCCTTTGCCAGAGTGGGGAAGTTCTCCTTTATTATTTGTTCAAATAACTTTTCCACTTGTTGCTCTTCCTCTTCTCCTGGTACCTGTATAATTCGGATGTTGGAACGTTTAAAGATGTCCTGGAGGTTCTTAAGCTTCTCCTCATTTTTTTGAATTCTTGTTTCTTTATTCTTTTCTGTTTGATTGTTTCTTTCTTCCTTCTGGTCCACTCTATTGTTTTGAGTCCCAGTTTTCTTCCCATCACTATTGGTTCACTGTGCATTTTCCTTCATTTCTCTTATCATAGCCTGCATTTGTTCATCTAATTTGCTAGCAAAATCAACCAATTCTGTTAGCATCCTGCTCACCAGTGTTTTGAACTGTGAATCTGATAGGTTGGCTATCTCTCGGTTGCTTTAAAAAACTGACTCTGGGGCTTTCAATTCTGTTTGAGCCATCTTTTTTTCCCCTTCCTTTTGGTCTGGTAGTGCATGTTAGGTATGAGGGGCAGAGCCTTAGGTGTTCACCAGGGCAGGGCACCCCAGTCGCTGAGTTGTGACTCTGTATGTGGGGGCGGGGCCCAAGAGGGAACAATGGCACTTGCTCTGCTCTCCATCAGACCTTAGTCCCTTCTGCCGCTTCCTCCTAGCAAACTGGGCCCTTCTGGTGCCAACTCCTGTGTGGGTGGGCTTGTACACTCCGTAGGACTTTCCAAGGACCTCTCTTGTGAGGCTGGAAGTATTTCCTTGTGCCTCAGCCCCCACAGGTGTTTTCAATCAGTGTCCTGAGACTCTATTTCCCAGCGCTGTGATCCTCGGTTGTGAGCAGTGCCTTGCTTCACAATTCCTGCCTCACTGGGTCTGCTGGTTGCCACCCCTCAGCTGGGGTCTGCCAGCTGCCACTTGTACGCTCAGGGTCCACCCACTGAGGTCTTACTTGCCCTGGAAGCCCTATGCGCCTGGCCCCAAAGCTCTCTGCTCTCTGCACCATGACCCGTGCCTGGCTGCCTGACTCTGCCCCTCCTACCAGTCTGGATGAATGTGTCTATTTTAACTTCTTGGTTGTCCGACTTCCATACAGTTCAATTTTCTGTCAGTTCTGGTTGTTATTCTGTTTCTAGATTGTTGTTGTCCCTATCTTGGTTGTGCGAGGAGGCACAGTGTGTCTGCCTATGCCTCCATCTTGGCCAGAAGCCAGGCATTTAAATCTTGAGGGAAAGATATATCATGTATTTATTTTAGAGCTTTGTTTGAAGCTCTGTTGAAATGGTCCTAGTTTTTGACATATAATCCAATTCCCTGAGAAAACACATCAAGAAATACAAGGTAACAACACCTGCAGGCCAGCTCAGCACCACACAACTCTCTGGCTTATAGCTTCAGAAATAGGAGGTGGGTACAATGTGAGAAGCAGTAAAGAGCAGAAAACAATTAAAAACACCCAGACTATCTTCCTCTCCACTCAGTGTCTCCAGTGAAATGTTTCACTATAGTTCTGGGTCAAGACAGAGCTGTTCTTCACTAATTTACTCTACTAGTTCTTCATTCCTTCCTCCAACAATATTTTAAACAGAAGAATAGACATGCAATAAATGTTGACGTGAATATAGGTCTTAATTACTCACTTTAAATGCTATTAAAGAACAATCATTTTTAGTAGGTAAGAGCACACAGTTTTCAGGTTAAGCCTACTGTAGGCTGGCAAGGGAAATTTGAAGCTGGGAAATACAACTTCAACTAATATAGGCTTCTTTCTCCTTAATTGCAAAACTTACAGAAATAGGAGCAAAAAATCTGCGTATGTCTATGTGAGCTTATATATGGTGCTAAACTCCAATCTCAACTGATACAATGAAATGCATCCACGAGGAAATGCACTATGTTTACTACTTCTGGAGGAAAGAGTCCTATGTCAAAAAAGTAAATCAGAAACAAATATATTCAACTCTCACTTTTTAATCAATCAAATCCATTAGTTAACCAATTATAGTCAATAGTTACTCAAAGCCAAGTATAATGGTGCTCTGGCAGCTATGAGACACTTATAACATGCTCTTGAGGAACATACAGTCTAGTAGGGGAACAAGGCAGACACACCTGAAACCTTAAGGCATGATCCCTGAGAATGCTAAGTAAGAACACAGTTTAAAACTGGGGCAGGATTTCAGAGCGGGGGCTAATCACTGCTCATGGGTACAGGGGAATGGTGGGGGTGTTAAGGTAGTTGGAAAGGCTTAATGGGAAAGTCGTATTTGAGTTCGGTCTTGACAGATGGTCAGATGTGTCTAGGCGGAGGGAAAAGAGTGGGGGTTGGGGACCAGGAAACAGAAGTCATAGAGGTAGCAGTTGGCAAGTTGCTAAGTGGGAAAAGCCTGATGAGAAATGTGTGTGTTGAAGAGCGCTGAGGACATGAGGCTCCCCGCAGATGCTGTAGCAGGCGGAAGGAAGTAACTGGGGCTCCAGAGCAGGGAGCATCCTGAGGAATGGGTATGTGGTGTTGTTCTGTCCCACAGTAAGGCATCCTGGAGCCAGAGGCAAAAGGAGAACTCAGTAATCCTGACCCTGTCTGTATTTAAAATTTTGATATCTTGTTCATCATGGATTTTTTACATTAATTTTTATTTTTAAAGATGTTGCATTTAAATATAATTCATTTTGGTTGCCATGTTTTTTGTCATACTTGTTTTGTGCCCATGGCAAGTTTGTTGAAGTCACGCATTCTATTTATGAGGTTCAGTGGTGAGGACATGCTGTGTATTTTATTATTATTAATTATAGCTCATTCACGTTACAAATATTCTTTGTTTGGTAGAAGTATTTAATAAAAACAATTAAGAAATTAGAACTTTAAGAAGATTAATTTGGAACTTTGGAGCCCAAAAGGTGTGACTGAGAAAGCAACCCTTTGTACTCCTGCACCAGCCTCTGGGGGAACGACTCCGCTTGGCTGCAGTGTGTGTAGTGCACGCAGGAAAGGGCTGTTCTGCCCACATCTAAGGGGGAAGGTAACGGTGAGGGGTACGAGGCTGCTGTCCACTGGGAGATGGGCCTTGAGCACCTCAGCTGCTACAGGCAGAACGACTCTGCTGCATGGCCAGAGGCAAGCTTCCACAGATGGGCCGCACTCGATGCGCCCGGCCCACATCTCACGTGAAATAAACCCAGCCTGCTGTGCTCCAAGGGAAGCCACTCAGCAGGACACAGAGCTTCCCACAGGGCCTGAGAAGCCATGGAAGATGCACAGACTCTGGAAATGTCTCAGGGCTCCATGGGATGAGGAGAAGAGGTGGAGTTTGACACAAGGAGTATTACTAATACATCTAAAAATGTAAAATCTGAAATCTGTTGTTCATTAGTAAATTGATTACTAATGAAAGATTATTTTGAGACAGAGAAGTCAGTAAGTGTGCGACACAAATCTTGAGAAAAAGCCAAAGGGAAGTTTGAAGGGTGCAGGCTGCTCCCCACACTCGTCACCAGATGCACTTCTTTGTCACTTCATGTGGACCTCCCAGTCAGTTCCAATGTTCAGTGAGAGCTTCTCCAGGCTCAGGGTGGCCGTTTTGGCACAATATGTAAAAGCCACAGGCTGATCTTTACCATCTAAATATCAAGACAACAAAAGGGAAAATTTGATGAATATCTAAGGAAAAAAAACTTTTTTCTTTGTATCTGAAATGTTTCTGTCATAAAACCTTATATTAACTTAGGAGAATTTGACCTATCACTGTTACCCATGGGATTCCTTGAATTTTTTAAACATGATACACTCCATTGTTTTGAATGCAAGGTTGGTTGAAAATAAACTGTAAGGAACAAAGTTATTTGTCCAAGAAATTCAGTAGGTTAGAAATGATGTATCTCATCCTATGCCATTTAAGAAGCTCCATAAACTTGAGTAGGGCTTCAGGTATCTACAATTTAAAAAAATATTCAGAGAAGCCACAATATTATTTCAAGCCCAAACTAATTTCCCTCAGAAAAACATCAGCAGCTCACAGTGAGCAGAAAGACCAGCCGATGAAGAGAAGCAGGACGGCCTTGCTCCCTAGACACTCGTGCACTTGGCCTCTACCAGAACCCCACTGGCTAAGCACATTGTATCAGTTTCAGGGCTAATCACCCCTTCACCTCAGAGGTTTCCATGTTTACAAAAACAAACGGGGTGTTTCCTCACCAGGTGAGTGGGTGGTCACCGAAGATGGCTGTTGCTTGAGGCCTAGGACAGAGATCTGCTCCACCACACACTCGCTGGGATAATGACCCCTCTCGTCTGCACAACTGAAATAAATGTAAAAGGCATTAGGAAAAGAAGAGAAAGGAGTCTGGACTGGTTACCAGGTCCAACACCCCAACCCTGTTAGTTCCCCTCCCTTCTTTTCCTGTGGAAGCCAGGACCATATTGTGATCATGATCACCAGGATGAGGAGATGGAAACAGATGACTCTGTGTGCTGAGGGCTAAGTAACCAGCAGCCCAAACAATCTCTCTTTTTAAACAAGTCATTAGTAGAGAAATCACCTAAAGACATTGATGTCACAAGTGTGACTTGGACACGGCAATCAAATTTTAAGAAATCAGATCCTTAATGAATTGTTGAATGGATGCATAAATGGGATTAATGGGGACTTAAATTGAATTCTTTTAAAAAAATTTTCTAGAGAAAGAAGGAAGGAGAGATGGAGATAATAAGGAACAGAGGTTCATGGAGTGATTGAAAAAAGCACTCCAGGGAACTCTAGACCAAGCTGGTGAATGTCCCTCTTCCCACAGAACCAAATGTAAAGTTACACACGGAGCAACTCCCTTTGAGAGAAACCCAGAGACTAGCCGACCCCTACACGTGTGGTGGCTGAAGAAACCCACATCAAGACAGGTAGGAAAGGCCGAGACACACTCTCTCCACAACCCCCACCCCCAGCACAGTGCCATACAATTGGGAGGGAACCCCAACTCCCAGCTTCTCCCTGAAGAGTAAAGGCTTTGGACCACACTTCTAGCACCCCAGCTTTTGAGACTCCTACCTGAGGAATAGGCCTCCAAATCACCTAACACTGATAGCTAACAGGGTTTATGTTCACCAGTCCCGCAGGATTATATACAGACACAGTTGTTGATAGGTGTGCTGTAGCTATCTCCCCAGGGCTCAGCACAGAAGGAGCAGGCAAAAACACCCATTTCCCAGTTTCTCCCTGGAAGGGGTTTGACTGCAGACTTTTACAGCTGCTGCCTGGGTGTCCAGCTTCTAATTAGATTTCACCTAGGTGCTGGCTGCACTCCCCCCGCTGGAACACTGATGGGTCTTTGTACATCCTCAACCACTGGCAGCCACTAACAAAGAAGGCAGCTTGGATAATCACAAAAGCTTGAAAAGCAACCAGGAGCTCAGGCAGGGCTGATTGATGAAGTTCATCTCCTACACAAAATCAGTCCATTAGGACTGGAAGAGGTAGATGTTTTATCTAATGTATAGAAACTAACACAGAGAGTCAGGAAAATGAAGAAACAAGAGAGTATCTTCCACATAAAAGAACATGATTAGTCTACAGAAACTAACCTTAATGAAACAGAGATAAGTTATTTACACAATAGAGTTCAAAATAATGGTGATAAAAATACCAAGGTCAGAAAAAGTAATGCATGAACAGAGTGAGAATTTCAACAAAGTGCTAGAAAATATTTAAAAAATGCCAAACAGAAACCAAAAGCTGAGGAATGCAGTAACCAAACTGAAAATTTCAATGAAGGGCTTCAACATTAGATTAGATCCAGTAAAAGAAAGGATCTCTGAACTGAAATGCAGGGCAGTAGAATTCATCCAATCAGAGGAGCAAAAAGGAAAAAGAGTAAAAAGAGTGAAGATAGCTTAAGAGACTTATGGGACACCACGAAGTGGACCAACATACATATTATAGCTGTCCCAGAAGGAGAGGAGAAGAGAAAAGCGCAGAAATACCACTGAAAGAAACATGGTTGAAAACTTCCCTAACCTGGGGAAAGAAACAGACATCCAGATCCAGGGACCCCAGTGAGTTCCAAAACAGATGAATCTAAAGAACCCACAGCCAGATACATTATAATTAAATTGTCAAATGTTTAAAACAGAGAGAATCTTAAAAGCAGCAAGAAAAAAGTTAACTTGCTAGGTACAAGGACACCTCATAAGACAATCAGCAATCTTTTGCTATAAACCTGTAGGTCAGAAAGGAGTGAGATGATGTATTCAAGGAAAAAAAACCCCTGCCAACTAAGAATACACTAGCAAAGTTGTTGTTTAGAATCCAAGGAGGGAGAGTGTTTTCTAGACAAACAAAAACTAAAGGAATTCATTACCACTAGGCCAGCCTTGCAAGAAATGTTAAAGGGAGTTCATCAAGCTGAAAAGAAAAGATGCTAACTAGTAACATGAACATATATGAAAGTACTAAACTCACTAGTAAATATAAATATGTAGTTAAATCCAGAATACTCTAATGTTGTAATTGTTGTGGGTACATCACTTATAATGCTTGTATGAAGTTTAATACAAGTATTAAAAATAATTATGACTACAATAATTTCTTAATGAAAATACATTATAACAAGACATAAATTATGACATCTAAAATGTAAAATGTGGGAGGAGAGTGTAAAAATGTAGAGCTTTTGTATGTGTTCAAAATTAATTTATCAGCTTAAAAATAGACTGTTATAATTAAAAGATGTTTTATGTAAGCCTCATGGAAACCAAAAAACCTAAACCTATAGTAAATACACAAAAGATAAACAAAAAGGAAGCAAAGTATACCACTACAGAGACTCATCAAATTATAAAGGAAGAGAAACAGAGAGGAAGAAGGAACAAGTGAACTACAAAATCTAGAAAATAATTAACAAAACAGTAATAGTAAGTTTATAGCTATCAGTAATTATTTTAAATGTATTTGGACTAAAATCTCCAACCAAAAGACATAGAGTTGCTGGATAGCTTTAAAAAAGAAGATTCAACTATATGCTGCCTTTAAGTGATTCATTTTAGCTTTAAAGACACACACAGAATGCAAGTGAAGGAATGGAAAAACAGATTTATGCAAATAAAAACCAAAAGAAAGCAGGGGTAGCTTTCTTTTTCCTGATATATATATATATATCAGGTAAAACAGATTTTACACCAAGACTGTAACAAGACAGAAGGGTCATTATATAATGATAAAGGGGTCAATTCATTAATGGGATATAACATTTGTAAGTATTTATGCACCCAACATGAGAGTACCTAAAACATAACAGCAAATATTAATGTGAAAGGAGAAGTAGTTAGAAATACAATAATAGTAGAGGACTTCAATACCCCACTTTCAACAATGAAGAGACCACTTGGACAGAAAACCAGTAAGGAAACATTGGACTTAGACAAGGTACTTTCTGACCTTGGTATTGTTATCACCATTATTTTGAACTCTCTGTTGAACATGTTAGACCAGAGGGACCTGACAGATAAAAAACTTTCTATTCGACAGCCAGAAATAGGTACTCTTCTTCAGCACACATGGAACATCTCCTGGTCAGATCATATGTTAGGCCACAAAACAAGTCTTAACAAATTTAAGAAGACTAAAGGTATATGAAGCATCTTTTCTGACCATAATTGTATGACAGTTATGAAAAAAAAAATCCCTGAAAATTTACAAATATGTGGAGATTAAATAACATGGTCCTGAATAACCAATGGGTTAAAGAAAAACTCAAAAGGGAAATAAAATATCTTGAGAAAAATGAAAATAAAAATATAACATACCAATACTTTGGTTTCTAACAAAATAGTTCTAAGAAGGAAAGTTTATAGCAATAAATGTCTATACTAAGAAAAAAGAAGTATCTCAAATAAACAACTTAACTTTATACCTCAAGGAACCAGAAAAAAAAGAACAAACAAGGTCACACTTAGTATAAGGAAGGAAATAATAAAAATCAGAGTAGATGTAAATGAAATAAAGACTTAAAAGACAATAGAAAAGAGAAATGTAAGTGAAAGCTGATTTTTGAAAAGATCAACAAGATACACAAACCTTTGGCTAGACTCACCAAGAAAAAAGAGAGAAGATTCAAATAAAATCAGAAATGAGAGAGAAGACATTACATTTTATACCACAGAGATACAAAGGATTATAAGAAACTACTATGAACAATTATATGCCACCAAATTGGATACACTAAGAGAAGCGGATGAATTACTAGAAACATACAACCTACCAATACTGAATCATGAAGAGACAGAAAACCTGAACAGAGCAATTACTAGAAAGAGAATTAAATCAGTAATTAAAAACCTCCCAACAAAGAAAAGTCTAGGGCCAGATGGCTTCATTGGCAAATTCTACAAAATGCTAAAGAAATAACATAAATCCTTTGCAGACTCTTACCAAAAAAATACAACAGGAGGGAACACTTCCAAACTCATTGTATAAGGCCAGCATTACCTTGATTCCAAAGCCAGCAAGGACATTACAAGAAAAGAAAATGACAGGCCAATATCCTTGATGAACACAGATGTAAAAATCCTCAAAAAAAAAAAAAATTAGCAAACTGAATTCAACAGTTCACTCCAGGGATTGTACACCACATCAAGTGGGGTTTATCTCTGGGATGCAGGGATGGTTCAATGTAACCAATCAACACTTGTAAATGTGATACACCACATTAACAAAAGGAAGGATAAAAATCATATAATCTCATACACCTGAGTTTATATATTATTAACCAATGTTACCTCAGTACATTTAATTTTAAAAATCATGTGATGCAGAAAAAGCTTTTGACAAAATTCAATATCCTTTTATAATAAAAACCCTCAACAAACTGGGTATAGAAGGAACCTATCTTAACATAATAAAGGCCCTATATGACAAGCCCACAACTGACAACATACTCAAAGGTGACAAGGATGCCCAATCTCACCACTTTTATTCAAATAGTGCTGGGCATCCTAGCCAGAGCAATTAGGTGGAAAAAGAAAGAAACAAAATAAAAGATATCCAAATTGGAAAAAGTAAAATTTCCTAGTGGTGACACACAATACAGTGTACAGATGATGTGTTGTAGAATTATGCCCCTGAAATCTGTATAATTTTGTTAACCAGTGTCACCCCAATAAATTCAATAAAAATAGTATAATGGCACCCTGCTACTTGCCTAATAAAATGGCTAACGTAAAAAAAACTGTCTGTTTGTGGGTGATATGATATTATATATAGAAAACCCTAAAGACTCTACTAAAAAACTGTTAGAATAAACAAATTCAGTAAAGTTGAAGAACATAAAATCAATATACAAAAATCAGTTGTGTTTTTGTACATTAACAATAGCCCATTGGAAAGATAAATTAAGAAAACCATCATATTTATAATAGCATCAAAAAGAATACTCAGGAAAAAATTCACTCTGGGAGGTGAAAAATCTGTATACTGAGAACCATAAGACATTGATGAAAGAAATTGAAGAAGACAAAGAGAAAGATAGCCTATATTTGTGGTTGTAGAAATTAATATTGTAAAACAGCTGTACTATCCAAGACAATCTACAGACTCATTGTAATCCCTATCAAAATTCCAATGGCATTTTTCACAGAAATTGAAAAAATAATCCTAAAGTTCCCACAGAATTACAAAAGACCACAAATAGCTAAAGCAATATTGAGAAAGAAGAACAAAGCTGGAGACATTACAATGCTCGATTTCAAACTATATTACAAAGCTATAGTAATCAAAACAGTATGGTATTAGCATAAAAACACACATCAATCATTGGAACAGAATAGAGACCGAAGAAATATAAAATGGGGAAAGAAAGTCTCTTCAATAAATGGTTTTGGGAAAAATGGATATCTACATGCAAATAAATAAATAAATAAATTGGATCCCTACCTTATACCATAACAAAAATCAACTCAAAAAGGGTAAAGATTTGAATGTCAGACCTGAAACCATGAAACTTCTAGAAGAAACATAGGGAGTAAGCTACTTGACATTGGTTTTGGTGGTGAATTTTGGGACTTGACACCAAAAGCAAAAATAAACAAGTGGCACTATATTAAACTAAAAAGCTTCCACACAGCAAAGGAAACCACCAACAAAATGAAAAGGCAACCTATGGAATGGGAGAAAATATTTGTAAATCACATATGCAATAAGGGTATGTCCAAATACATAATTAACATCCAAAATATTGTAGGAAGTCTTATAACTCAATAGCAAAAAATAAAATAAAATAAAATAAAATAACCCAATTAGAAATTGGCAAAGAGCCCTGGCTGGTGTTGCTCAGTGGATTGAGCACCAGCCTGCAAACCAAAGGGTCACCGGTTTGATTCCCAGTCAGGACACAGGCCTGGGTTGCAGGCCAGGTCCCCAGCAGGTGGTGCTCAAGAGGCAACCACACACTGATGCTTCTTTCCCTCCCTACCCCTCTCTAAAAATAAATAAACAAAATCTTTTAAAAAATAAAAAAATATGCTTAACTTCAATAGCAATTGGTAAACTGTAAAATAAAATAATTATAAGATGAAAAAAATTGGCAAAAGACTTGAATAGGTGTTTTTCCAATGAAGACATATGAAAAGTCAATAGGTACATGAAAAGGTGCTCAACATCATCAATCATCAGGGAAGCAAATCAAAACCACAATGAGATGTCACCTCATACTTGTTAAGATGTCTAATTATCAAGCAGGCAAATGCTGGTGGAAATGTGGAGAAAACAGAACCCTGTACATTGTTGCTGGGAATGGAAACTGGTATGACCACTATGGAAAACAGTATGGGTGTTCACCTTATGATCCAGCAACCCTGCTTCTGGGTAGATCTCTGAAGGTAATGAAATAACTATCTTGAAGGGATATTTGTACCCCCGTGTTCACCTCAGCTTTGTTCACAGTAGCCAGGACATGAAAACAATTTAATTGTTTGTCAATGGATGAAAGTATAAAGAAGATGTGTACATTACACATAATGCATTATTCAGCCTTAAAAAAGATGGCTATCCTGCCATTTGTGACAACATGGATAAACCTGGAAAGAATTATGCTAAGTGAAATATGTCAGATGGAGAAAGACAAATACTGCATGGTATCATTTATATGTGGAATGTTAAAAAAAAACAGTCAAGCTCATAGAAACAGAGTAGAATGGTGGTTGCTGGGGGATGGGAGGTGGGGAAATAGGGAGGGGCTAGTAAAAGGGTACAAACTTTCAGTTGTAAGATGAATAAGATCTAATGTACAACATGATGACTATAGCTGATAATACTGTATTGCACAATTAAGATTTGCTAAGGGAGGAGAACTTTAGTGTTCTCATAAAAAAAGTAAATATGTGAAGTGACAGATGTATTAATTCTGTGGTAGGATCCTTTCACAATGCATATGTATATCATGCATCACAGTGTACATTTTAAATATATTACAGTTTCATTTGTTAATTATACCTGAATTAAGCTGAAAAAAGAAAAGTACTGCACAAATGGCCTTCATCAGTAACTTCTTTAAATTGTATCTTAAAATATTAGTTATGTACTTGAGGATAGCAAAAGGGTAGCATAATGTACCTCAGAGAATACACAGAGTTTTAGGTGTCATTACCTGTTGCTCAAAACACCTGAACAGAAACAAAACTTCCTGTGTAAGAATTGCTTCTGGTGGAGGTATTGGAATGAATGGCCATCGTCGAGATACAGTTCACCTACAGCAGAACCCTGGAGAGTGAATCAAGAAAGAGAACGTGGTTATATAATAGCTTTCTAGGAAAAGAATGCCACCCACTAAAGGGAAATAACAGATTTAAAATTTGTGAAAAATTGTGTTGAACAAAAGCACAACATTCAAGCTGTACAAAGTAGACATACAAATATATACACCCAATACCCATTAATGAAATAATATAAATAAAGAAACCATCTAAGAGAGGCACAAAGAATTAGGCCTTGTTGAATGAAACTTAAACTATGAAGTATGGTCAGCAGTATAGGTGGCTTCCCTGAAAATACCATCCTAGAATGTGACAACAGGTCACAGAAGTCCATAGAATGAAACTGAAGTTAAGAAAAATTAGTACATAGTGGATGAGCGCAATTATGTTTAGAAGACCCTCTGTGTGGAGAATGGTATCTAGTTCCTACTTTTTTGAGGAGGAGGACTGCTTTCAAGTGTCAAACAGCGTCACAGAACTCCATGTGGCAGCGTACTGTCATGGACAATGCTTGGTGTGCTATGGACCTTGAGTCACTTGTATGATATTCTGTGGCCACTTTTGGGCCTGGGGCCCATAGTTTGGCCCAATAAAACATGCCTGAGTGAAACAGAAAAGAAGGATGTAAGAAAATGAAAGCTTAATTATTTTATAATATTTGCATGAGTAAGAATTTGTGTTTGGTACTGTATTTGGGCAAAGGGATAAGGAGAAGAATCTGCCATAGGCCTCATTTGGCTCAAAAGAACAAATCAATTCTGGATCTTTCTGGGTTTTACCCAAGGAGATTTTAGTTGTCTGAGCCATCCAATGAGAAGGGAAGTCGTTGTGGGGGTGGTGTCCCGAAACATTGCGTTGATATGTTACAGGGTGCAGCCAAGAGGGGGGCCCCAAACAGGGATTTGGAAATGGGGTCCAGAACTCAAGGTGTCCAGGAAACATTAGGTGTCGTCGCCCCTTCCCCCCACAGGTGTGAGTTGGGGGAAGGGACACATGGAGTGGAGCCACTGAGCTGTTTTGTACAGCCACAGCTTTGCAGCTAACCTCTGGCATGGTCATTTAACATATCTACAACCTCTAACTGGTTGCATAGCTACATTAAATAGCTGAGGCCATGCTTGGAGCCAGGGGGATGGAAGTGACTTCCACCCAAGATATAACCGGGAGGCAGGTCCCCCAAGTTACAGCACCTGCATGAGAGCTTGGAGAAGATTGGCTCCTTACCATGGGGCCATGCCTGCCCAGACTCACAATGGCAGCCCAGTAAAGCTGGAAAAATATGGGAATGCTAGCAAATGTAGCCGACTGTGGGAGGAGTCAGAGGAAGCTGCAGAGGAAGATTGGTGTGGGGATTTAAACCCAGACATCACAGCCATTGAGGAAAGAGGCATGCATTTTTCGCCATAGTGGTAACCCCACCCTCCCCCCGCCCACCCACCCTGCAGCTTTGCTGAGAAGAACCATGTAGTTTTGGCCAAAGTGGGGACCCCTGCAGCTTTGGTAGGAGAAGACCACGCAGCTGTGGGGGTACAGAGAGAGAATCAGATGGCTGTGGCAATAAAAAGAGAGAGCCATGTGCTTCTGGCAGAGTGCGGACCCTGCAGCCATGTGAGAGAGATCCACACGGTTTTGCCAGAGTGAAGACCCTTGCAGCTTTAGTGGAGAGAAGAACCATGCGGTTTTGGCCAGGGTGGGGACCGCTGCAGCTCTGGTAGAAGACGACCACGCGGCCTTGGGGTGCTCCCTTTGGCCACGTGGCCTGGGAAGCAGGAGAGACTTTGCCTGGAAAATGGGTACAAAGAACTCTTGCCAGTAGGCCATGAGAAGGTGCCACATGGCTTTGGATTAATTAGAGATCCTGCCTGGACGGCGACACAGCTGATGGTGCCAGCAACCAGAATCACGGATGTCTACTTCTTTTCCTGAGATACGGTACCCCGAATTAGGGCAGGGGGAGAAGGAAGCACTGTGGGCGTCTGTGGGTATCCAAAAAGGACTTTGATATTTTAATGACGACGTTAGGTCACTACTTTAAGTCTGTATAGCTTTAAATAAACATTTCCTTTCCTTTTCACAAATCTCTGGCATTGAGAGATGACTTTCCTAAGGCGGTGAACAATTGAACCTAGTGGGGGGTCCTTTTAGTAACCCCCCCCGTGGCCCTGTGTGTGTGTGTTCTGTAAGCAGTTTTTGGCGTCCCTGGGTGGGCCAGTGATTGCCCACCCCCCCACCGTCTATTCTGTGACAGATACAGACCCCCTCTCCCAGGAGACTGAGTTTCAGGGTTAATCCAGGTGGCAGGTGGCCTGGGTCTCAATGACCCCCCCAGTCCAGTGGTGATCAGTGCCAGACTGCAAAGCACCAAGGGTCACAGTGCCCCAGAGGATGTTTCTGTCATTTCCAGTTCCCAGACCTCCTTTAGGAACACTTCTAGGCAAGTCCGACAAGCTAGACAATGATTCAGAAATGATTCAAAACTGATTTCTAGAGAAACATCTGAAGCACCTAGCCCACAGGAGGGGTTCACCACTTTCACATAGTGTCACACAATCAAAAAGCTACCACTGTAAAGAGAGCAGCAACAAATGACATGCATGAAGGTAACGTTTTCCAAATACCTTAGTGCTCAGAGCCACCCGGAGTCCATACGGGGCGTCAGCCATCCAGCCCGTGGACTTTCCTACAGTCGTCTTGACTGGCACGATGCTCCCGCCTCGCTGAAACACTGGTATCTGTAACAGAGTGGCAGTCTCAGGGAAGGGGTGTTCATATCAGGCAACTGCATAGTAGAATTTTGAAGCATTTACTTGGACAAGACTCACATTCTTCACAAGTATAGACTCAAAGGTAATATAAATTTGTGAGCACAGGATAGCAAATATGGGGGCCCTGGCATTAAAAGGAAAAGAGTTCAAACACTAAAAAAAAAAAAAAACCCACCCTTCACCAATTTATTATCTATTCTGTCTGTCCTATAAGCAGCATTTCCTGTGTTGTATTTTTAATTTTTCTGTCACTATACTATGCATGTTTATTTATAGGGCCCAGCTAAAGAGTGAATTTTTCTGCTGGTGTACACAGGCCCAGATATGTATGTGTACATGCGTATGTACAAGATGGTAGCTTCTTCGTTTGGCAGAGATGACTTCTGTTCTTATCCACTGCCACCTATACTCACCTGGCTCCCTGGCTCCCTGGATCATCAGGATGAATGACTCAGTCCTGAGGGCAAATTTGTGAAACTTACATTATAGAAGCCACCAAGGGCATTTTCAGTGGTTGTCACAACAGGGTTATAGGCACGCCCCACATGCGAGTACTGAGTGGCAGTCCCAACAGGGAAAGCCCAACAGGGAAATCCCAACAGGTTTCCCGGCTTCCCGAACAGTTGGTCCTCTGTGAGAAAGCTCCCGCCATCACAGGAGGGGCTGCACTTTGCTCTGAGTCAAGGACAAGCAGGGAGAAGAGTACAAGGATATAAACGAAGCTGGGAGAGAGGGTGGAGTAGGTAAGATGTCCACCCTCTCCTTGACTCACAGCAGCAACAAGCAAAGTACCTCTGTCTTCCCACCCTCATCAGCCAATCTCTTTTTCTTCCCCTCAAAGAAGGAGGCAGTCAGTATGAAATGGGGTCTGGTCTCAGCTCTGCTATAATCTAGCCACAACCCAGGACAAATAATTTCACCTCTGAACCTCAGTGTCTCTACCTGTAAGCATGACAGGGTGGAGATGAAAGTTAAGGTTTCTTCTAGACCTGAAGGTTGACATCTGAAATCATTTTCTTTATAATGGAGTTTATATTGCTATTGATAACTTAAAAAATAACATGAATACTTATTTATTAGTCTTTGCACTATTTAGCGTTTGTGGTAGTGGTGGTGATTCAGCTGCAGGTGCCAACTTCCCTTCAGAGATTCAATCTGGACAGGCCACTTGGATTCTAACATCATAACCAACAGCATTCCCTTGGGCCTAGAGGTCCAGGGTTACAACAAAAAACATGCTTTCTGCCTTCATCCTACAGAAGGGCATTCAGCATGGCACACGTGATAACCACCACGTTTGCTTTCTGTTTTCAGTAGTGTTATTTTTATCAGACATGCAATGTAACTGTATGGGGAAGTGTTGTTTGTCCTCCATGTTTCATCAGAGTATATGTTATTTTCATATTCTTTTCTCTTGCATTTTAACAGCTTTATTGATGTAATTCACATGCCATACAAGTCACCCATTTAAAGTGTACAGTTCAGTGATCTTTGGTACATTCAGAATCATGCAACCATCACCACAATTTTAAAGCAGTTTATCACCCCAAAAAGAATCCCCAAACCCTGTCTCTCACTCAGTCCTAAACAACCACTAATCTACTTTGTCTCCATATGTATGTGTTGTTCTGCAGAACTCCTTGGTTCTTTCCACATAGGCACCTGTTATGGACTGAATGTGTCTCTCCAAATTTGTTTGTTGAAGCCCCAACCTCCAATGTGATTATATTCAGAGATAGGACTTTTGCAGAAGTAATTAAGTTTAACTAAGGTCATAAGAGTGGGATTTTGAGCTTCTGCCATATGGGGACACAGCAAGACGGTGGCTGTCTACATACCAGGAGAAGAGTTCTCATTAGGAACCAGAGTGGTTGGCATCTTAATCTAGTACTTCTAGCCTCTAGAACTAAGAAAATAAATTTCTGTTGTTTAAGCCAACCAGTCTATGGTGTCTTGTTAAGGCAGTCTGAGCAGACTAATACAGCCCAATACGTAAAATAACAGTCTGGAAATCACTTACGGTGTCCAAGCCTACTGGGATCTTCACAGTACACGCTCCTTCCCAAGGAGCAAATGTCTTAGAGTCATACCAGACCTGAAAAGGAACAGACCCCAATGAAAAAGAGCATATGAGTAACTCTGCTCACAATTTTATTACCCAGTAAAACACTCATTTGTCTGGATTTCAAATAACCAGAAAGCTAAAATAAGTATAATTTAAAAAAAATTTTGAGTAGAAATTAGGAAGGACACACACTTTTAAGAAGATCTCCCCAAACTAGCTTACTCTGTGACAGATTAATCTGACTAAAAGGTCACTCATTTGTCCATCCACCCATCCATCCATCCATCTGTCCATCCACCCAAAAGTTATCTATTAAACACCCTACCGTGTGCCTAGCACTGCTAGGTACACATGAGTGGGCAGAAAGATGCAGTTCTTGATCTCACTGATTTTATAGTCCAGTTGGCTTATAAGAACTTAATGAGTCTATTAGTAAAAAAGATGATGAAAGAGAAAGAAGGAAACATCAAAGAAGGAAAGCACATTGCAAGCAAATAAATCACAGCTGAAGCAGAAGAAGAGGAAAGTGTCAGGGAAGGAAACAGATCTTGGAGACACAATGGAAACTTGAGTTACTAGTATAGGATCATTTTTACAGAGCACAGTTCAGGGACAAGTCAAACTCTTATCTGGGCTCCTGGCATATTGCTGAAGTACCAAAAAGGCCCTACAAAGTAATTGACGAGATAAACCCTTAAGATACCATCAAAAGTAGTGCAAAAACAAAATCCACTTTTCTCTTTTCTAGTCCAGTATAATTTCTGGCAGCCACCAGTCTATTTCCCAAGTTCACCTCCTGGGACCACCACGTCCTTTATATAGCTGGGCAGTTGTGTCCGTCACTGTCCTGCTGTGAATGTGAGGGAGCTGTCACTTGGCTATGCTTATTAATTCCACAGGATCAGCCCCATCTCATCGTGATGTATTATTAGCTGTGGCTGGACTCAATTTGCTAATGTTTTATCAAGTATTTCTGTGTCTGTATTTATGAGAGATACTGTCCTAGGTTTCTTTTCTTGTAATGTATTTATTTGGGGAATTTCAGTAGCTCTGGATAAAAAGCTGGTGGAATTAAAAGGTGAAAAAAAGCCTGATTCAAACAAGACTTTAGGCTTACCCGCCTACCATTTCTGGAACTCATCAGAATGAGAGGTGGAGGGTATGTGTTCTGGTGCCATATACATAGACTTCCAACTGAGAAAAGGTGTAACTGGTACAAAAACACCATGTAGACCAGACCTCGAGCTCCGTCACCAAGCTCCTCACCCAGCAAGTATTTACTGAAACCCACTATGTGCCAAGTACCCATGTAGATGCTGAGGATACAGAAGTAAACATAACAGATAAAAATCAGCCTCCAAAAAGCTACCATTTTAATGGGAGAGACAAATAACAAAAAACGCACCTAAGTAAAAATATACAGAACGTTAGGTGGCACTGTTCTGTGGAGAAAAGTAAAGGATGTAGGAGGGCTGAACAGGAGAAGTGAGGCTGGTTTATAATCTTAAAGAGGTGGTCAGAGAAGGCCTCTCTGAGAAAGAGATATTCAAGAAAAGACTTGAAGGGAGGGAGTGGACTGTACAGAAATATGGGGGGAAATGACGGCAAAGGACTGTAGGTATCCCTCCCCCTTGCACAATGCGATGTGGTGCTAGCTAACTGGTGACTCGAGGGGTCTGGCCAGGAGTGGCTTGGCTCTTCTGCCCAGGCTTTGGGAAGCTGTAAGCAAGAGAAACAATTACAGAGTGCTCTGGGAAGTGGTGTTGAGGGAATAGGCTACACAGACACAGCAACACTTGCAGTGATGACAGGCCATTAATAGGAATCTGTGGCTAAGTCAAAGGGTGCTAGTTCCTCTTCATGGGAGCTTATGTTTCGTTAGAAGCAACTTGAGCAACTCTCAGCAGAAGTGCTTGGCAGGACAATTTATTTAGCTGGTGTATTTAACCTTTTCCTGAAGTTTCTACTTGGCAAGGGAACCTCTGTAAAGAGCCCTCAGCTTCAGAATGGCGTATTACTGGAGACACCAAAGACAAAGACCATAATTCACAAACATTTTGTAGAAAAGCCTGATTCCTTTCTAATCGCTGGAAGGAGTGAATATTACCCTCTGTGGTAACAGATTTGACTCAGGTAAGGATCTTGAGATAGAGAGGTTATCTGGGATTGCCCGGTGGGCCCTAAATGTCATCGCAGGCATCTCATGAGAGAGAAAGGAGACACAGCCACACAGCAGAGAAGGCACTGTGAAGACAGAGGCAGAGACTGAGGTAAGGCAGCTACAAGCCAAAGAGCACCGAGCCAGGGAAGCCACCAGACGCTGGAGGGAGCCATGGAATAGGTCTTCCTCAGAGCCTCCAGGAGGAACCAACCTGGCCGACACCTTCATTTTGGACTTAAGCCTCCAGTACTGTGAGAGAATAAAGTTTTGTCGTTTTAAGCCACCAAGTTTGTGATAATTTTGTTTCCCATATCAGTTTAGTACCCTTTCTGGCTCCTCCCCTGTCTGCTGAGGCCTATGACAATGTTCTGGTGCTCAAGGACTCTCTCCAGGATCTGTCTCCTTCCTGCTCTCCACTCCATACACTGTTTCCCTGGTCTGGTGCCTGAGTTTCAGCCCCATGTCTTTTGGTCCATCTCCGGAGGCTGTTTCTGTTGTCGCCCTGGCTGGCTGGCTGCACTGCAGCTCTTCAACTTACGCCCACCTTCCCCCCAGGCTCTGCCTGGGTTCAGTGCCCTGAGCGCCAACAGGTCCAGGATAATATTGTATACAGTGACAATAATCAATAACAATAACCAATACAAGAGCAGGAGAAGGCTGGAGGGGCAGACAGGGAAGTCACTGTTGTTACTTTTTATCCACCCTAGTGAAAATCTGGAGACCAGCTTTTGGTGCCAAAACTCAGGATTCAGACACAGCTAGAACCAAAGAGCAAAGTCTTTTATACTCGTTTGCCCAGAGTTTGATTCCTCACAGTGGACTGCAGATTCCTCCTGCCTAAAACCTCAACATGTTTATAAGGAGCCACTCACACAAGTTGAAATGTGAAGATAAAGAACCATTCCGACCCTCCTTGCTGTCGTCACCTATTCATCTTTCTCTCTGCTCTCCCATTAAGTTTCTTGACCTCTGAGGACAGTGCTCATGACTTACAAGAATCTTGAGTTGCTACAGTCATTTGGGCTGTCTTTGCAACTGTGTGATGAAGAAATCTCCTTCCTAACAGGGACTAATTCATCAGAATGTGGGACGAGATATGAGACATAGGATATGTGCCTGTCATTTACTCTTACCTCACTTGATCCTGGCAGAAACACATCAACCAGGGTAACTTTTGGCTCTGTGATGGGATGAACCAATAAAGCACTTCCTGAAATATGGAGAAGAAATAAAATTAAATATTGTTATGAGGGGTCTGAAAACATCCTTCCTTTTGAATTGAGTGCTTTTGTGGCTTTAGGGACCACAGTCTAGAAGTTCACTACACTGTGAACTTCTTACTTAAAGGTAGAGATTTTGGTGAGTTGAATGAATGATTCATCAGAGAGATGCATTGCTAGAAAGAGGACAGGTGCTCACAGAGGTGACTGGATTATTGCCTATTATTAACCCTCTGATAGCATGCTGAGATTATAGGGAGGGACCCACAGCCTCTTTTTGTGCACAACTGCTAGTGTGTTGGTAGTCTGAAAGTGCTGTCGCACTTCTCTGAGTGCTTCATTGTTTGCTGTTAGTGACATTGGTGATGGTGAACCCACAACTGGTATCCAGAAATGTGGTACAAGCATGGATACTCAGATCTTTCCTGGGCAATTATCACTGGGAAGGCTAAAATTCTCCCACTCACAACCTGAATTATTAATTTTGTTTTGACTTTGACATCAGATGTATGTAAAATTCATCCATTTAGGAATTCACCTTTTAATTCAACAAATATTATAGAGTGCCTACTGAGTGTTACACACTGTGCTAAGCTCTGGGGCTGTAGTGGCAAATAAGGCACGCATGGTCCCTGCCCTCAAGGAGTTTATAGTCAGTGAAGACAGGATCGAGTAAGTAATTACAACTTAATTAGAATTCAGACACATATCAAAAAGGCAAAGTACAAAATAAAATGAAAGTTATATAATAGAAGGGACTGACTTGGACTTAAGTAGCTGGAATTAGGTGTTAGAAAGCAATTTTGGTCAGGAAATTTTCTCCAAGGAAATAGCTATTTCAACTGAGACGCAAGGATGAGTGGAGACCTAAACAGCTAGGTATTTTACATTTTGGGGTTTCCACCCTCTAGAATTCCACCTTTTGGGTACTCTCTGTTGAGCCTGGCTTTGTTTTCATTATTTAGAGAATACTTTATTACTTTCTGTAATCAAACCCATGTAGATTAAGACCTTCTGTATTTAATACAGTGTGTTACCCCTGTACAAATGGAAAAAATTATGTTGAATGTTTCTAGACCAATACAGCTGTTAATTTCTGTACAATGCCAACCCAATACAGTACAACTGGGATGGTTTTTCCAAAGTAGACAGCACAGCTAACGTTTCCAAAAATTCCAAAATTTATTTATTTATTTATTTATTTACTTATATATAAAAAGACCAATAGCTGTATGCTATATATCATAGCAGCAACAGCTTTCCCAGAGCCTGGCTGTTTGAGCCATATTGCCAAAATGATAGACTTCCAAGTGCTGGATTTGGTGATTAATCCTAGTTTAAAAAGAGGCCACCCCCAATCCTATTTTGCATATGAAATAAGCTCTTTTGGGCCTATACTACAACCATCAAGTCTACTTTTTTCTACTTCCCTTCCCTCTAATGGTATCACAACACTCAGGATTGGACCCAGAACGAGAATCCCAATTGTATCTGCAAATAGAATGGATTTATTTACAGGTGATATTGTGAGAGGTGCTACAAACTTTTAGTGCTCTAACAATAGAAACTACAAAAACAAGAATATAATTATAGTATTGATCATGATTATAATTAATCAAGAAATGCTCACCCAGCATGTATTCATCTTCCACACCAAAAGTCTCTAATTCATCAGGGAACTCTACCCACAGCGGCCTGGGGGAAGGGGAAAAAAATCTTATTTCCACATCATTAGACGTTTTATTACAATTCAATCACTTATACTCTCAGTTTTGTAACTATTCAAAAGGAATTGGAAAAAGCCAAAGAACCAAGATTCTTTTCATATGATTCAAGATTTTTATGAGCAATTGCTATGATTACTTTTTTTCCTGATGTGAAAGAGCTTTCAATTAGCTTAAATGTTTCAGTGAAAAATGGAGAATTCTGGTACATACAATTTTTCCTTCTGATTGTTGAACAATTAATAAAGATTATTCTGACAGGCAAAATCAGTTTTGTGCAAGTCCAAATGCCTAACTCATTTTGGTGCAAAAACAAATTAAATGTCTGCAAAACCATTTTATAATGATATAAAATGTGTGCCATTTTTTCATGCTTTTCATGCATCTTTAGTCATTACTTATTGTTTTTAAAGGTTTTATTTATTTATTTTTAGAGAGAGGGGGAGAGAGGGAGAGAAACATCAATGTGTGGTTGCCTCTCACATGCCCCCTACTGGGGACCTGGCCTGCAACCCAGGCAGTTGCCCTGACTAAGAATTGAACCTGCAATCCTGTGGTTTGCAGGGCAGCACTCAATCCACTGAGTCACACCAGCCAGGGCTACTTATTTAAATGAACTGTTTTTTCTTGTTTTCAAGCTGGCAACATTTTTGGAGGTTTGAGAAACTGTTGTGTGATTGTTATTTTATTATTACTGATGTATGCAATGATCTAGAAGGCATTTGGGCTTACAAAGACAACTTTCAATATCTATCTTTCTGAATATTAGCTAAATGGTTCTAATAATATTTTTCAATTCATGAGGAAAAGATATTTTTTAATCAGAGACTTACTTTCAGTTTATTCACCAGCCTTTGTATTAATGAATTCCCTTTCCTACTGAAAATGGCAACAAAGCAGTGATCTCTAAAGCTGGCTGATGTCTAGAATCACCAGGGAAGCTTCTCACACAGATACAGACCCCTGGACCTACTGAAGGAGATTCCTACTAGAGGTGTGGCCTTGGAATCTGTGTTTTTAAAAGGCCCCCAGGTGACTCTGAACTGAGCCAGGCTTAGGAACTGCTGATCCAGAAGTCTTGGTGCAGTATGTGTGTCTATGTGATTCCTCCTGTAACTTAGAAAGTTGTTTTTTTCTCACATCCGCCTTCAAAATAGAATCAGAGTAGAATTTACACACTGGGAAAAATGTTTACCTCAGACTTGGAACAACTTAGCCCCAGCGGTAAGATAGAGCTTACGACTGGCAGAATAAAGTGTTCTTCATGAGAGAATGCTTGTAGGTTAAATAGTCAATGAATTCAGTTATAAAGTCATTTCATTTTTCTTTGAAAAATCTCTATTTCTGTCTCATATCAAAGACTGACACTTGAATCACAAAGGGGTAGAAGATCTAGTTATCTTCTGCTACCTCACCTGCCAGCCCCTGCTCACAGCTGGTGCTCCATAGCTGAGCGACACTTGATTAAACATGGCTTTTCCTCACCTTTTCTCTCGCAACAACTGTAATCACCCATTCCCCAGCGGTTGGTTAGAGCGGGTGCTGGGACCTCTGGCTGGTGCAGCCCATTTACCTCATGACGGGCTCGGAAGCCACGTGCGCACGGTAGAACAGGGAATACCAATAGGGCAGGAGGGCGTAGCGCTGTCTGATGGCCTCTCGGATGAGCCGGGTGTGCTGCTCCCCGAAGAGCCAGGGTTCGCGCCGCTTGGTCTTGATGCTGGCGTGGCCGCGGAAGAAGGGCTGGTAGGCTCCAGCCTGGTACCAGCGCACTAGCAGCTCCGCCGTGGGATTCCCGACGAAGCCGCCTACGTCAGCTGATTTGTTATTCAAAGAAAGGCTTGTGAGACAACCGAGCTTTTAACAAACGAGGCACGCAAGTATCTAAAATAAGGCCTTGGAGACCGACAGGAGAAAGGTGCTGTGTGTGTGTATGTGCACTCAAAATGACAGGAAAACTGGAGCCTCAGATTAGCAGAAAGTAAAAAACTCAGCCTGTTTGGGGGTCTGACAATGCGCTCTCTTTATGTTCTATTCTTGTCAAAAGGTCAGAGGCTTTGCTGCAAGATTAATACTCAGGTACGTTCCTGAACCCACGGAACCCGGAAATCGCAAAATGTCTACCTGATTCAATAAGTCTGTATTTAGGGGTGGGGTGGGGATAGAGGGTTGGCAATTGATTTCTTTTCGAAGCAACAGTTAAAGAAAGATAAAAGTGATAGAAATAACTAAACAGAACCAGATAATGAGAATTAGAGGTTTAAGTAGAACTTCATGTTTAGTCCTTAAGCAGGACACATATTCCTTGCATGCGGACCAATGCCATAAAAACACACCCGTCAACGAGTGATGCTAGTCACTCCTGTTCCTACAGAAAACAAGGAGCAGCTGCAACTGCAGCCAGGCCGAGCACCTTCATGTTCAGATCTCCCATCCACAGAGAATCATTAGGATTGGGGAAGGCAACCCAGTAGAGAACCTCGTTTTATCTAAATTTATCTTCCCCAAGAGCATATCTTTTTTTTAACAGTAACAATATGTCACAGAATTTTAAACTTGTCGAGTAAAAAGGATTTTCTGTAAGGCAGATTTCTGATTTGCAAAATTCTTTGTAGTTCTTTCCATTTTTCTTTCAAGAAGAAGAGGCATGTTTCAGGAAGATAAACTCAGTTATCAAGGGTCAAGAGTGGCTCAGGAGGAAGCAGTGAGAGAATGAGGGAAAGCAGCACTGTGGCTCCCTTCCTGACTCTGTGCCCTCCATGCAGAGAAGACACACCCTTCTTGCCTCTAATCCGCTCCTCTCCACTGTCTTCATTTTCTCTTTTCCACGTTTATCCCTGCCCAAAACAGCCTATGAAAAGGGATTTGTGACCAGCTTTTACGAACACCCCTGCTGTAATTTCCTGTCACTTCAAGCCCAAGGATACCATCTTACCTCCACAAAAAGAGATCCCAGTGATGCTGAGAGTGAGTAACATGGGGATGGAAATTTTCAGGTAGCTCCAGTCTGCTTTGTTGTCACCTGTCCAAACTGCACCTTTGGACACCAGTAACAAGGTATTTAAAAAAATCACAAATTAGCCTGTGACCTTGATTTCATATTTAGATTCTTTATTTGTAATAGATAAATTAATGTAAAGGAAAACATTTCTTCCTTATCTTAAAATATACAGGTTCTGGTTTTCCACAATGAAAATATATTAATTTTCTAATGTGGAAAAGTTATTAAAATCAACAAAACAATTTGTGAAAATATTCTGGAATCACTTATTTTTGAAGTTTAACTGAAGTTTGATTATATGAGGAACATTTTTAAAAATCAGCTTTACTAAGGTATAATTTTACATACAAAAATATACCTATTTTAAGTGAAGAGTTTGATGAGTTTTAAAAATGCATATGCCATGTAAGCCCCAGCACAAGCAGGGTATGAAACATTACCATAACTGCAAAAGTTCACTTCTTTGCAGTCAGTAACCCTCTACCTTACCCAACTATTGATTTGATTTCTATGACTATAAATTACTCTTTTCTAGAATTTCATATAAATGGAAATTTAATATTAGGTTGGCCAAAAATTTCATTTTTTTCCCCATAAGATGGCTTGAGAAGTGCTTAGTTGTCTTTAACTTCATTCAAAACAATTTTGTTAGACTGTATCTGTGACAGCTGTTATATCAGTGTGCATTTAAAAAAACTTATCAAAATTGGTGAATTGGAGGGATTGAGCAAAAAGAAAAAAGGACTCATGGACATAAACAATAGTGTGGTAATTGTGGGGGGAGGTGGGTATAAGGGGACTAAAAGGTAATGTAACAAAATACAATGATATTTAGTGGATTGAGCACGGACTGTAAATCAAAGTGTCGCAGGTTCGATTCCCAGTCAGGGTACATGCCTCGGTTGCAGGCCATGACCCCCAGCAACCACACATTGATGTTTCTCTCTCTCTCTCTTTCTCCCTCCCTTCCCTCTCTAAAAATAAATAAATAAAATATTTTTAAAAATGTTTCATTAAAAATACAATGAAATATTTAAAAATTGGTGGATTTTAATATTGAAGGTGGAAGAAAATAAGCAACATTTTTGACATATTATGCTTTATTATTTCAAGAAAGGTAAAACCACAAAAAAAGATCTGTGCAGTGTATGGAGAATGTGCTGTGACTGATCGATCGCATGTGTCAAAAGTAGTTTGAGAAGTATTGTGCTGGAGATTTCTCACTGGATGATGCTCCAGGGTCGGATAGGCCAGTTGAAGTTGATAGTGATCAGATTGGCACATTAATTGAGAACAATCAATGTTATCAATCAACCACATGGGAGATAGCCAACATATTCAAAATATCCAAACCAAAAAAGTTATTGGTGAAAATGAAAAATGTGTCTTTTATTTTACAGAAAAAACTAAATGGACTTTTGGGCTCCAGCTTTTTCACTCAGCATAGTATTGGTTTACTCCTTTTTGTTTGGTGAGTAGTATTCCATGGTGAGGATGTATTGCAAGCTGTTTACCTACTGATGAACATTTGAATTCATTCCAAATTTGAGCTGTTATGAGTGAAGCCACTATACACATTTATATACAAATATCTGTGTGGCATATGTTTTCATTTCTCTTGGGTAAATAGCTCAGAGGGCAATTGCTGGGTCTACTTTATGCTCAGTATGTGATGACCAATTTAAGAATATTTCAAGTTGTTTAGCAAAGTGGTAGTATCATTTTACATTTGCAATAAATGAGAGTTTCAGTTGCTCTACACTCTTCATCGACACTTGGTAGTGTTAGTCTTATTAATTCTAATTGTTCTAATGGGTGTGTAGTGGTGTCTCTCTGTGATGTTTATATTTTCCTAATGACTACTGATATTGAGCATCTTTTCAGGTGTGTATTGATCACTTATATGGCTTCTTTTGTAAAGTATCCAAATCTTCTGATCATTTTAAAAAGTAAACTTTTTAAATTATTTCATTGTAAAAGTTCTTTATGTATTCTGGATACAAGTCTGTTGACAGATAGAGAAGTATATTACAAATATTTTCTTTCAGTCTGTGGCTTAACTTTCAAGTTTCTTAACAGTATATGTGTAAGGATAGTGGTTTCTAATTTTGATGGGTTTCAATCTGTCATGTTTTTCTTGTATGGTTCATGCTTTTTTATATTTTATCCAAGTAATCTTTGCCTATCTCAGTCACAAAGATTTGCTCCTATGTTTCCTTTTAGAAGTTTTATGTTTGTTTCCTTTAGCTTTATAATTTAGGTCTATATTCCACTTTGAGTTACTTTTTGGGTGTGGTGTGAGGTAAGGGTTATCCAGTTGTTCCAGCACCATATATGGGGGAAAAAATGTTTTCTCCATTGAATTGCCTTGGTGACTATATTACAAATTAATTGATCATATATATGTTGAACTCATCTGGATTTCTGTTTGTTCCATTGAACTACATACCTGTGCTCCCTCACCTTCCCCCACCCCCACAAAATACCCTCTGTAGTTTGAGAAGAGTGGTGCAGACCACACAGGGAGACAGTAACAACAGCAGTAACAACAATGAACATTTATCCAGCCCTGACTGAGGAACTTGGCTTATGTTATCTCCCTTAATCACCACCACCACCCTACCAGGTAAACACTATTATTAACTGCATTTTATGGGTGAGGGAAATATGGCAAACAGTGGGTGTTATTATCTGCCCAGGGTTACAGAGTTACCAGGTGGTAGAGGCAGGATTTGAGCCCAGGCAGTCTGACTCTAAAGTCAGTGCATCTATTCACTGTATACTTGATAAGAGTTTATGAAGACAGATTATATATTACTAAAGATATCTATAAAAGAAAACAAGTCTTACTTTACTATATCTAGATTACTCCTGAAGCATTTTTGTCTATGTTCTACCAAAATAGTTTTGGTAGCTATTTTTGTTTTAATCTTCCATAGAAATTCCAGGTTGTCCTATGGCTAGCAAGAAAAAAAAATTGAGGGACTGTTCTTTTTAAACAGTATGCCAGTAACTTCTCTTTCAACTTCAAATAAAATATGTATATACCTACATAAAGATCTTGAAATCCACATGATGGCATTCTCATCAAGAAAGAAAGCTCATGTGAACACACATGTTTTCCTATCTCATATTGTTATTTAGTAAGAAGCCCTCTCTGGCTGTTGGTCACAGCTCCTGACAACACAGCAGTGCCCTCTGTAGCGCCTTATGTGCTACTCTTCCAGGCAAAGCTGACAGCTTCACACAAAGTACTGAAGACTAGGCAAGGGGCCAACAGAGATTACTCAGTATGCACATTTTTTAAATCTTAATTACTGCTTATAAATGCTCTCTTTAAAAAATATATTTTTAGTGATTAAAAATGATTCTTATAAAGAATTTGGAAAAAGAAGAGAATTAAAATAATTTACAATCACCAAGGTACTGTACTTACTTAGATTAATATATATTGTAATCTATATTATATATAATACACATACATATAAGCATTTAGGCATTTTTCTTTTTTCATTATCTTGATGTCAAACATTTTCTCATGTAATTAGGCTATTTTAAATAGCTTTATGACAGTCAAAATATAAATATACTGTAGTTTTACAGTTATTCCCTTACATATTTGGATTTTCTTTCTTTTTTTTTTTTGTTTCAAGAACTAATGCTGTAGTTATCATCTCTGTATGTGAATGTTTGCTTGAGATGACAGTATTTTGGCCTTTCCTTGAGTACCACAGGGGCTGGTTTGTGGGGGTAGGGTAGGAAGCCTAATAAAGGCTGGATTCTTCAAACTAGGACCTACACTCCCAGTTATTTATACAAGGCCAGGGGACTTAAAATAGCCTTTGTACCACAGGGTGGTTAAGTTGAACTAGATCTGCATTAGCTAGTAAACTGGATCCAGTTATAGATGGTCCTCACCATTAGCAACAGCCAGGTCTATTTTAAGACATATTGCTAGGTAGAACAGATGGTTGAAGGAATGTGTTAGAAGTATATTTTCCCTGTTTTTTTGGTCCTCATCCAAGGACATGCTTATTGATTTTAGAGAGAGAGGAGAAGGGATGGGGAGAGAGGGAAGCATTGATGTGAGAGAGAAACATCAACTGGATGCTTCTTGTTCACTCCCAGACTGGGGACTGACTGACCCCGTAACTCAGGCATGTGCCCTGATCAGGAATCGAATCCACAACCTTCTGGTTGACAGGATAATGCTCCAACGAACTGAGTCACACCAGCCAGGGCTATTTTCTCCGGTTTTGATAAATCAAAGAGACAGGATCAGAGATGCCCATCCCAGCACACTGAGATACTCTGAAGTCCCTCATCCAACAATAAAGCAGCCATTTCTTCAGAGGGAAATGAGTAACTAAGCTTTATTAAAACAGGTTTATTCTGCTCATAGGACAAAATACATACTTCAGGGCACATCTACGGCCTGCCCAATGGCTAATGAAAAGGAAGGCATTAATAGCTCTCTGTACCATAAATCGTCAAGAAAGACTAGTGTTTTGAAGTCTGCTATATGAACCACTCCTTACCATAATTTTGTGATCCAGCAAAGAAAGAACGTGTGAGCACAAAGGGTCTCTCCTTCCCCTGAGATCGCTGTATCAGTCCTTCTGCAGTAGCCTTTTGCTATAAAGTCAAAGGAGGAAAATTTCAAACAGATGATTAGATTAGGGCATTGGGTAGACATCCCCAATAAACTGCTTAACATGCAAAAAGTAAATAGAAGGTGGAAATATGAAATAAAAAATATCAAAATAAAGCCATCAAACAATTTTTATGATGTAATAAAACTACATTCCCTTATTAAAAGAATGGAACATTTATTTTATTGAAATAGCAATGAAATAATAGTAAAAATAAGCTGGCATTTATTTGGTGCTTAGTATTTTTAGGCATTTTATAAATTTTTTCTTATAATCTACACAACAACCTCTGAGATAGTCTTCATTAATGAAAAAAACCCTGAAATCCAGACAGGTTATGTGACTGGCCTACAGAAGGAAATTCTAAAGTAGTTTGCTATTATTTCGAGAGGCTGTTCAAGTGTAAACACATTCTACCTGGAAACCATGCTGTACTTTGCCAGAGGCTCCCACTAGAAAAAAACAATTGATGGGAGGGCCATAAAAACACAGTTACATTCTGAAAATGACAGAGCCACAGGTATAAATTATGGAAGGTGACTTTCAAGTCTTCTAGATGTGATTGGCCAATGGAAGACATTTTTACCACTTTCTATTGAGAAGGCTAAGTATTTAAGGAAGTCTTTCTATATTTAAAAAGTATACTTATTGAAATTGTGTGTGTTCTAAATCTTACTCATCTGGTATAAATGTAAGACTTGATATATTTAGATATTTATGAAATTTTAAAACATTCATTTTCATTGCCTTTATGTATTTACACACTACTTCCTTCAATAAAAATTTTGAGGTAGTGTTCAATGCCATTTACTAATGGCTCCTGTCAAGGCAGATGTTTCTATGCTATCATTACTCTCACAATATCTGTAAATTCATCAAGTTCATTACAGAAGGAAAAGGTGCAATGGGAAACAGTAAGCCTTATACTGCCTACAACCTGAGAAAAGTCATTGTGGTTGTCAGAAAAACACACAAAGAGAAAGGAGCAGTATATGATATAGCTACTACAAAGGAAATAACTTTCAGCCCAAAAGGCAGGGCACAATTGGCTTTTTCTTGGGTGTTTTACCTGATAAAAACCATAGATGTTATGAAGTTCCCTGTGCTCCCAGTTGCCATGATGAATGGCATTCTTCGGCATGGTTTGCTCTGGTCCTCTAAAGACAGAGGGCTCATTCATGTCATTCCATATGTAGAGGATGTCAGTAGATCCCTAGGAAGTAAATCTTGTTCAAGACAATACTTTACAGTGATGACACTAATATGATAGCTTCCCCTAATTTTCTTTCCCACTCTAATTGGTATATTATTTATTATGTTTATGATCTGTGCTCTGGTCCACTGCCAGAATAAAAAGCTCCACTTGGCAGGGAGTTCACTGACCTAGATCCCAAAGAGCTAGAATAGTATCTGAACCACAGAAGGTTCTCAGTAAGTATTTGTTGATGAATGAAAGAATGCTTTGAAATACATATTGCCCAGCAAGTCTGCTCTGAGATCTACCTGAGAACCCCTACAGCAAAGGTCGTGAATGTTCACAATTAGGCTCTATATCATCCATCATCTGCTACAACTCTTAACTAAGGGAAAGGTAGTTGGAGTTGTATGTGGTAAAATTTTGCCTTCCCTCTAATATTTTGAAAAATTTGACAGGTAAGATGGCTGTTTGTTAGCATGATTTATAGTTTCTGTTCTATACAGAATCATTCAATTTAGAGTGGGAAAGGGCAGTTGAATCATCTAGTTAACATGGTCTTACAACCCCTTTATAGAAATCCTGGTCTTTCAGCATTTTATTCAATAGCTACAATGACAGGGAGTCCCTCAGGCAGCTCATTCCATTATTTTCTGAAGAATAATGATAGCATCTTCTCACAGGGCCTAGCTTGCCTTCTGAGCACCACCCACATGCTAGTCTTTCAAATGCCTGGAGGAGGCTTATGTATTTTCTTTAGACTCTTTGCCTTAAACTATTTCTAAACATGTGTAACAAGGCTGTATGATTTTCAAACATTTAACTACATTGACTGTTCTTCTTTAGCACCCTCTAGGACAAGGTTGGCAGTCTTCTTCTGGGAAGAGCCAGATTTTCAACTTTGCAGGCCACAAGTCCTCTTTTTTACTAACTCAACTCTGCTATAGTAGTGTGAAAGCCACAGACAATAGAAAGATGAATGAACTTTTGGTACAAGTGCTGTTCATCCTGCTATAAGTTCTTTTCTGTGTCCCAATATCCGATGCTCAGAAACTAGTGTTGAGCAGGTAAGAGCTGGGCTTGGGAGAAAAACAGAACTGACTTCAAATCTTGCTAGATGGGTAAACTTAGCAGGTTTTTAAATTTGTTCATTCCTCAATTTCCTCATCTGTGGGAGTAGAGTTAATTATAGTTTCAACTTCAGAGGGTTATTGTGAAGATAAAATGGTACATGAACAGAAAGTGTTTAGCACAGTGCTTGACATATAGCAAATCCTCAATTTATATGAGGCATCATTATTGCCATCATCACAATTGGTTGAAAACATCTCTAGATGTGGCCTCTCTAGTTTTCTCTGTAGTTTTTATAAGATTTATAGAATTGATTAATTTTTAGAAATTTTATTTATTTTATTTTTTTTAGAAGATTTTATTTTATTTATTTTTAGAGAGGGAAGGGAGGGAGAAAGAGAGAGAGAAAGAGAGAAACATCAATGTACAGTTGCTGGGGGTCATGGCCTGCAACCCAGGCATGTACCCTGACTGGGAATTGAACCTGTGACACTTTGGTTCGCAGCCCGAGCTCAATCCGCTGAGCTACGCCAGCCAGGGTTAGAAATTTTATTTTTAATATATTGTATTGATTATGCTATTACAGTTGTCCCAATTTTTAACCCTTTGCCCCCTTCCACCTGGTATCCCCAATTCCCTTTGGCATTCCCCCTCTTAGTTCATGTCCATGGGTCATGCATATAAGTTCTTTGGCTACTCCATTTCCTATACTGTTCTTAACATTGCCCTGTCTGTTCTATACCTACCAATTTGTACTTCGTAATCCCTGCACCTTTTGCCCCATTCTCTCCCTTCCCCTTCCCAAACCCTGCAAATGATCTCCATATCTATGATTCTGTTCCTGTTCTGCTTGTTTGCTTAGTTTGTTTTTTAGTTTCAATTTTTGATAGTTGTGAATGTATTGTCATTTTAATGTTCATAGTTTTGATCTTCTACTTTTTCTTAAATAAGTCTCTTTAACCTTTCATATAATAATGGCCTGGGGATGTGAACTCCTTTAGCTTTACCTTGTTTGGGAAGCATTTTATCTGCACTTCCATTGTAAATAATAGCTTGCTCGATGGAGTAATCTAGGTTGTAGGTCCTTGCCTTTCATCACTTGAATACTTCTTGCAAGTCCCTTCTAGCCTGCAAAGTTTATCTTGAAAAATCAGCTGCCAGTCTTATGGGAACTCCTTTGTAAGTAAGTATTTGCTTTTGTCTTGCTGCTTTTCTTTTAAGATTCTCTCTTTACCTTTAAACTTTGGCATTTTAATTATGATGTGTCTTGGTATGGTCCTCTTTACATCCATCTTGTTTGGGATTCTCTGTGATTCCTGGACCTGTATGTCTATTTCCTTCACCCAATTAGGGAAGTTTTCTTTTATTATTTTTTTTCAAATAAGTTTTCAATTTTTTGTTCTTTCTCTTCACCTTCTAGCACCCCTATGATTTGAATGTTGTTATGTTTGAAGTTGTCTTTGAGGCTCCTCAATCTAGCTTCTTCTTAATTCTTTTTTCTTCTTGCTTTCAACTGAATGACTTTTTTCTTCCTTATGTTCCAAATCATTGATTTGATTCTTAGCTTCATCCACTCTACTGCAGGTTCCCTGTAAATTTTTCTTTATTTCACTTAGTGTAATCTTCTTTTCTGCCTGGGTCTTTTTTATGTTGTTGAAGTACTCAGTGAGTTCCTTGAGCATCCTAATAATCAGTGTTTTGATCTCTGCATAGGATAGATTGCTTGTCTCCATTTTGTTTAGTTCTTTTTCTGGAGTTTTGTTCTTTTCTTTCAATTAGGCCATATTTCTTTGTCTCTTCATTTTAGCAGCTTCCCTGTGTTTGTTTCTATATATTAGGTAGAGCTGCTTTGACTCTCTTTCTTAGTAGTGTGACCTATTATAGAAAAGTGCACCACTAAGTTGAATAGACCAGAGCCTTAGGTAATCATAAGGATGGTGCAACCCATGTGAACCAGGTTGATGAAGTTTCCTGTGTGGTGTCGTCACTCTGTGGCTCTGTGTGGGGTAGTGCTCAGAAAGGGGAAAGTGCCACTGCCTGGCCTCTGGAGTTTTGTATGGGAGCAAGCTGCCCCCTGGCACTTGCCCTAATGCCAGACACTTCAATTTCTCATTGTTTGCCACTGGTACCCTTCCAGCTACTGTCCCAGTGCTGAAGCCCAGAGGAAGTGAGTCTGCATAAGTCCTAAGTTTGTTGTGGGCCTTTTAAGAGGAGGCTCCTGAGAATTCTGCAGTTTCTTTCCCCCCTAAACCCCATTGGTTTTTACAGTCAGAAGTTATGGGGACTTATCTTCCTGGCACTGGAACTCTGGGCTGGGTGGTCTGGTGTGAGGCAGGGCAGGGATCCCTCGCTCCTGAGGTATCCCTCCCCTCACTCACTCAGAGGTATCCCTCCCAATTTTTATCCACCACACATGGGTGTGCAACAGCCATTCTTTGTCTTCATGCCTCTCCACGTGTCTCTGTGTCTCCCCCCTTCCTACCCATCTGGATAAATGTGATTTCTTTAATTCCTTGGGTGTCAGACTTCCATACAGCTCAATATTCTGACAATCTGGGTGATATTTCTTCTGTAGTCTAGTTGTACTTTTGCTATCATTGAGTGAAGAGGTGAGCTGTGTTTACCTACTCCTCCATCTTGACCGGTATAACTTACTTTTAATGACAGGTTATACTTTGCAAGATATTTTCACACATATCATTATAACCTTTAAACAACAGTTAGACAACACTATTGTATTACAAAAATGATATAGTAATTTGAAAATATGATACATCTCTATTATTAATACTTTGATATATCATGGAGTCTATTATAATAGAAGTCAAAATCACAGTTTTTGTGTATTTGATAATATATATGTCACCTCTCCTGGCACTACCAAAGTCTGTAAAGAGATTGCTACCCTTGCCTTTTCATACATGCATTATTTATCAGGAGCTACTCAGTAAAGTAGAATAATCTTATTCAATCACTTTTTTCCACTTCATTCATCATTTCAAGTAACTAGGAAAGAACACAGAAATAAATACAAACCTGATAAACAGAGAAAGTAAAAAGACCTGAGTACCACTCTCTAACCTTGGGATTGGTGAAATCCAGGTAAGAGGAGAGACCTGTAGAGGCAGAAGAATAGACAGCACATTAGAAACCGTGGTCCCCATGGTAAGATGTGTTCTAAGAAGGAATATCAGATGTAAAAACTAGGTAATCAATGGGCATCAAATGTAAAAGACAGCTGATACAGAGGCATGGTCTGATGAGAAGCGAATGAAGGCAATGCTGGACTCCAGTGACAATCTGCTACACCTCTCAATCCCAGAGGCCTAGGGGCACACCAATGAACAAGTTACAGGATGGGGCCTGTCCCTCATTGAGAGAGCCCAAATAAGGATGGCAGTGTCCAGTAGTGACCTCTCTATTCCTAAAGAGAACAGAGAAGTATTTATAACTGATAAAATGGGGGAAAGAAATGTATGGTGTTTCTCTACCATGCATGGATTTGTGATAGAGTGCTAAGATATGACAGAGGTTCCTTTTTGTCCTTGAGGAGTCTCTACCAGGCTTTAAACTAATAATTTCTGAAATAAAGAATCCAGAGTTGCCAGAGGCAGCTGAGGTTACTCATGAACGTCTGGGAAGTCAAAGAATGGGCTGACAGGGCAAAGGGGAATGGCAAGGAGAGAGATTGTGGGCTCTTTTTCTTTGTCCCCCTCTCCTTTACTCACTCCCTGGCTTTTCATTTTTATTTGCTTAGAGAAATAGCGTATCACTGAGGTTTGCTTCCCTATGTTTCATTCACTCATCGACTGATAAATTATACAAAGTACACTGTATCAGGTGTTCTTAAAGATATAAAAAGGCAATACATCTCTTTCTTAAAGGTACTTAAAATGTAGCAAGAGACATCTACAAGGAATAAGAACAATGGCTTTAAAACCTTCAATAATTGGAACTGAACAAGAGACATAAGTATATATAATAACATCTTACCTGGCCAGCATATCCCTTCAAAGTCTCCTCCTTCATGATTCTTCACAAAGAAGCCCTGTTCTTTGGCCTTAGCGTACACTGAGTAGTCAGGATCAATCTTGATGTGGGGGTCACTGATGACCACAAGCTGTCAGGAGGACAGAAAGCTTTGAAGATCCCATCAGTTTCATATGAGCCATTATGTTCATTGTATGTTTTTATCACAGTTCTTGGGTTCAAATTTTATTCACAAACCTCTACTAGTAGTATTGAAATATTTCATGTGCTTATAGAAATATAAATTGATGTCAAAAACAGGCCAATGCTCCTTTATAGTTACTGCTGCCTAATGCAATACATGTTTTAAAAATAGTATTGGGTTAACCAAAAAGCCCATTTAGTTTTTTTTCTGTAAAATAAGATACATTTTTCATTTTCACCAGTAACTTTATTGATCTGGATTATTTTGAGTATGTTGGCTATCTCCCACATGACAGAATGTTGATTGTTCTCAGTAATGTGTCAATTTGATCGCTATCAACTTCAACTGGCCTACCACACCTTGGAGCATCATCCAGCAAGAAATCTCCAGCATAAAACTTCTCAAACCACTTGACATGTTTGATCAGTTATAGCACCTCCATATATTACATAGACCATTTTTTTGCATTTCCATTATGTTTTTACATTTCTTGAAATAAGAAAACATAATATGCCAAAAATGTTGCATATTTTCTTCCATATTCAATATTAAAATGGCTACACAAAAATTCACCAATTTTGATAAGTTTTTAAAAAATGCATACTGATATGACAGCTGTCACAATACAATAACAAAATTGTTTTGAATGAAGTTAAAAGACAACTAATTGCTACTAGAACCATCTTATGGGAAAAAAAATGAACCAACTCTTTGGCCAACCAATATTTATTAACCTTCTATCTGTCTGCAGTGCTGGGTGGTATACATAAAGGATTAAGTAGGCAAGGTCTCTGCTTCCTAGACATCTTGAGGCTAAGATAACACTGACAAAGCAAACATTAAAGAAAACCAAATAGCATGTTAAAAACAAACAAAAACCCCAAACCCCAAACTCAAATGAGGAAGAAGGTCTGAGAAAAGCTGTGATCACAGTTCTCTCTAGCATTGCTCCTGGCCTTTCTAACACCATTCTCTTTGCCTAGTTTAGGGCCCCAGAACCATTTCATTTGATTAGAACAATCTTCTAATTATCCTTCCTCATATCTATTCAAATCTATTCTGTGGAAACCGTCCTGCCTGGTTTCAGAATCTGTAACCTCACCAACAGGTGAAAAGGCCCCACAGCTGGGGGACCTAGGGACCAAAAGCCACTAAAGAAACAAAACGTATCTTCCTGGCAGGGGCACAACCTCTGCCCCCTTTACTTCACCCTGCTTGGCCCCTGGAGGATGGCTGGATAGTCAATGACAGGTAAGATTTCTCAAGGGAGGAACAACTAAAGACAGACACAGTCACAAAGGCGCCATCAGGGAAGGATTTAGGGGTTTGTGGAGGAGGGACAAAAGACATCACCCCTCAGCTTTATCATAGCCTGAGTCCTCATTCTATCTGTAAGAAGTCTCCTAATCTCTAGGCTGCCTTACTTCCCCACCTTACTTAAGCCCAAAACAATGCCGGAGGTGGGCATGGCCCTGTGCTGGAGTGGGCATCCTGGTGGGAGCAATCAGGCCTATGAAAGAATGCATAAAGTCTTGTGAAACCTGCTTTGCTAAGAAGGCCCTCAATTTAAGTGTTAAGGGTCCAAGCACAAAATAAGTTTGTTTCCTAAGGTTTTACAGCTGACTGGCATTACCCTGTCTACCAGACCCTGACTCAAAAGGGCCCCATGATCCCAGAAATATTATCTGTAAACCATATCTCCTTTCTTTGATATGCATCCCTATGCAAGCTAACTCAATAAAAGCCCATTGAAAGAGAGGCAAAAGACCTTTCTCCTCTGAGAGACTGGTCAGCCTTTCCTCCCCAAGCAGATCATGTCTTGGTAGACTTAATCTCATCTGTGGCAGCCAGGGGAACTCTGCTGGACAAAGCCCCCCCACATTATTCTGCATACTAAAGTTTAATTTTCCTTTGCTGAAAAACTTTTATTTTTAAATGTTTAATTGTTGTAAAGTGTACATTACATAAAATTTACCACCTTCACCCTTTTTAAGTGTACAGTTATGTACATTCACATTCTTGTACAGTTAATATCCAGAAAAAAATCTTGCAAAACTGAAGCTCCAGACTCCTTAAAGAACATTCCCTTCTCCCCTCACTCCCTAGCAACCACCATTCTTCTGTCTCTGATTTTGACTCCTCCAGGTTTTACAGATTAGCAAAATCACATAGTATTTCTCTTTTGTTGATTGGCATATTTTACTTAGCATAATGTCCTCACAGTCATTCATGGTGTAACATGTGTAAGGAATTTCTTCCTTTTTAGAACTAAATGATATTCCTTTGTATGTATATGCCACATTTTATTTATCCATTCATGTGTTGATGGACATTTGGGTTGCTTCTACCTTTTGGCTATTGTCTGTGTATAATGCTGATATGAACACAGGTGTAAAAATTTCTGCTCAGGACCCTGCTTTTGATTCTTTGGGTTTATACTCATGAGTAGGACTGAAGAATCATACAGTAATTTTATTTTTAACTTTTTGATGAACTGCCATACTGTTTTCCATAGAGGATACACCTTTTACATTCCCACCATTGGTGCACAAGTATTCCAATTTCTGTACATACTCACCAACACTTGTTATATTCTATTGTTGTTTTTTTTGTAGTAGCCATCTTAATGGTATGAAGTAGTATCTCATTGTGGTTTTGATTGGCATTTCCCTAATGATTAGTGGTAATGAACATTTTTTAATCCTCACCAGAGGATATGTTTATTGGTTTTTAGAGAGAGAGGAAGAGAAAGAAAAACATCGATTTATTGCCTCCCATATGCACCCGAGGATTGAACCAGCAAGGTATGTACCATGACCAGGAATCAAATTTACAACCCTTTGGTGTACAGGATGATGCTCCAACCTGCCAAGCCACCTGGCCAGGGCTGAACACCTTTTCATATGCTTGTTGGATTTGTACATCTTCTTTGAAGAAATATCAAGTCCTTTTCCTAATATATAATTGGGTTGTTTGTTTTTTGGTTGTGGAGTTGTAGGAGTTCATACATTCTGTATATTAATCTCTCATTCAGAAACTTTTAATGTCTTCAAATATATACAAACAGCCTATAACAAGGTCAGATTCCCCACTACTCAAACCTTGCCCATGCCTTGTTTTCCTGTCAAACCAGCCTGTGAACTGCTTTCCAAATGCCCCTGGGTTTCCAGCCTCTGGCTGCACCACCCTCTTTCCTCTTCCCTCACTTCTCCACTGGAGACTCTTCCTTCAGGGCTTATCTAAAATGTGCACATCATTGCTTGAGGCCAGCAAGATGCAACCTTCTTTCTCTTGGCCCACCTACCATCCTGGCCTTTCTTTGGCCGTTATGTTACTGTCCTGTATTGCAGTTGTTATATACTTGCATTTCCCCCACTCACTATAAGACCCCCCAAGGAGCTCATGTCCACATTCCCTTCATCTTCAGCACAGTATCTTGAACATTCAAGGACTTTGATAAATAACTGCTTATAAGGACATAGTTTCTGGAATCAGGCCAATCAGGGTGCAGATTCTTGCCTTGCTACTTAATTCCATGTGTGCTTTTGTGCAAAATACAAAACCATCCTAAGCACCAGTTTCTTCTTCTGAAAGATGGGGTAACAAAACTTATCTTAAACTTTGTGATGACTGGATGGAATAGTGTGTTTTATCATACTCTTTGGGTCATAATCAGTGCTGGATAAATGGTAGCTATTTATTCATTGGGAGGTTAGGATTTAACAAGATTGGTTCTGGCCACTTGTGAAAGGTCTGGGGATTAAAGGAATGGATTGAAAAGGCAACTTTAATCCCAGGAAGAGGGAGTGCAGAGATCCACTTACATGATATGTACAGGGTCCCCTCTTCCTCTCCTTTCTTCATTTTCTTCTCTCTCTCCCTCTTTTCATCACTGCTGTTACCACCACCAACACCCTTGCATTACACACTTTCCAGTATATTTTCTCCTCCCTATTTACTACTTTAGTTCTTTCCATGGCCAGATCGACAGGTGGACTCCATCAGGGAAGCATACGGGGGAAAATGGGGTACTGGAAAGTCAACTCTGGCCCTAGCCAGTATGGCTCAGTTGGTTGGAATGCATCCATAACCTAAAGGTCATGGGTTCAATTCCTGGTCAGGGCTCATATCTAGGTTGCAGGTTCAGTCCTGGTCCAAGCACATATCAATCCTAGTCCATGCATGTACAGGAGGCAACCAATTGATGCTTCTCTCTCATTAATGTTTCTCTCTCTCCCTTCCTCTCTCTCTAAAAAGCAATTTGAAAATGCCCTTGGGCAAGGATAAAAATAATCCACTCTCTTTTTGCTGGACTGTTAAGAGCATTCAAGCCTGACCACTCCCCCTTACCTTTCCTTCCTACATCTGTGCATGTTGACAAAGAAAGCCCTGAGGCTCCCTCCTTTGATGCCAGCAGAAAGTTCAACCCACACAAGCCCTGGCACATGCACAGGAATCCACCCCAGTCTAACTCTAATCATGGTAAAAGCTGAGCCAGTGTCCTTTCCCAGCTCATATTATGTGACTAATTAATCTTGATACCAGTGTGATTTCATCAATATCGACACCAAAACCAAATTTTGCATGGGTTGGGGGGATCCATCACAATACTACAAGGTGCCACAACAAATGAGCCTGAATACCAGGCCCCTTCATCTCTATGGAGACCTAGACAGCTAAGGAAGGGACAGGTGGTGGCACCACCTTACCCCCCTGTTTTTCTGTTATCACAGTTTCGGTTACATTTGAAGGTACTATTTTCACGGAAATTTTAAAAATCAGATAAATCTCCAAAAATGTGCCAAAGCAAGTTTTAAACAGTGATTGTAATTAAAAGGATCAGAAATGTTGGTTTATTTTACCTTACGTTTTTTGTTTTGGAGCAGCGCTTGCATCTTTTTGGGGTTTGGAAATCTTTTCTTGTCCCAGGTGAAATACCTTTTGCCCTCAGTGTGCTCTATGTCCAGCCACATGACATCATAGGGAATGTCATGTTTATCAAATCCTGCATCCACTGCCTTTACATCCTGCTCATCTTCATAGTTCCAGCGACACTGATGGTACCCCAAGGAAAAGAGTGGGGGCATGGCTTGTGTGCCTAAAAAAGGAGGACAGCAATGGGGCCAACTACCACCACAATGATAATTCTACATTTGATAAACACTTCCTAAATGCCTACAGGGTCCAAGCTCCCAGCTTAGTACTTAGACTATCCAGGAGAAGAGAGCATAATGCCTACCCTCAAGAAAGTGACAAGTTGGCTGAAGAGGTGGGCATGTGAATGAACAGCTCTGCTCTGAGGTATAAGTGCTATGTTAAAAGTATCAGCCTAGTGCTGTGGAAATAAGAAAGGCTAATAAATTCAACCTGCCGTGAAGTGTGGAGTCTTGAAAGGCCTCAAAGATGTGATAACACTTGGTTTGGACTTTGAAGAATAAGTAGGAGTACACCAGACAGGAAGAATGGATAGAGCTTTAGGCACAGGAAATAGGAAACACACAGAGCAGAGAAACATGATAAGCTTAGGAAAAAAATAAATGTTCCAAGGTGGTGAGAAGATGAAATTGGAGAGGACTGGTTTGTAAAGGGCCCTATAGTTCAGGCTAGGAATTCTAAATCTTCCCTTATGGGAAGTTAGCTAAAGTTTGGCAAGTTGTAGCCTTAGCAGATACATGTTTTAGAAAAATTAGTAGGGAGCAGAGTTGAGACTGACTTGAAGGGAGAGAATGAAGACAGGAAGAACTGTCAGGAAATTATCAAAACATTTACTGATAACTTGGAGAACTTCTAGTCAACCACTTACATGATCTTTTCCCCCTTCTAAGGTCCCACTAAAATCGGAGGGAAAAAATAAAGAAAAAACAAAGCCACAAGAACAAAGAGAACAAAATTCTGGAAGGCAGCCAGCAGGAGAAGTGTTGAGCAAAGCCAGGGATGTTCTCCCTGGAGTGCTCGTGAGGGGACCACTGATGAGAAGGCCTCATCCCTGCTGCCAGAATAGGTACAGACAGGAGAATTCTTCCCCCCATTCCCAACACTAGTGTAAGACTCATCAGGCATGCAGAACTTCCAGGGTAGAGCCTTATTCTTATGGATATCCAAGGGTCACCCATCTGAGTAAAGCATCCAAAATTAGAGGGGACTCATATAAAGAAATAGAATAAAACAATTCTGAGAAAGGACAATATAAGGAATGAAAGGAAACATCAAAGCATTAACACTAGTATCTCCAGGGAGATGATAAAAGACATGATATCCATGAAATAAAACTAAGATAGCATAGAACAAATATAAGATATTAGAAACAAGGAATGAAATCAGTTTGTTAGAAATTAGAAGTACGATAGCATAAGTGGAAGGCCTAGAAGATAAAATTGAGAAAATTGCTCAGAAAATAGACAAAAATGGGAAGAAAGATTATTAAATCTGTAGAGTAGAAAGGGAAAATGGAAGAGAAGAATGTAGTGGGGCTGAGACACTTGTCGTGATGAAGCTGCCAATCACCAGTTGCCCATAGCTATGGCCTTCTGAATCATCTGAATAGTTTCTGCAGAGGAATGTTCAGGCTTAATGCAAAATCTGATGCAGATTCATTGCTCTACTCACTCAGTCATTTTCAATGTGACAGCTACACAGTACACATGCTCACTCAAGGGCATCTACCACCCCACTGACTAGTCCAGTGAGGTTGTCACTGTTAACACATGAGCATTCCAGGCCACTCTCCTTGGCTGCCAGGTTACATCGATGTTGTGCAAACTATTCTTGTTATATCAACAATGGCTGGAATTTTTCCAGACAGACCTGAGAATGATTGGTTGATTTTAAGGAACTGATTCATGTAATTGTGGCAGCTGGCAACTCTGAATTTTGGCGGGTTGGCTGATAGGCTGGAGACCCAAGGAGGAACTAAAGTTGCAGCTTGGGTATGAAGGCAATCTGGATATTCCTTTAGGGTACCTCAGTCCTTTCCTCTTAAGACTTTTTAAAATTATTAGATGAAACACATCTACATTATGGCAAGTAACCTGTTTTACTCGAACTGATTTAACTGTTAATCTCATCTAAATATACTTTCATAGTGACATCTAGACTGTTGTTTAATCTGGGTACCATGGCCTAGGCAAGTTGACACATAAAATTAACCATCACACTAGGTAATATGGTAATTCTATATTTAGCTTTTTGAGGAACTGCCAAATTATTTCTACAGCAGCTGAACAATTTTACATTCCTCCAGCAATGTATGAGGTTTTAACTTCTCCATATCCTATCAACACTTACTATTTTCCAGTTTTGATAGAGCCATCTTAGAGCATAGGAAATGGTATAACATTACTTTTCATTTTCCTAATGACTAATGGTGTTGAGCATCTTTCACATGCTTGGTAATTCATTTCTTTATCTTCTTTGGATGAATGTGTCTATTTAAGTCTTTGTCCATTTTAGAATTGGGTTGTCCTTTTGTTATTGAGCTGTAAGAGTTCCTTATATACTCTGGATACTAGGCCCTTATCAAATATATGATTTGCAAATATTTCTCCAATTCTGTAGGTTGCCTTTTCACTTCAAAATTTTTAAATTTCAACAAAGTCCAACTTATCCATTTTTTTCTTGTTTTGCTCATGATTTTATTGTCATATCTAAGAAGCTGTTGCCAAATCCAAGGTCAAGCCTATTTTCTCCTAAGAGTTTTATGTCATTAGCTCTTGTACTTATGTAGATCCATTTTGAGTTACTCTTTTGTGTATGGTGTGAGGTAAGGTTCCAACTTCATTCTTTTCCAAGTGGATATCCAGTTGTTCCAGTAGTATATGTTTAAGAGACTATTTTTTTTCCTATTGAATGGTCAAGAATCTTTGTTGAAAATCAGTTGGATCAGAGATGTATGGGTTTACTCCTAGCCTTTAATCCTTTTCCACTGGACTATATGTCTATTCATATGCCAGTACCATACTATTTGGATGACTTTAACATTGTAGTAATTTTCAAAAGTGGGAAGTATGAGTCCTCAAACTTTTTTTTCTTTTTGCGGGGATTGTTTGGCTATTCAGGGTCCTTTGCAATTCCATGTGACTTTGTAGATCAGCTTTTCCATTTCTTTAAAAATAGCTGCTGAAATTTTGCTAGGGATTACAATGACTCTATAGATTGTTTTCAGTAGTATTGCCATATTAACACTATTAAGTCTTCCAATGCATGAACATGAGGTATATTTCCATTTATTTGGGACTTCTTTAATTCCTTTCAGGAATATTTTGTATTTTTCAATATACAAGTCTTCCACCTCCTTGGTTAAATTTATTCCTAGGTATTTTATTCTTTTGGGTGGTATTGTAAATGAAATTATTTCTTTCATTTCTCTTTTAGATTGTTCATTGCTGGTGTATAAAAATGCAACAGATTTTGTGTGTTGATCTTGTACCCTGCAACTATGGTAAATTTATTTATTAGCTCTATTAGTTTTTGTGTGGATTCTTTTGGATTTTCAAACATACAGGATCATACTATCTGCAAATAGAGATAATTGTATTTCTTTCTTTCCAATTTGGATGCCTTTTATTTCTTTTCTAGTGTAATTGCTCTGGCTGGAACTTCTAGTATAATGTTAAATAGCAGCGGCGAAAATGGGCAGTCTTGTCTTATTCCTGAAATTAGGGCATGCCTGCAGCCTTTCACCATTAAATAAAATGTTAGCTGTGGATTTTTCATAAATGCTTTTTGTCATGTTGAGAAAGTTTCCTTCTATTTTTAGTCTGAGTATTTTTATTATGAAATAGTATTATATTTTGTCAAATGCTTTTTCTGCACCAACTGAGGTGCAGAAATGTCATACATTTTAAAGATAAAATGCTTTAGAGCTAAAGCCAGTGGTATATTTTAATAGCGAAGAGAACACAGAAAAGGCTGGGATACTGGTCCTCTGAGATAAAGGTAGAGAAAGCCTAGGGGCTAAAGGCTCCAAAGAAGGCAGAGAGCAAGTATTATGGATGAGAGAATGGCAAGTTCTCACCAAGTTGGATGGAGTGAGGGTAAGAAAAGAAATGCTTGGTTCTTAAAAAGTTTGGGCAAGTTGTTTATGAATTCTATATGGTGTGCAATAAATATCAATTTACAGTTATGATACATGGGATAGTGGGCACTTCCACATGCAAGTACCTGTAAGGGACGAGTACTGTTTGAAGACATCCGAAGGTGTAGGCCCTGTCAGCAGAAAAACATCAATAATCCCACTCTCTGACATCCAACGTACATCGGTTCGAGAGCTGTCCTTTTGTTTGGCAGCAACTGGGCCCATCTGGGTCACTGTGTCCTGGAAAACAAATAGAATGAATGTTTGAAAAATTGCCCTCTACTCTACAACAGCCATCCGTATGGGAGTAACAGTCTGTTCCTTGTGTGCTATGTTATTAACTTACACTGATTATACTGCAAAGACTGGTGGCAGAGAACTGCCACTACAAAGCCCAGAGTTATGACTACACCTTACTATTTCTGAGTCTTTTGTTAAGTGTGATACATAACCATGGTCTGTAGCTTACCTTTCCTGCAGGCTCTGTGTTGATCTCCACCAGTGTTTCTGAGGAATTCAGCCAAAAAATGCCAAAAGTCCTGCCCAGTTTGTGGGCCAAGAGATAAGGTACTGAACCATAAATGCCCATTTTGTTATGTATTTTATATCCATAGACATCCAGGTTATAAAGACGATAAGCATCCCCATCGCTGAAACACACAAGAAGGACTATCAATTCCTATCACAAATATATTTTTAATGAACAGTATTGCTCCATTCGCCTCTGCACTTGGATCCTATGCATCTTTCAAGGCTCAACTTTACCACTTTCCTAAAAGTTTCTGATCCAACCTGGGTGGTTAGGATCCTTCTCCTTTGATTCTTTTGCTCATCTCTCAATTGACAATTGACATACATGCTCTCATCTTTTCTGAATATTGCTTGTGAGGTTAAGACTGTTTCCTGTGGATCCTCTACAATAACACACACAACACAATATGTGTCTTTGACAAATTTTGTGAGTATTTCTCTGTTGCTTAAACAAAATGATACTGTCTTAACATGCTGACACAGTGCTGAGTAGGGAAAAAATCAGGACCTGAATTGGGGAAGGGAGCACAGAGCTCAGGCTGGTGTGAGAACAGCACAGTCTCTGAGGCATTTGTCACTATGCTTCCGTCTTGTAAACAGCATCTGCACCTGGAAAATTCGATCAGACTCTGTTTCTCGTTGGTTTTGCTTCAGGGTAGTCCTATGCCTCAAGCATTTATTTGTCAGTAGTGTTAGTCTGAATGATCTCTCTGAGGGACTCGAGGGTGATATGAAATGCCACACTTTTCCACTATCTGGCTCACTGTCATTTTTGGTAAAAGCCTTTTACTAGGTCAATGTTTTTCACAGTGCATTCACCCAGGGTTTCACAGAAAGACCTTGAGAGGTGAAAGCAAAACCCAGGAAGTAGTGTAAAGAGAACCTCCCCACCATTTCAGCCACAGCAGTTCTATATTTTTACTTCCTTTATATTTTTAGGTTCAGCACCACAGTTTTTTATAATTCTCTAACTTTTTATAATTCCCTAACTTTTGCCAAAAATAAAATAAAAATTGAAAACCACTGCTTTGAGTGATCATTCAAAGAAGATTCTTAAAGATCTATAGGCAATATCAAGGAGGAAGAGGCCAGGTACATATTAGCTAGCACTGGTTCAGACATCTCACATATTTGCCTTTCCAATAAAAATTTTTGTTTTCACTTTACCCAGTATTTTTAAGTTGGTGTGATTCTGCATGTTGTGGGATTCCATAGAGATGCTCAAATCCATGCAAGGAGAAATCCAAACCGATGGAGGCAGGACCTGCAGGTACCAGGATACTGACTGAGTTTTGCAGTGGGACAATCAATGAAAGAAATTCAGTTAATTATGAGTGTAGCAAGATGACTAGAGATCTAGAGATCTGAGCTTTCCCTGATCAATCAGTAAATCCCATGTGCATCAGCATCTCTGTAAGATGCTATATTCAGGTACTGTGGGGCTACAAAAATGCAAAAGGCAAAGTTCTGGTCACTTATTATGTTCACCTAACTATGTGTGGAATCTCTCTTTGTATTTATTTATTTATTTATTAATTTATTTATTATTTCATTTATTTATTTTTAGAGTGGGGAAGTGAGGGAGAAAAGAGAGGGAGAAAAACATCACTATGTGGTTGTCTCTCATGTGCCCTCTACTGAGGACCTGGCCCACAACCCCGGCATGTATCCTGATTGGGAATCAAACCAGTGACCCTTTGATTTGCAGTCTGGCGCTCAATCTGCTGAGCCACACCAGCCAGGGTTGTGTCCTCATTTATAGTAAATAGCTTTTCTATCGGTAAAATATGGCTACAAAGTTTTAGATTTTTTTAATTTAAACTTTTCTAAAATATACACTCTTTCTTTTAGGAAGCAAAGGGCATGAGCAATTTTAATCTTTGTCAGATGAAAGAGTGGGTGTCTTCTGCCTGATTGTTTATTTTTACTGTGTCCAGGGACTATACTATATTCTGGCTCCTCAAAATACCCTGTGATCGTAAACATATAAATTTCCTTTAATCAGACGAAGTCCTTTATTTAACAATTATTTTAGAGATATGGAAAAATGAAAGCAACTGGAGAGATCACATAGCCTTAAACTCATACTTAGGTTAAAGTATTTGACCTCCAATGATTCTTATTTGAAGGAGTTTTTGGAATGAAGGTGCCATAGAAAAGATAAGGATTACGTTACAGAAAGAAGTCTGAGGGTCCCCTTGCTTATAAATGTTGGGCATGTTGTCAGTTCTGATCCAATACTAAGCTATAGTTTTATATGCTAGAAGAAGGATTCTCAAGGAATTAGGGAGGGTCTGTCATTCTATAGAGTAGGGAGGATGAAGGAAGAATGTATTTCTTCCAACTACATAAGCCCCAAGTATCTGAAAGGTACCTCATAAAGATACTAGCTACACATACGTACACCCCTCACTAAGCCCAAGGAGAAATGTCACAGATGGGCATGTGATACTCATGTGAATGATGGGGAGGCCCAGAAAAAGTTGAGAACCACTGGCTTGGAATGCTGGGGCTAATGAGCTCTAGAACTTGTTTTCTCATCACTTGATTCTCATAAAAACAGAATGTGGAATTTGCAGCTATCTGAAATACTGGATAGTGCAAACAGTGTGTTGATCTAGGCCCCTCTGTGAGGCTGATACTTCTTTTACACATCCCACAAAAGAAATATAATAATTATTTCTTGGTTGCAAGGCATTATTGAAAAACAGGGGACTTAAATCTGAGATTTCTGTTCATCTTACAGAAGTTACTTGTTTAGATACCAAAGATCCAGGGACTTTGGATAGAGATATTTAGTATTTTGGAAAGATCTGTTTTAGCACTATACCAGTTTCAACTTTACCATTAACTTTGACATCCACAAATTTTCTGAATTTCTCCTCCCACAGGCCCAGATTTTCCTGTTGGCACACACAGAAAAAGGGGGAGCAAATTAAGCTTATACATTGCAACAAATTTGATTACCATGATAGTACATTTTATTTGGATTAGTAAAAAATTAGGCTGAAAAAATGAGTTCATCTTTTAAGACCAGTTTGTAATGTCAGTATATTTAACAAATTAGATCTGTATCCTATATAAATGTCAATAATTATCCTTAAGAACTTTAGCTGACATGAATATATTTTTTATTGTGGTAAAATGCACATAATAAAACTTATCATTTTAACCACTTTAAGTAGCATTAAATATTCACATTGTTGTGCAATCATCATCACCATCCATCTCTAGTACTTTTATGTCTTTCCAAACTGAACCTCTGTACTCATTAAACAGTACCTCCCCATTCTTCCTGCCACCACTCCACCCCCGCCAAATCCTGGCAACTCCTATTCTATTTCCTGTCTCTATGAGTCTTACTACTCTAGATATTTCATGTAAGTGGAACAATACAGTATTTGTCCTTTTGTGTCCGGCTTATTTCATGTAGTATAATGCTTTCAAGATTCACTCATTTATAGCATGTGTCAGAATTTATTCCTTTTAAGGGTGAATAATATTCCACTGTATGTATGTACCACATATTGTGGATGCATTCACCTGTCAATGACACTCAGATTGCCAGACTGCTTCCACATTTTGGCTACTGTAGATAATGCTGCTATGAAGAACATATGCATACAGATATCTGTTTGAATGCTGACTTCTACTTCTGAATATATACTTATAAATGGAATTGCTGAATCATATTGTAATTCTATGATTAATTTTTTGAGGAACTGCCACACCATTTGACATATCTTCACAGAAGCCAAAATGATGTGAAAGCACTTTGAAAAATGCAGTCTTTACATATGTAAGATATTTTTCTTGTAAATATGTGAGGCAAAACATTTAGAATCAATAACTGAGGACTGTTCTGGAGCCCAAGTAAAGATTTTGGTTGACAGAGGCACGTTCCCCCTGCCTCAATTAGCCCAGCTGTTAGCTATGTCCCTGTTGCTGGCTGGAGAAGTCCACTGGGATGGCAACCACTCAGGTTCATAATCTCTTGATCTAGAGTTATGAACTTTTTCAGCTTTACAAAAGTTTCCTATCCTCTAGTAGAGTGAAAAAGTTTAAAAAAAATTGTGTGTGTGCAACTCCACTCCAGGAAAACAAAAAACCCAGTTAAAAATGGGCAAAAGGCATGAACAGACACTTCTCCAAGGAGGACATGCAGAGGGCCTGGAGACATTTGAAAAGATGCTCAGCATCACTAACCATCAGAGAGATGAAAATTAAAAACACAATGAGATACCACCTCACACTGGCCAGAATGCCCATCATAAATCAACAAACAAGTGTTGGAGAGGTTGTGGAGAAAAGGGAACCCTAGTGCATTGCTGGTGGGATTGCAGACTGGTAAAACCACTGAAACCGCTGTGGAAAACAGTATGGAATTTCCTCAGAAAACTAAAAATGGAACTGCCTTTTGACCCAAGCAATTCCACTGCTGAGATTATATCCTAAGAGCCCTGAAACACTAATCCAAAAGAACCTATGCACCCCAATGTTCACAGCAGCACGATTTATAATAGCCAAGTGCTGGAAGAACCTAAGTGCCCATCAGCAAATAAGTGGATCAAACAACTATGGTACATTTACACAATGGAATTCTATGCAGCAGAGAGAAAAAAGGAGCTTCTACCCTTTGCGACAGCATGGATGGAACTGGAGAGCATTATGCTAAGTGAAATAAGCCAGGTGATGAGGGACAAATACCATATGATCTCACCTTTAACTGGAACATAATCAACAAAAGAAAGAAGCAAACAAAATATAACCAGAGACATTGAAATGAAGAACAATCTAACAATAGCCATAGAGGAGGGGGGAGGGGACACTGAGGAAAAGGGTTTTCAGGAGCTACTATAAAGAACACCTGGACAAAACCAAGGGGGAAGGTGGAACCAAGGGAGGGAGGTGAACTTCTCTGGGGTTAGGGGGAGGGGTGGGGAGAAAATGCAGACAACTGTAATTGAACAACAATTAAGTAATTAAAAATTGTGTGTGTGAAATGCATATTTCTTTTTAAAAACTGAGCTCTTTGCCTCTTTTTTAAAAAAAATGACACCTGAATTCTGTTTTTCTTGTGAATTCTCTTTTTACTCAGCATAATATTTTTCATTTATTTAGTTTTAAATAATGTTTTGTTTTTCAATTACAGTTGCATACAGTATTATGTTAGTTTTAGGTATATAACCCAGTGGTTGGACATTATATAACTTATTAAACGATCACTCCAATAATCAAATACCCATACATAATTATTATAATATTATTGACTATATTCCCTTTGCTGCACTTTACATCCCCGTGACTATTCTGCAACTACTGATTTGTACTTCTTAATTGCTTCACCTTTTTCACTGATCCCCTCAACCCTCTTCCCATCTTTTGAAAACTCAGTCCCTGAAATCCCCACCCCTGTGGCAACCACCAGCTCTCTATCTGTGTCTATAAGACTGTTTCAATTTTGCTTGTTTTATTTTGTTCTTTAGATTCCACATATCAGTGACATCATATGGTGTTTGTCTTTCTCTAATTTCACTGAACATAATACCCTTTAGTTTCATCCATGCTGTCCCAAAGAATATGATTTCATTCTTTTTAATGGCTGAGTAATAGTCCATAGTATACAACTATGTACCACAGCTTTTTTATCCACTGTCCTTTGATAGGCACTTGGATTGCTTCTATAACTGAACTATTGTAAATAACACTGCAATAAACACAGGGGTGTGTATATTCTTTTGAATTAGTGTTTTGGTGTTTTGGGGTTTTTTTTTGTATAAAGCCCCAGAAGTGGAATTGCTGGGTCATAAGGCAATCCACTTTTAATTTTTTGAGGACACTCCATACTGTTTTCCACAGTGGCTACACCAATCTGCATTTCCGCCAACGGTGCACAAGGGTTCCCTTTTCTCAGCATCCTTACCAGCACTTGTTTGTGGATTTACTGGTGATAGCCATTTTGACAGGTGTGAGGTAATACCTCATTGTGGTTTTAATTTGCATGTCTCTGACAATTAGTGATGTAGAGCACCTTTGCACATCTATTGGCCATCTGTATGTCCTTTCTGGAGAAGTGTCTATTCAGATCCTCTGCCCATTTTTAATTGAATTGTTTGTTTTTAAGGGTGTTGAGTAGTATGAATTCTTTATAAATTTTGATATTAACCCCTTATTGGATGCATCATTGGCAGATATGTTCTCCCATTTTGTAGGCCGTCTCTTCATTTTTTTATGGTTTTCTTTGTTGTGCAAAAACTTTTTAGTTTAGTGTAGTCCCATTTGTTTATTTTTTGTTTCCCTTGCCCGAGGAGATACATCACAAAAAGTATATAGCTAAGAGAAATGGCAAACATTTTACTGCCTATGTTTTCTTCTAGAATATTTATGGTTTTGAGTCTTCATTTAGGTCTTTAATCCATTTTGAATTTATTCCTGTATATGGTGGTCTAGTTTTATTTTTATTTTTTGCAAGTATCTCTCCTATTTCCCCAGCACCATTTATTGACTAGTATGTCTTTACCCCACTTTATATTCTTGCTTCTTTGTCAAATATTAATTGACACTATCAGGTGGGTTTATTTCTGGGCTCTCTCTCTTCTGTTCCATTGATTTATGTGTGGGTTTTTATGCCAGTATTATGCTGTTTTGGTTAGTATGGCCTTGTAGTATAGTTTGATATCAGATACTGGGATACCCCTGCCTTTGTTCTTCTTTCTCAATATTGCTGGGGCTATCTGGGGTGTTTTTTTGTGGTTTCATATTAATATCTGTATTATTTGATCTAGTTCTGCAAAATATGCCAGTGGTATTCTGACAGGGATTGTGTTGACTCTATAGATTACTTTGGGTAACATGGACCTTTTTTTGGTTATCGGTGGTTTATTGATAATATTACAGCATAGCAGAAAGATTCAAATGGTTCCACATGGTATTTGAAATTCATCCAACTGTAGGCTGAGTGACTTGCAGGTTGAACAGACTGCCAAAAGTCCAAGAGCTTCAGCATTTCCTTGGCATCAGGATCAACTTCAATGATCTCCTGATCCAGGGCTGAGACCTAGGGACATAAATCTCTCTCCTTTCTCTCTCCTATTCCTGCAGTTTGATGGAGATAATTCTTCCATGGCCCCTCTGAATCCACTTCATCAGATATGTAACATGGCCTGCTATATTTTTTCAGAGCTTCTTGCTGGGGATAATGGCAATCTCCTTGCACAAACATTCACTTGCTGTTGTGGGAGTCATTGCTCAGGTGCGTGTAGTAGTTCTTGATGATGCTTTGGGCTGCTCTCTTCATGGTCTTGGTGCAAAAGCTGCCCATCTTGGCAGGTCCTTGATGAAAGAGCAGTATGGACATTTTAATGAGGTTAATTCTTCCTATCCATGAACATGGTATATGGTTCCATTTATTTGTATCTTTGATTTTTTTCTTCAGTGTCTTATAATTTTCTGAGTACAGGTCTTTTACTTCTTGATTAAGTTTAGTCCTAGGTATTTTACTTAATTTTGGGGGTACAATTTAAATGGGTTTGTTTTCTTAGTTTCCCTTTCTGCTAGTTCATTATTGGTACAGGGTAGTGCTAAAGAAGGTTTACATTTATGACTACCTGAAACACAGAGTTTTTTCTTGTACTATTATTTATTAATTGTATTATTTTTCATATGAACAACTGTAAACCTACCTTTGCCCCCTGCTGTATATAAAAATGCACCTATTTCTGAATATTAATTTTGTATCCAGCTACTTTACTGAATAATTTTATTAATTCTAGTAGTTTTTTGGTGTGCAGTCTTTAGGGTTCTCTATAATTCAATATCATGTCATCAGCAAGTAGTAACAGTTTTATGTTTTTCTTTTCAATTCTGATGCCTTTATCTCTTCCTCTTGTCTGCTGTGCCTAGGACTTGCATTACTATGTTGAATAAGAGTGGTGATAGTGGACATCCCTTGTTTTTTTCCAGATCTTAAGAGAAATGCCTTTATTATGGTGAAGTATGCTCCCTGTATTCCCACTTTGCTGACTTTAAAAAAAATCATAAACAGGTGCTGAATTTTATCATATGCTTTTTCTGCGTCTATTGGCCTGATCATGTGACTTTTATCCTTCATTTGGTTTATGTGGTGTATCATGTTAATTGATTTGCAGATATTGTACAACCTTGCATCCCAGGCATCAGTCCCACTTGATCATGGTGTATGATCTTTTTAATGCATTGCTAGATACAGTTTGCTAATATTTTGTTGAAGATTTTTGCATTTATGTTCATCAGGGCTAGTGGTCTATAATTTTCTTTCTTTGTAGTGTCTTTATTTGGTTTTGGAATTAGGATAATGCTAGCTTCACAAAAAGAGCTTGGGAGTCTTCCCTCCTCTTGAATTTTTTTGCGAATAGTTTGAGAAGGAGAGGTGTTAATTCTTCTTGGAATGTTTGGTAAAATCTTTGGAGGCAACCTGGTCTAGAACTTTTGTTTGCTGGGATTTTTTTGATTACTGCTTCGATTTCATTGTAATTGGTCTGTTCAGATTTTCTGATTCTTCCTGACCCAGTTTTGGAAGAGTATATCTTTCTAGGAATTTACTCATTTTGACCACATTGTCCAATTTGTTGGCATATAGTTGTTTGTAATATTTTCTTACAATCTCTGTATTTCTGTGATGTCAGTTATTTCTCCTCTTTCATTTCTGATTTTATTTATTTGGGTCCTCTCTCTTTTTCTCTTTATGAGTCTGGTTAAAGGTTTATCAATCTTGTTTATCTTTTCAAAGAACCAGCTCTTTGTTTCACTGATCTTTTTTATTGTTTTTTAGTCTCTATGTCTTTTTTTTTTCACTCTAACCTTTATTATTTCCTTCCTTCTATTCACTTTGGGCTTTGTGGTTCTTTTTCTAGTTCCTTTAGATGTAAAGTTAGATTGTTTATTTGACCTTTTTCTTGTTTCTTGAGGCAGGCCTGTATTGCTATGACTTTCTCTGTTAGCATTACATTTGCTGTGTCCCATATGTTTTGGTTTATTGTGTGTTCATTTTCATTTGTCTCAAGGTATCTTTTGATTTCTTCTTTGATCTCATTGTTGACCCATTCACTGTTTACTAACATTATTTAGCCACACCCAAATTCTTAATATAGGAATTATTATACTAGGGTCTATGGATGAGCTTTAGAGTTTGTGAACTCCCTCTAAGAGTATAGGAAAAAATTTCTATAGAGATGACTCACAGCTTTCATCAGATTCTTGCAAGGGGTTCTATGACTCAAAACCACTATCTAACCTATTTAGTTAGAGGTCTCCCAAAAGATGATTTGACATATTGTCACAAAACTGGGCAAAACTATGTCTTAGTTGTTTTTATCTTCTCTGTTTGAAGTGAAAAAGCATTCTCTGTCATACTCAGCAGTATGGATCAGTTCTTAAAAGGAAGAATTAGTCCTTATTGCACTGGAAAAAATGTCATCATTTAGGGCCTCTTTAAAGGTACATGTGGCTTTGGATGAGGCGATTTCTAAAATGTCCTTTCTCCATAATCTGGCCAAAGTAATCTTATAAAAACAGAAATCAGAACATATATCTCTGCATCCTTAAACCTTTCCATAGTTTTCCTTTGCTCTTAGGTTAAAGTCTAAAAGGTAAACATGACTTAGAAGAATGTAAGTAACTGCATGATTATAGGGGAATTTGACTTGTTCAATGATATATTACCAATCATTTGCACAGTACCTGGCATAGAGCAGGCATTCAACAAATATTTACTCAATCAAAGAATTATTACAAGACTCTCCTCAGAAATGCCTCTGCCTATCTCTCCAGCCTTTTTACACAGCAACCTTTCCTTTGCTGTCCTTTCTCCTACTAAAAGTTATATGTATATATGTATGTAAGTATATATTTATGTATGTTTGCATGCATGCATTTAATTTCTTCAAATATGCTTCTTTGTACCTAAAGGTCTTTAAATATGCAATTCCCTTTAGTTGGAATGTGCTTTTCCCAACTTTTTGACTAGCTACTGTATCCTCATACATCAATTTCAGCTTTAACATTATTTCCCTCAGGAGGTCCTTCCTGACCCTCATCTTGGTCAAGTTCATTGCTGCAGTCTCCTATAACAACACCCTTTTGTAACATTCCTCAGGCTTGCAATTGTTTAGTGTCTGTCTTTCCCAATAGATTCTAAGTTTCATGAAGACACAGGATTTGTTTATTAACTGCTGACTCCCCTTGCCTAGTACTTTTTGTGTCTGTGGCTGGCACAAAGCAGTCACTCAAGAATTACCTGTTTTATAAAAAAACAAATAAATACATGAGTGAACAAATGAATAAAAGAATCAACAAGAAGATAAGATGAGCAAGAGAGACAGGTGGTCCCATTTATACATAGTAGAGCATTTATCAAGTACCCCTCTGTAGAAGAAGAGAAGAACCGGACACATTATACACCACACAATGATGGTGAAGGTAAAAATGATTTAAAAAATACAAATTGCTCAATCTAGGTTACCTGAGAGGTGTTGACTGATGCATCCTCCTTTTCTCTGGTAGCTCTGTTTTAATATAAATAAAATTATTTCACACATGGCAAGACTGACAGAATTTTGTTTGATGATAAAGATTTTCATACACAACTTTTGAGACTCTATAAACTATATCCTTTAATTTATTAAAAATAACTTTAGTATAAAAATAAAAAATAAGCTTTTGAAATGGAACATTTATGATGAACATTAATCCAATAGCTTGATTTCTTATACAAACATAGATATATTTGAATTTTCTTAACTTTTAAAAAATACCTCCATCAGCTTTTTATTATAAATGTAATACATGCTCACAGTATTTAAGCAAACATAAGCTAGAACGCAGCTCCCCTCACCCAGTGTTAGCTACTGTAGTACAGAGCAGCAAGATGCACTGCCTTCCAAAATGACAGTGACAACTTACTCTATCACCTATATAGTTGAGTGCTCATTTCTCCCTTATTCTTCACAGTACTGAACTTCATGGATTTCTTAAACCTTTGCCAATCTAAACTTTTAGAAAAGATAATGTATTTCAATTTGAATTTCTATCATTAATAATGTAGACTACCTTTTTATATGTTAAATGGTATTTCTATTTCTTCTGTGAATTACCTATTCATTATACATTAATTTTTTCTTTAGTACAACATACAGCATTCATATAGAAGAGTATATAATGCATAAACAGACTTTAGAGAATATTACTGAAGGGAACAACTATGAACCCACCAGTAAGCATAAGCAACAGAAATGACTTGTTCCTTTGGAGTTCCTGTGTACCTCTTTTCAAATGTATCTACCTCCATACCTCCCCTCAGAGGTAACCACTTTACTAGATTTTGTGTGCATCATTTTCTTGCTGTTTTTTACAGTATTGCCATGAGTGTATGAATCCTAAAACATATGTCACTTGGTTTTGCCTTTAAAAAATGCTTATATAATAGAGATACACTGTATATATTCTCTTGTGACATCACAAAATTTTTTAAACTCATTATCAAAATTTTGATATTCATCATATTATATAATATGCAGTACTACAGTTTGTATCACCATTTTTTATTTGGTTGTTGTTTTTCTTATTGATTTGTATATATTCTTTTTGTATTATGCATGTTAGCTTTTGACTTCTTATATAGGTTAAAATTCTGTGGCAAAATTTAAAATAACTGATATGTTGCCTTTTAATTTTTTAAAATTAGTAAACTTTATTTTTAGAGCACTTTTAGGTTCACAGCGAATTGATCAGAAAGTGCACAGAGTTCCCACATACCTACCATTCCCACATTCCCACAGTCTTGCCCCTATCAATATCTTGCACCTGAGTGGTCCATATGTTACATTCACTGAACCTACACTGACATAGCATTATCACCCAAGGTCCATAGTTTAATTAGGGTTCACTCTTGGTACTGTACATTCTGTGCATTTCGGGAAATGTATGATGACATGTACTTACCATTGTAGTATCATACTGTGTAGTTTCACTGCCCTAAAAATCTCCTGTATTCTAACCATCCCTCCTTCCTCCTTAACCCCTGGCAAGCACTAATCAATCTTTTTACTATTTCCATAGTTTTGCCTTTTTCAGAATTTTATATAGTTGAAACTAAAATGGCTGTATACGTGTAGTCTTTTTCATATTGGCTTCTTTTACTTAAGTTTCCTTTCTGTCTTTTCATGGCTTAGTAGTTGATTTCTTTTAGGTGCTAAATAATATCCCATTGTCTGGATGTAACCATTTATTTATTTATTGGCCTACTGAAGGATATCTTGGTCACTTCCAAGTTTTGGCAGTTATGAATAAGGCTGCCACAAGCATCATATGTGGGTTTTGTGTGGACATAAGTTTTCAGCTCCCCTTTGGGTAAATACCAAGGAAAACATTGCTGGATTGTATCATGAAAGCATGGTTAGTTTTATAAGAAGCAAACTGTCTTCCAAAGTGACTGTCATTTTGCATTCCCACCAGCATGAATATGACTTCTTATTGTTCCACATCCTCACCAGCATTTTGTTGTCAAGTGTTTTGAATTTTGGCCATTCTAGTAAACTGTAGTGGTATCTTTTTTAATTTGTAATTCCCCAATGACATAAGATATTGAACATCTCTTCATATGCTTACTTGCCATGCATATACCTTCTTTGGTGAGGTATCTGTTCAGGTCTTTTACTAATTTTTAAATTAAGTATCCAGTTTCTTATCACTGAATTTTAAAAGTTCTTTGTATATTTTGGATAGCGGTCCTTTATCAGCTGTGTCTTTTGCAAATATTCCCTCCCAGGCTGTGGCTTGTCCTCTCATTTTCTTGACATTGTTTTCCACTTAGCAATAGTTTTTAATTTTGATAAAGCCCAACTTATCATTTATTTCTTTCAGAGATCATGCCCTTGGTGATATATATATATAAAATGTTGCCATACCCATGGTCATCTAGGTTTTCCCCTATGTTATCTTCTAGGGGGTTTATAGTTTTGCATTTTATGTTTAGATCTAATATCCATTTTGAGTTTACTTTTGTGAAAAATATAAGGTCTGTGTTTAGATTCATTTTTTTTGCATATGAATGTCTAGTCATTCCAGACTTTTTGTTGGAAAGGATATCTTTGCTCCATTGTATTGCCTTTGCTCCTCAGTAAAAAATCAGTTCACTATATTTATGTGGGTCTATTTTTGGGCTCTCTATTTTGTTCCATTGATCTATTTGTCTGTTCACTCACTAATACCACACTGTCTTGATTACAGTTTTATATTAAGTCTTGAAGTAGCATAGTGTCAATCCTCCAACTTAGTTCTCTTTCAACAGTGACTTGGTATTCTGGGTCTTCTGCCTCTTCATATAAACCACAGAATTGGTTTGTCAACACCCACAAAATAATTTTCTGTGATTTTGACTGGGATTGAATTGAATCTCTAGACCAAATTGGGAAGAACTGACATTTGATAATATTGAGTCTCCCTGTCCATGGACATGGAATATCTCCTCACTTATTTAGTTCTTCTTTGATTGCTTTCATTAGAATTTTGTAGTTTTTCTCATATAGATCTTGTACATATTTTGTTAGATGTATACCTAAATATTTCATTTTGGGGGTGCTAATGTAAATGTGGAATTTTAATTTCAAATTCCACTTGATCATTACTGGTATATAGGAAAGCAACTGACTTTTATCTGTTAACTTCATACCCTGCAGTCTTGTTATAACTGTTTATTATAACAAGTTTTTTGTGTGTGTGCATGCCAGTTTTGGATTTTCCACATAGACAGTCGTGCCATCTGTGAACAAAAGGTTTTATCTCTTCCTCCCCATTGTATATAACTTTAATTTCCTTTTCTTGTCTTATTGCATTACCTAGGACTTCCAGTACAATACTGGAAAGTGGTGATGAAAGGGACATCTTTGCTTTGTTTCTAAACTTAGTGAAAAAGATTTGTCTTACCGTTAAGTATATAGTAGCTACAGGATTTGGGTAGATGTTCTTTACCAAAATGAAGAAGTTACCTTCTATTCCTAGTTTGTTGAGTTTATATCATGCGTGAATGTCGTATTTTGTCAAATGCTCTTCCTGCATCTATTGATATGATCATGTGATTTTTCCTCTTTAGGTTCTTGATGTGACCAATTACATTAGTTGATTTTTGAATGTTAAGCTTTTCATGCCTGGAGTAAATCCAAGTTTGTTGTGGTATATGATTCTTTTTATAAATCGTTGGATTGAATTTGCTAATATTTTGTTGAATATTTTTGCATTTATGCTCATGAATTTTCTTGTAATGCTTTTTGGTAGTTTTTTGATATTAGATAATGGCCTCATAAATGAATAAGGAAGAATTCCCTTTTCATCTATTTTCTAGAAGAGATTTGGAGAAGTGGCCTAATATTTTCCGTGTTTGGTAAAATTCACCAGTGAACCCATCTGGGCCTAGTACTTTCTTTTTTGGAGGGTTGTTAATTATTGATTCAATTATAGGCCTATTCACATTGTCTATTTCTTATGAGAGTTTTAGCAGATTGTATCTTTTAAGGAATTGGTCTGTTTCATCCAAGTCATCACATTTATGGGCACAGAGTAGTCCATAAAATTCTTTTATTATCTTAATTCCAAAGGAAATATAGTGATATCCTTTCTTTCATTCTGACGTTAGTAATTTTTGTCTTCTCTCTGTTTTGTTGCCTGAGTAAAGGCTTATTGATTTTATTGATCTTTTTAAAGAAACACTTTTGGTTGTGTTTATGTTTTCTTCTGATTTCCTGTTTTCAATTTGATTTCTGCTTTAATTTTTAATATTATTTTGCTTCTAGTTATTACTTAACATGTTCTTCTTTTTCTAATTTCCTAAAATGGGAGCTTAGATTATTGATTTTAGATTTTTTTCTTCTAATATATGCATTCAAAGCTAAAAATGCGCTCTAGGCATTGCTTTTGCTACATCCCACACATTTTGATAAGTTTTATCTTCATTTAGTTCATAATATTTTTTAAAATTTTAGGAGATTTCTTCTTTGACCTCTGTTATTTAGAAGTGTGTTGTTTAATCTTCAAGTATTTTGGAACTTTCCAGCTTCCTGCTATTTATTTCTAATTTAATTCCATTGTGGTCTGAGAGTCAGCACTGTATGATTTCTATATGTCAGGGTATATTTTATGACCCAAAATATGGTCTATCTTGGTGAATGTTCCATGTGAGCTTGAGAAGAATGTATAATCTGCTGTCATTGAATGAAGAAATCTATAGATGTCAATTATATTCAGTTGATTGAGTTTGCTGTTGAATTCAATTATGTTCACACTAATTTTCTCTCTGTTGGACCTATACATTTCTGATGAAAGGGTGTTAAGGTGTCTGATTATAATAATGGATTCATCCATTTCTTCTTGTAGTTCTATCAGTTTTGCCTCATGTATTTTGAGGTTCTATTGTTAGGCACAACAACATTAAGGACTAGTGTGTCTTCTAAAAGAATTGACCCCTTTATCATTATGTAATACTCTTCTTTATCCCTGATAATTTCCCTTGTTCTGAAGTTTGGTCATTCTGAGATTAATATAACTACTCTTACCTTGTCTTGACTAGTGTTAGCATGGTATATCTTCCTCCATTTCTTTACTTTTAATCATGTGTCTTTATATTTAACTTTTCTCAGACAAGTCTAGGGTAACTCATGTTATTATATGGGGTAAAGTGACATTCTCAAGACATGTTAGTTCACATTAACACTTATCAAGTTAACAGTATTTTTTAGAAGGGTGTGGAGGGGAGTTGTTGGGAGGAGGGAAAGGAAGAAGATGGATTTCTGGTTAAGATGGAGGTGTAGGTAAACATATTTCACCTCCTCAAACAACAACAGAAAGAATTACAACTAGACCTCAAAACAAATAACATCCAGAACCATCAGAAAATCAAACTGTATGGAAGTTTGACAAATAAGGATTTAAAGAAGCCACAGTCATCCAGACAGATAGGAAGGGCGGAGATGTGGAGACAGGCAAAGATGGGCAGAGAAGTGTGGGTGGATAAATGTGGGAAGGGGCCCTGACTGGCATGGCTCAGTGGATTGAGAACTGGCCTGCAAACTGCTGTTTTGATACCCAGTCAGGGCACATGCCTGAGTTGCGGGCCAGGTCCCCAGTTGAGGGTATGTGAGAGGTAACTGATTGATTTATCTCCCACAAGTCGATGTTTCTCTCCCTTTTCTTCTCCCCCCTTTCCCCTCTCTCTAAAAATAAATAAATAAAATCTTTAAGAAATTCAGGAGGGATACCTTGGGAGTGAGTGATCCCAGCCCCAGGCCAGATGGGGGTTCCAGTGCCAGGAAGATAAATCCCCATAACTTCTGGCTGCAAAAACCAGTGGGGGTTGGGGTGTCAGAAGAAACTTCTAGATTTTCAAGAGACTCGGATTAAAGGGCTGACACAGACTTAAAATGTACATAGGTCCACCCCCTCTGGAATTCAGCACCAGGGCAACAGCTGGAAGGGCCACAGTCTCACAGGGTGAGTGCCAGGCAAACCTCCAGAAGGCAGGCAGTGGCATTGTTTCCTCTCCGAGTCTGTCTCCACCCCCCCCCCCCCAAACATACACACACAGAGCTGCGAAGCAGTGAAGTGGGTTGCCCCACCCTGGCAATTATCTAAGGCTCTGCCCCACATAATTTACAGGTGTCTTTTCTACAATAGGCCAGGCTACTAAGACAGTGAGTCAAAGCAGCTCTACCTAATACACAGAAACAAATATAGGGAGGCTGCCAAATTAAGGAAACAAAGAAATATGGCCCAAAGGAAACAACAGAACAAAACCCCACAAGAGGAACTACATGAAATGAAGATAACCAGCCTATCAGATGTGGAGTTCAAAACACTGGTGATCAGTATAATCAAAGAACTCATTCAGTATAGCAAAAAAATAAAAAAGACCCAGGAAGAAATGAAGGTTACACTAAGTGAAATAAAGAAAAATCTACAGGAAACAAACAGTGGAAGGGATGAAGCTGGGTTCAAATCAACAGTTTGAAACATAAGGAAGAAATAATTATTTAACTAGAACAGCAAGAAGAAAAAAGAACTAAAAACAAAAAACAAAAAACAAGGAGAGTATAAGGTGCCTCTGAGACATCTCCAAACATACCAACATCCAAATCATAGGGACGCCAGAAGAAGAGGAAGAGCAAGAAATTTGAAACTTATTTGAAAAAATAATGAAAGAAAACTTCCCTAATTTGGTTAAGGAAATGGACATACAAATATAGGAAGCACAGAGAATCCCAAACAAGTTGGACCCAAAGAGGACCACAACAAGACACATCATAATTAAAATGCCAAAGTTTAAAGACAAAGAGAAAATCTTAAAAGCAGCAGGAGGAAATCAGCAAGTTACCTACAAAAGGGTTTCCATAAGACTGTCAGCTGATGTCTCAAAAGAAACCTTACAGGCTAGATGGGACTGGCAAGTAGTACTCAAAGTGAAGGAAAGTAAGGACCTAATCTAAAACTTAGATTACTCTATCTAGCAAAGCTATAATTTAGAATGGAAGAGCAGATAAAATGCTTCCCAGACGAGGTAAAGCTAAAGGAATTCATCATTACCAAACCATTATTACATGAAATGTTAAAGGGACTTATTTAAGAAAAAGGAGAAGATCAAAACTATGAACATTAAAATGGCAACAAATTCACAACTATCAACAACTGAATCTAAAAAAAGACAAATAAAGCAAACAAGCAGAACAGGAACAGGATCATAGATATGGAGATCACTTGGAGGGTTATCAGCTGGGAAGGGAAAGGGGAAGATTGGGGGGAAAGTACAGGGATTAAGAAGGACATATTGGTAGGTACAAAATAGACAGGAGGATATTAAGAATAGATAGGAAGTGGAGAAGCCAGAGGATTTATATGTATGACCCATGGATATGAACTAAGGTGGAGGGATAGCTGGAGGGAAGGGGGGGGCACTGGATGGAGGGGGCAAAGGGGTAAAAATTGGGACAACTGTTATAGCATAATCAATAAAAATATATTTAAAAAAAGAAGGGTGCAAAAGGTTGAGAATGACATCAGTAAACACACAAGATATGTTCAGAGTGTCACATTTGTGAAAGCATGGGAATCATTCTTGTCATCAAGCCTGTATTCACCTGTATAGGTAATAGATGAAACTTCTCAGAACAATATTGTCGGCAAAATAAGGCAAAATAATTTTCTATGTTGATACATTATAGATTTAGGCAACTTGTATTCACAATCAGTTTTCTTAAATTCTTTATGTGTCAAGTAATGTACAAAATACCTTTGCTTGAGGGGAATCTGCAGGTGCTCAAAGTACAATTGGCCCAGGGAGTTTATGCTGATCACAACCTCTTGTTCAGACACCAAGTCTACCTTGAATGGGTTTGCCATGATATGACACTTTAGATCTCCTTTTCCATCTGCCAGTACCAGACTGCCTGCATCCCCTGAGCATGAAATCAGCCTAGAAAAAAGGCAGGAAGAGAAAAACAAATTGCTATAGATTTACATGACTCAATTCAAGTCTCAATTCAAATTCATTAATTAGTAAATCAATATTCATGTGACACAGCATGGATAAGGCAATGGAGAGCCAAAACAGAGGCATGGGCTTTGGTGTCAGAGAGCCTGGATTGAACCTAGCTCCACCATGCACTAGGTGTATAACTTTGGACAAGTGAATCAATCTTTCTACTTCTCAATTTCCTCATCTGTAAAGTGGAAATAAGAAAAGCAAGAATAAATAGAATTTTTTGAGAGAATGAAATGAGATCATGCAGGAAAAGCACTTGGCACAGTGCCTGGCACATAGTAAGCACTAAATAATGTTAGCTATGGTTACCTTGGTCTAGATAGTTGAGTAACACTGGTGCATAGAATCTAAACACTTTGCTTTTCTTTCTCATTCCAACATGTACTCAGAAACTGAGGAAATAACACAGATTGGGTTATTGATCCCCTGAGTCCACTGTGAGACGGAGCCAGGTCAAACTTTTGTTTATCTATTTATTACCCAACTTCCCTCAGACCCTAATTTGAAGTGTAGACTGTTAAGATGTTTTGGATCACCAGAATCTATATAAACCCAGAGGCTGCATTTAAAGTCCCTAGAAGGTTAACATTTCTTTCCTTCCTTTTTAAAAAGATTTTATTTGTTTGTTTTTAGAGAGAGGGGAAGGGAGGGAGAAAAAGAGAAACACTGATCAATTGCCTCATGTGCACCCCCAACTGAGAACCTGGCCCAAAACCCAGGCATGTGCCCTGACTGGGAATCAAACCAATGACCTTGCAGTTTGCAGGCCAGCACTCAGTCCACTGAGCCACACAAACCAAGGCAGGTATTTCTTTCTCTGGTGCATAGTCAACCCCAGTAAATAGTCATAACCTCTTTAGGGAAGGTTAGGAGGGTAAGTTTGTTCTTATTATATCCTTACAATATCCTTGTCCATTAATTCTAGGCCTCCCCTTCAAGCAAGATGCTTGGGTTCTAGAAACTAACTTTATTTGGAATTGTTTGAGACACACTGTTCATCAAACATAAATAGAATGCTTTTAATTATTCCATCAAGTAGGACATCAGTCCATTTATTTCAGTTAAACATACCCTTGATATTATAGTTCACTGCCCTGAGGTTTTAACCATTAAAGCCCTACCACACATTATGAAAACATGTCCACCTTGTCTCTTACAACTAAATGCTGCTCTCTGCTATCTGGAGTTTCATCATCTCCACTGAAATTGCAGAGCCCATTTTTATGGCATTATTTCCCACCATTATCTCTAGCTTGAAAATATGTTCACACACTACAGTGTTTTCCAAGTGTCCTCTCACCAATGTATTTCTCTATGAAGGGGGTATCTTCTGGATCCTCTTGGAGAACAGAATTAGGGGCTAGATGAGCTGTTTGCATATAATATGTCCACTTCAACATCTTTATATCACTAAGTTTTTGGATCATTTCTTATACAATGTGTCAGTTTCTGGTATCTCAGCTTCATTCTGTAGAGTTCAACATAGCTGGATACAGAATATGGGTAACCAAACAAGCAAATAATTAGAACCACTCCCAGCTAATATACCAAATCTAGATGTGGCCATGTAAATAAATTTAGTGTGATGTTAAAATTATGTTCCTTCCTTTGGTCTAAGAATCCCTGAGAAATCATTTCCAATATTTTATATTTTGCCAATTTAAAGTCTTAAAATTTGTCCTGGCTGGTGTGGTTCAGTGGATTGAGTGCTGGCCTGCAAACCAAGGGGCTGCTGGTTTGATTCCCAGTCAGGGCACAGGACTGGGTTGCAGGCCAGGTCCCCAGTTACGGATACACAAGAGGCAACTGCACTTTGATGTTTCTCTCCCCCTCTTTCTTCCTCCTTTCCCCTCTCTCTAAAAATAAACAAATAAAAGATTTTTTTAATTAAAAAACATTTTTTTAAGTACCAACACATAAAGAAGAGATAGGAGATCCTTTGGATATGTCCCCTAGAGCAAGGGACATAAAGGAAAGATTAAACAAATGGGATATCATCAAAATAAAAAGCTTCTGCATGGCTAAAGAAAACAGCATTAAAATGAAAAGAAAACCAACTGTATGGGAAAACATATTTGCCAATGATATCTCGGACAAGGGTTTGATCTCCAAAGTATAAAAAGAATGTACATGAGTCCACTCCAGGAAGACAAACAACCCAATTAAAAAATGGGCAAAAGACCTGAACAGACACTTCTCTAAGGAGGACATACAGGGATGGCCCATAGACATATGAAAAGATTCTCAGCATTACTTGCCATCAGAGAGATGCAAATTAAAACCACAATGAGATGCAACTTCACACCGGTGAAAATGGCCATCATAAACCAATCAACAAACAAGTGTTGGAGAGGATGGGGAGAAAAAGGAACCCTAGTGCACTGTTGGTGGGACTGAAGACTGGTGAAGCCACTGTGGAAAACAGTATGGCATTTGCTCTAAAAACTGAAAATGGAACTGCCTTTTGCCCTGGCAATTGCACTGCTGGGATTATATCCTAAGAACCCTGAAATATCAATCCAAAAGAATCTATGCACCCCAATGGTCATAGCAGCACAATTTATAATAGCCAAGTGCTGGAAGCAACCTAAGTGTCTATCAGTAAGTGAATGGATCAAAAAACTGTGGTACATTTACACAGTGGAATACTGTGCAGCAGAAAGAAAGGAGGAGCTCCTACCCTCTGCAACAGCATGAATGGAACTGGAGAGCATTATACTAAGTAAAATAATCCAGGTGGTGAAAGAGAAACACCATATGATCTCACCTTTAAGTGGAACCTAATCAACAAAACAAACAAGCGAGCAAAATATGCCCAAAGAACCATTGAAATTAGGAACAAACTGATAGTGACCAGACAGGAGGGGATAATAGGGGGAAAAGGGGGAAGCGTTTTCAGGAACAACTGTAAAGGACACATGGACAAAACCAAAGGGGCAGAGTGGGATCAGGGGAGGGAGGTGGGAATGACTGGGGTGGGGGAAGTGGCGGGAGAAAATGCAGACAACTGTACTTGAACAACAATAAAAACAATAAAAAATAAAATAAAATCCTAAAATTCTTTAGGTGAGGTGTATGAGCCTTCTCCTCCTGGAGTTGACTGTAATTGGCTCCCTAGGCATACTGGACTCTGACAGGGGGTCTGGAAGCAGTGAAGGGTGGCGGGGGTGAGACGCAAAGAGCATTGGAACCCCCTAGTATGGTATATCTTAGGTGAGGTCAACACAGAATGCCCAAGCAAGGGAGGATCAGCTTTATCAGACAGAGAAGAGAGAGCTACTTCTGCCAAAATGGGAGGCTCAGTGGCATTTTGAGGTTTGTATTCAGAGTTATCCAAATGTTGCTATTCAATTTTGAGGGGATTTACTTTTTCCCAGTTAATACCCTAAATTCACAGACCTGATGAGACTGTGAATTCAACTTTATGGTCTTTTACAGCAAATCATGGAATCAAAAACGTATCTTATTTTCAACTACAAGCACTGTGTAGCTACAACAGATATGAGAGACTTTAGATTGTCACAGGAACCTATTAGGTTTCTGACAATGCTTTGAGCTAAGAATTTTAAGTCCTGAGACTGCTGTTTTCTTTCTTAAATTCTTCATAGTAGCCAGGCCACCTGAGATTTTTAATTCTGTGTGACAATCATGCTATGTTATGGTCCCACCACTTGGTCTGCCAGGGCTGTACTTTTAATAGGCAATTTATTTCAGTTTACTACTGGTAGTAATTTAAGTAACTTAGCCATGGAATTATATGGTTTATTACTATAACAGTTTATTAGCTTGCTAGAGCTGCCATAACAAAATACCAGACTGGGTGGCTTAAACAACGGAAATTCATTTTCTCACAATTCTGGAGGCTAGAAGTTTAAGATCAAAGGGTCAGCCATTTTAGTTTCTTCTGAGACCTCTCAGAAGAGGTGCAGATGGCCATCTACTTGCTTTGTCCTCACATGGTTATCCCTCTGTGTTAAGCTCTGTCCTAATCTCCTCAAAGGACACTAGTCATTTAGATTGCAGCCACCCTCATGACCTAATTTTAACTTAATTGCCTCTTCAAAGGCCCTGTATCTAAATAAGTCACATTCTGAGATGCAAGGGTTTGGGGTTTTAACACATAAGTCAGTAGGAACACAGTATTCAGCCCCTAGCACTAATATCTCACTCTCTAATGGTAATCAGGTCCTCACAGTCTTCAAATCCAACTAGATCAGCTAACCAACTTCCTATTCCATCCCCCCCACCCCCATCCCTGATATCTTTTGCTTCTACTCACTGCTGATACCAATGCTTACATCAACCAAGACTCAACTGTAGATAACAGAATCAATTCTGGCTACTTTAAGCAGAAAGTAAATGACAATATGGGGGAATTAGGAGCTTACAACATCATGGAAAGGGCTGAGGAAGCAGGTCCCTGAGTGGACATTCAGTAATGACCCCCTAGAACAGTACTGCATGACTACATGGCCTATGGAACTTCCACCTCAGCTAGAATCAGGAAGTTGGGCAATCAGAAGTCACTGTTGGCATCTGCTGGGGCTCCAGAATCATGCCACCCTAGCTGCAATCCAGAGATCAGGAACCACTGCACTAACTAGTGTAGCTTTAGAGCCATTCTATACCTGCCAAATCCATACCAGCAAAATGGAAAACTTGGGTCTGATTTCAAGATACCTGTAAATGAAACTAATTGGTTGAACCTGAGTGACATCAGAAACAAGCCACATGGGAATCTGGGAAATAGAGAGATGTAGTTTTTAGCTCTCTAGTTATTGCAATAGTCAAAGGCCTTGGGCCTTTGGGTCTACAAAGGGATTGGAACAGAAGTAGAGCTAATATACCATATTTACTACACAAAGCTAGTATGACCCTGACTCCCAAAAATGGCAAAGATAGCTAAGAAAAAAAGAAAACTACAGCTCTAACAAGGGGTTACTACCCAAAATATATAAAAAATGCATACAACTCAACACCTAAACCAATTAAAAAATGGGCAGAGGACCTAAACAGACACTTCTCCCAAAAAGACATAAAAATGGTCAACAGATACATGAAAAAATGCTAGCTATTAGGGAAATGCAAATCAAAACTACAATGAACACCACCTCATACCTGTTAGGATGACTATTATCTCAATAAGACCAGTAATAACAAGTGTTGGAGAGATTGTGGAGAAAGAGGAACCCTAATTCACTGCTGGTGGGAATGTCAACTGGTGCAGCCATTATGGAAAACAGCATGGAGGTTCTTCAAAAATAATTAACAATAGAGTTACCATTGACCCAGCAAACCCACTTCTGGGTCTACCTGAAAAATTTGAATGCATGTATTTACAAAGATATATGCACCCCTATGTTCATTGAAGCATTATTCACACTGGCCAGACATGGAAATAACTGAAGTGCCCTTTGATAGAGGACTGGATAAAGAAGATGTGGTACATATACAATGGAATACTACTCAACCATAGGAAAAGATGAAATACTGTCATTTGTGACATGGGTGGAGTGGGTCTTGAGAATGTCAAGGTAAGTGAAGTAAGTCAGACAGAAAAAGAACCATATGATTTCACTCATGTGGGATATAGAAGTGAAAGTAATAAACAAGACAAACAAAAACTCATAAACACAGACTACAGTATGGTGGTTACCGAGGCAGGGGTGAAAGGGGTAGTAAGGGTATAGGGGGTCAAATACATGGTGATGGAAGATCTGACTTCGGTGGTGGGCACACAATGAAATATACAGATGATGTATCATAAAAATTGTATACTTGAAATCTATATAATTTTATTAACCCTTATTACCCCAATAAATTTAATAAAAAAAGAGAAATGTCCCTGGCCAGATAGCTCAGTTGGTTGGAGCACTGTCCCAATATGCCAAGGTTGCAGGTTTGATCCCTAGTCAGGGCACATACAAGAAGCAATCAATGAATGCATAAATAAGTGGAACAACAAAGCAATGTTTCTCTCTCCCTCTCTCTCTGTCTCTGTTTCTCTCTCTCGTTCTTCCTCTCTCTCTAAAAAAGATCAATAAATAAAAAATTTTAAAAAGAAAATACACACACACACACACAAAGAAAACTACAGTCTAATCTTACTTATGAACACAGATGTAAAAATATTAAATGATCTACTAGTAAAGTGAATCCTCCAAGATAGTAAAAAGTAATATATTGTGGCCAAGTGAAGATGCGTGTGTGTATTACATATACACTTATTTGCCAAACCGAAAAGCCTTGACAACAGTTTTTTTTTAGCATATTATTTATTTTTAGAGATTTTATACATTTACTTTTGGAGAGAGGGGCAGGGAATGAGAGAGGGAGAGAAACATGTAAGAAAAACATCTATCAGTTGCCTCTCACACGCCCCCAACTGGGGACCTGGCCCACAAGCCAGGCATGTTCCCTGAATGGGAATTGAACCAGCAACCTTTCAATGCTCAGGCCAACGTTCAATCCACTGATCCACACTAGCCAGGGTGAGAACAGTTTCTTTTTAATTCTTGTTTCCTAAATATTGGCATATACTAGTGGCCCAATGAATAGAAATATTTTAAATTTATGATGATTCTATCATAACTGAATAATTTCTCCTTCTAATTTATTGATCTTTTATCTTCATTGCAATAATAGAAATTATTTTTCATGGGAAAAATGTACACAAAACTATAATAATGATGTAGTGAAAAATTAAAGCATTTGGCATAATCTTATACTCCTTTGGTGTAATAATATGGAAAAATAACAGAAATCAACAGGCAGAACCAAGCTGAAATATCACTGGAAAGTGTGCTGAGAAGTGATAAAGATTCTGCAAGTACATGAAAATGCTTTAATCCCAAAAGATTTTTTTCACTTAGACACTGATTATTAATTAATTAATCTCTGCCTCTAAGTCAAATTACATGTTAGACTTCTGAGACTTCCCTTAATTAAAAGTGAGTCAATCTAACTGTATAGAGTACTGCAAGCATGGGAGTTTGGCTAGTGTATTAGATCTCTGGAGCCCTGCTGCTAATCTGAGTGAGTAAATTAAATAGCTCTTCTTCCACTTGCTCCCAGAAGTCCAGTTGACCAACTGTTTGCTTTGTGAGAAGGAGAGCAGGCATCAAAAGCTCTGGCTCTACCCATTAATAAGTGCTGATGAGCCAAATGGTGGGTAAAGAGAAAACAGAATGGATCACAAAATGGAAACTAACTCTGCAAATGACTATAGATTTGAATAGACAAAACTCGAGGTGCACACAAAATCTACTACTAAAGGTATGATACAATAATAAATTGAGGGTGTAGTCAAGATATCTTGATCCTTGGCTTACCTTACAGTATTTGGCTTGCTTGTGAGGACATCGGGAACTTCATACCTGGGCTTCAGGGGAGTTTCTTCATTGATTTTAAGCCTGAAAATATTTCCCTCTATACCAAAAACTTCAGCCAAAAGAGGAACCTGGATACAAACATATGAGATTGTTTCCACATGGTACCCCAGTGATGGTCAGTCCTATAATCAAATAACAACAGCTAGAAAACCATGTTTAAATTATTCAGTCCAAACTGGAGAAAAATGGCAAGTTGAAGAAAAAAGCTCCCATATCTATGTGTGTACTTGCTTGCCACTTGAATAGACTTATGGTAGAGACAAGAAACACCTTCTATGTTCTGTGGCTAGGCAAAAATAAAATTGTTAGGACCAGGACTTTTAAAAGTGAAAGAGGTCTCTGGTAATAATTATACCAGATGACAGCTATCAACTGAAATTGCTCCTGCAAAACTGGGACATATGATCACTGTACCTATGACAGATATCTTGAGAATAAGAGTTTGGTGTCAAAACTAGAGTAACTTGATTACAGCTGAATGGAAGATTAAGGGTAACATCCGCAGAGTAGAAAAGATTAGTGAACCCGTGGTTATTTGGGCTCTCTAGTGCAGACAAACGAGGCTTGTTGCACTAAAACCAAGGTACTTCCTGTGCACCTGGGCATATGGGAACTTTCTCAAGAGGCTGGGGAACTTGGGTAAAATTTTGCTTACAGTGGAAGATGGAAGCAACATAAAATTATAAAGAGAATACAGAATTTGAAAAAACACAAAACAACAAAATCTGAGAGTACAAGGGGCTGGATTAAGGTTATAAAATGAGACATCTAGATTGGAGAAATATTTTAAGATTGTGGTTTTCAACTGGTGTGCCATGACACCCTGGTGGGTCTCAAATCCTTCAAGTGTAATGCCAAAATCTGGTTACAACTGGGGACATCTACTGTTACTGTAATGTCTGTGAAATGAAAGGCTAAGCTGGGTAGGCGGTGATGTAGCACAGAGCAGGCACATGTGGTGTAAGTAAGGGACAGGAAGTAGGAGAATATCAAAGCAGTACCAAAATCATGATGTTACTGGAACTTGCTTTTGGGAACATAATAGTCAGGGCACTTAAATGGTGACATGACACTGGAGCGTGACCAGGTAAATTAGTGCAGTGGCTGCTTTTACGGACATTTTTAAGATAGGGTTATGATATAATAGTGATCATACTGTAATTATTTTTCCCAGATTTACTGAAATGCCATTGGTATATAATACTGTGTAGGTTTGTGTACGTGTTGATTCAATACACTTACATATCACAAAATGATTGCCACCATAGCCTTAGCTAACATCTGTGTCATGTCTCATATATCATTTCCTTTTTGTGGTAAGAACATTCAAGATCTAGTCTCTTAGCAACTTTTAAGTATAGAGTATTATTCACTATCATCACTATATTACTGTACATTAGATCTCCGGAAGTTACTCATCTTACACGTGGAAGTCTGCTGTCTTTGATAAATTACCTCTCCTTTCCCCCCTACCCCAATCATATTGTAATTACTGTTTACATTTAATGTCCTTTTGTATATTTGAATTATCAATACTTAAGTGTGTTATCAGAATTCTAAATTTGAAAATGTCCAAATATAAAGCTAAAATCATGTTAGATTACATATCACCTTCCAAATTAGATGTGTATTTCCACTGTTCTCTCAAATTCAATTCGACTAACATTTATTTGGCATCTAATACTGTGATGTGCTATTTGTTGTCATAAAGGAAGGCTATACTCTTAGGGGGATTGCAATTTAAGGGAGGCAAAACATACATAGTAAACATAAAGCATTTTGTGCTGATAGAAGGACAAGGACAGTGCTGTAGGAGAACAAGGTGGGGGAATATCAATGATGACTAGAAGGAGAGGGTTTTGGGACCTCTCTCTGGAGGAAGAGGGATTTGAGCAGGGCCTTCAGGGACTTTGGGTAGACAAAAAATAGGCAAAATCATGCTAAGCAAGGAGTATGTAGGTTGTCTGTCTATATATGATTAACAAATTGCATCTAGTTTATGTACTCAGAGATCCTCCCATTTTTAGTAAAATCACTTCCTTTAAAAATATTGTTTTTAAAAACCAATATTTACACACTGGTCTGTATGTTCTTGAGGCTGCACCCCAGGAAAGAATCCTAATTGTATGAGAGGAGGCAGCAATAAGTCTGCTTTTAACGTAAGACCTTATGCAACCGAACATACGGAGCAGAGTCAAAATCCCCATTCTGTTGTCATTTTAACTTAATTAAGCAAGCTAATTTTTTCAGTTAGGTAATCCTTTTCAAGGTCAATATCTAGATTCATTATAATTTCATGTCACCAACATAGCTTCATGTTCCAAGCACATAATTTTCTTAGACTTTAGTATACATTTGCTCCTATGACCTGGCTCATGCTGTTTTTAGTGGCTTAAAACTTTTTTTTTTTTAAATAGCAGTGGCCTCTCAGAAGTCCAATAAGTAAAGCTACTTGGGTTGAAGGTAGTGAGGAGTGGCTCACAGCCCCTGCCATTAAGCCCCCTCGGCTCCCTGCACTGAACCCGACACCTGCCTGGAATTTTCAGGGCTCTGTGGATGAATTTATAAAACACTTCCCTGGAGTCCTTAACTGCCAGCCATTGCCCAATTCATTCACCAGAACCTTGCTCTGTCAAAAAGTCTGGACATAAAAGTAATATTCTTCTATCTAAAACATTCAGAACTTCTAGGTATTCCTTTTCTCCTCTAGGGACCTGTTTGGACATTTATTAAATAATATACAAATAAGTTATTCATTCTCCTATTAGTGATGACTGGAAATGACAATGAAAGATTATGTTAAGAAGATAAGTTACAGAAGTTAGATCACTTAAACTAACAATTATTTAGTGCTAATACTTAGGTAATAGTAGCAGTTACACTCAAATTGCAGCAAGATGGATTTATGTAAAATATGTGAGGAAACATATAACTAAACATTTTAAATGAGACACCACGGGTTTCATTCCCTTAAAAATATTTAAGATGTGTAAATGTCTATCTATACTGAGAAGATGAGGCAAATCTTCAGAGAAAGGAATATATTTTGTAGGTTCTTTTTACTACCACAAGTCTCTACTTGGTTTTTCATAAACCTTTATTCAGAGGCTTATCTCTCATAGTTTGGGAAAGAGTATTAATTCCCTTTTCCTATCTTACTTCTCCCATACTCAATACAAAACCAGGTAGTTTGTCACCCATAAGTATAATTTTTTTGCCACATGGACGAAAATATCAGACAGGTTATAAAAATTATGGTGGTAAAAATAGAAACAGCCTTGTTTATGTATTCAAGTGGTAGTTTGATCACAATTCTGCAACAAAACTTTTTGTTCACCCAGAACTGGGAATCACAACTAGCAGCCTATGACTGAGATACCAAGTATCCCTAAAACACATATTTAAATGGCAGTAGGTATTAAGAAGGGAAATTATGACCACATCAAATTTTCCTTGATGGATAGAGTTCTTGTTTTTCCTCTGGCACCAGGTCTCTCTACTATACTGTAAGTAAGTTACCCTAAAGGCCTAGAAGAGTGAGCAATAACCTATCTCAGCTGTTGATCAAGACCTCCCAGGATTCATAGATGATTTAAGATTTCATTAAATTGCTGTAGGGCACCAGCTGCCCCTTCCACAGTTGCAACTAGTTGGTTTATTGCAAGCACTGATTCTCCATGAAGAATGTTAGCTAGTTCCCACCAGGTTAATGCCCATTCCCCAAGTACAGTTAGCTTGTCCAGGTGTGCTTCTAATTGGCCAGTTTCCAAATCAGATGCCAGTTCCTGGCCATTTCTGCAGAAATAGTATCGGATAACAAGTGGTATTTGTGCCTCATTTCTGAGAAGGTGGCTGGTTGGGCAAAGTCCCATTTTCATCAGGCTTAGATGAAGAGATAAGGAGTAACTTCATTGAGGTGCTCAGAGATATCCCTGCATCCTTGGAGAAGCTTCTAGAAGTGTAGTCTCTGTTGAAAATGTGCAAACAGGCTGCAAAAGAAAGTAAGCATGTCAACAGAAAGCATCAAAACTACCAATATGAAGTAGGTCAAAGACAGGTTTGTGGTTTTTTAGCTAAAGTCAGAAGACAGCATACATTTCCCTGCTTTGATATCATAAGACTAGATCTTTCTCTGTTTTTCAATTCAGGTCAAATTTCTACTGAAGGTAAAAAATTGATAACAACAACAACAAAAGCAGTTCTAAAAAAGTAGTCAACACTCTCCTGGTAAGTCCTTTCTTTTTAGATTTTCTTCTGGAAGCTTCTTTATCAAATATCTACCTTATTATCCTGTCATCAGAAATAGGCAAGATACTATACTGGGACCCTATGTGAGAAAACTTAAGCATTTGAACCTGCAACTAGTTTTTCTTCAAAGCCTAGGTGTGCTGGAGGCAACACACAGGGCAACACTTCAGCTTGTGTTGTAACATTACTATGGACTGAACTGTGTCTCCCCCAAATTCACATGTTAAAGCTTGAGCCCTCAGTGTGATGGCACTTGGAGATGGGGCCTTTGGGAAGTGATTAGGTTTAGATGAGGTCATGGGGGTGGGGTCATGAAGGTAGCAATCTGTAAGCCAGGAATAGGTTCCTTGACAGACACTTAGATTTTGGACTTTCCAGACTCCAGATGTGTGAGAAATAGATGTCTGTTCTTTAAGTATGGCATTTTGTTAGGGCAGCCTGAGCTAAGACAATATTGAATGAAACCTCATTCTGTTTTCTGGTGTCTTATTAAAAGGAAGGTTGGGGGTAGGGGATTGGGAAGAAGGATTTCAAAAATTAACAACAGACCTCACTAACAAAGTTATTGCTTTAAGCTAGAGTTTTAATGATGTAGGGTTAGGCAAGCACTAAGAGTGCTGGATTTGTCAGAATCTGCCTCATCAGTGAAATCTGAGAACTATAGCTATGAGCTGAATAGGATCCTCTTAGATGTTGGGCTCTGTCTCTCTGAACCTGAAATAAAAAGCTGTTATTCTGAATAAGTGAATGTATGCAGCTTTAAATCTCCAGACATACTCATACCATATTCTAATATGAAATCACCCGTGGACTAGCAACCTCATCCCAGAAACAACCTCTAGTGGGGACTCCTTGACTATGCAGTGAGTGTGATGCAAGGTTCAGACAACTTTAGAGATTACTGTCTGGATTTTTTGGTCCCTGTCAAACTGATCGAGGGCATAAAATCTTAAATCCCTATTAGTCATCTCAAGTTCTAGAAACTACGAGGTCATTAAAATGGAGTTTGGTAGAGTTTCAGGGTGACCTCCCAAAATGTAAACATTTGCATGCATTTGCCTGAGATGAAAGCATGTAGATTCCCAGCATGTAGCCCTAATATTTCCAATACCTGATGATGAGGTCTGTTTCAAGGGGTCCTCCAGGTTCTCAGTCTTGGGAGCCATGTTGCTGACATCCTAGATAACTTGACCTTGCTTGTTGGACTCCTCAGTTTGACCCTTCTGAGTCACGTGCTTTCTTGTGCTGAGGTCCTACAGGTCGTCCTGGACTGTGGTTTCTTTTCTGCTGAAGGCATCCAGATCTGGTGGACTCTGGTTCTGGCATCTGATCTGAACAGCATTACCCCTCACATTTTCAGGATCCAAACAGAGGTGTGTGCAGATAAACTGATCTATAGCTTTCAAAGGTTGTATATGGGAATCTACCACTAACTGTACTGGTATCAAGCTGTGTTGAGAATCTGCATTTGGTACACATTGGTATTCAGGCTGCTTTTGCCTCATTTACTTTGCCTCAGCATGTGTTATCATGACATTGGATTGTTCAGGTGGTGCTCAATGTCTTAAGCCTCCCAAGAATGGAAAGGGGTTCTTGCCTTGACCATGAGACAGCTACAGCTCTCTAGGGCTAGACACATTGGAGACAAGAAGGAAAATGAACACATAACAAGAAAAATAAGACAGGAAAGGTACCTAACATCTGGTAGCAGGCCTAATAACTCCTAGAAGGTCTCTGGTGGACTCCTTACATTTTATGGGGCCAACTGCCTCTGCTGACCCTGACTACAGGGGTTTGGCCAGATGTCAGGCTATTAGACCATGTGCAATGGCAAGTGACTCTCCAGGAAAGAATTTAGTGCTGCCCCATGTTTTCCTATGAACAGCTATCAAACTAGGCTAGAAAAGGATGTGTAGTTTGGGAGACTTTGATCAGCAGTAGAAGACCTATGACTTCAGGAGTACCATAAACTGAGAACACAAAGGGGGTGAATTTCTCCAGGAAAAAATGGGTGGTAAAGGAAGCAGCACTGAATTTTAGAGAAAGGCTAACCATCCCATCTGTGTAGTTAAGCAAGATGAACTAAGTGCACTGCCTCCACAACTGCATCCTTAAGTAACCACAAGCTGAGAACAGGGAACAAGGATAGAGAACACAGAACTGTGGATATGATTCTGGCCTCTATTTTGAATTTGGGCAAGAAGGTTATGTTAGAAAATTCCATATCTATGAAATAATCTAAAATCTTTAAACCTTCATAAGGAAGGTAGCCTTCCTCACTGAGTAATTGCTCCTCCTGTCTGAGAATAAGTTGGGACCCTTTGCTAAATTAATGACCTTACAAGTGTTATAGAGAACCCCCTGATGGTCAGGGTAGTTTTTGTTCCATTTTCTCTGAGGAGATTCCTCGGCTTGGTACTGTAGGACCAGAACTATTGCAGTCGCAAGGAGTTCACAGCTTTGCAGTGAAAGTGGGGATTTCGTCTCAGTCTGCTTTCCAGAACTGGGCTTTGTTAGAGAATTGGTAGAGTTACTATCCAAGCTATTAAGGGCCTAGACCACATGGTTTTAACTGTCTTTCAGTTTCACAAGTTACCAATTAATCCAGATTGGTCTGAGAGGACTTTAGAAGCTTAGGATGCCTTTCAAAGATGGGGAGGATCTGTAAATGAGGGTCAGGTTGGGAGCGCCGGGTTTTTGTGCATAGCCACACTTCCTCGCCCAGACCATAGCACTTCCTCTATGACTGGTGCATCTGAAACAGTCTGGTGACTTGACAAGTGAGGACAAGAACTTAGGATATAGTACTACTCTAGTCTTTTCAGTATATAATAACTTTGGTGATCTGCTAGTAAAGTAGCTCAGGAGGTGGAACACTGTGACTTAGGCTTTTCAACTGCATAGTCCTCGTCCCCCCTGCCTACCCACACTTTGAGGTTTGGACATTCACTGACTCTGTACCATGCTCAGGCTGCACGCTCAACTGTATGTTGTGTCATAGTGACAGAAAGAGCATGGCTGCTCGACAGAGTCCACAGGTGCAGGTGACAACTCTGGTTACTAGTCGTCACTAATAAAGATTCTGGTCACTAGCTATGACTTTGAGCAAGTGATTGTTTAGACTTCAATTTCCTTATCTGAAAATTGGGGATAATATGATGTGTCTTTCAGATGTATTATGAAAGAAAAAAACATGTGTAAAACAACTAGGAAAGCATCTGATATACAGACAATCTATATATTGATATTCATATTACTTTTAGAGGAATATTAGCATAGATATGAAAGAGATTATAGTACTTGTCTAACAAAGTTTGTTTTTAAAACATAGTTTTAATTAGCCTTTGTGGAAATTTCCTCCATTCGACACAAATATAGAAATAAATAATCCTCAGTAGAAAATATTTGTATCTCACCTTAGTTGCTTCATTGATGATTCGGAACCTGGTGCTGTCTTTGCCTATCGTGACTGAATCAAGTAATGCCTGATAAGTGGACTTCTTGAAGAGCTGCTGTTTCTGACGCCTAGGGTATAGAGTACACAGATGCCTGAGAATTACTGTGATTGTCTGCACCCAACAGACTATATTACCATGATGAAGTCATTAATATTTACTGTGATAGTAAGTGAATTGGGGACAGACAGTATTAGTACTCCAATAAAGTATTAAGAGGAGTACTTTGTTATTATAGTGCTAATAAAATTAGTAGTAATAAGAAAAGTGCTAATAAAATTGTTCAATATAACACTATTCAAGGATGGTATTTTGTCCCTTTTATTGAGAAGGTAGGGCAGTTTTCATGGATGACATTTACTAGCTTATTAATTTCACTCTTTCCATGCAAGGTATACTTTAATAGAAACTCAATAATTCTAAAGGAAATTTAGTATAATTTAGTGATTTAACAAGGTGACCAGGAGTTCACTATAGAGTTCCTTCTATAGCACTTGTTCAAATTAAAATGATATGATATTCTTCTTCTAGAGCAGGTGAATAAATTAGAAAGTTATAATGTATGATACAACTTTTGGTGATTTCAATTTTGGGATCACATAAGGCTCTGGAGAAAAAGGCAATCTTACAGAGTGGTGATAGAAGTACAAAACGATACAGTCCTTGTGGAGGGATATCTGGTAACAGCTACAATTTCAAATATATTTACTCTTTGACACAGTAAATCCATCCTGAGAAATTTGTCCTATAAATACACTTGCATGTGAAGGAAATGACATATGTATAGCTTTTCAATGTGGCAGTGCTATTATAGTAAAACAACCCCCAAACCTAGCAATATGAGAACAACTGAATGAATTATAGTACCATCTACCCAAATGGAATATTATATAGCTCTAAAAAGAGAAGACAATCTCCATATACTCATGCAGAACTCTTTAGAATAAATTATGAAGGAGAAAAAAAAGAGGTAGTAGTAGATATAAAAAACTACTTGGTATAGGAAGGGTGGTGATGTGAGAATATATCCAGTCAACGAAAAGAAATGCTGGAAGGATAAATAAGAGGTTAATAAATCTGGTTAAAAGGACAAGATGTGGAATTGGGTAGAAGGGGACAGGAATGAAAATACTTTTCAATGTACATCTTTTCATTTATTTGATTTGTGAACCATGTAAATGTATTATCTACTCAAAGACATAAAATTTTAACATCAGTTTATAAAAACACTGACTTTTAAGAAAACTGCCTGTTTACTAAAAAGTTTAGATACCACAGTAGTAAGTATATAAAGTTAAAGGCAAATGTCTGATAAATTCCTTAATTATTGAATTTCTTAATTGGTCCTTTCCTTAGAAAGCCTATCAGTTCTCAAAAATTTACTACACATCAGTCTTTTTTTGAAATATTGTCAGAAATGTTTTCATCTAAGTAATATATTTCCTCTCCTTACCTGTAGAAAGCAATCTTGCTGCAGTCTTTGAAAATGCTTTCATCCACAGCTTCATCTTCAACACTAAATAAACAGACATTTTAAAAAAGTTATTTTAGCACTAGTTGGTGTGGCTCTGTGGATTGAATGCCATACTGAGAACAGAAAGGTCTTCTGGTTCAATTCCCAGTCAGAGCACATGCCTGGGTTGCAGGTCAGGTCCCCACCTCAGGGTGTGTGAGAGGCAACCAATCCATGTATCTCTTGCACATTGATGTTTCTCTCCCCCTTTTTCTCCCTCCCTTCCCCACTCTCTAAAAGTAAATAAATAAAATTTTTAAAAAAAATGAAAGTTATTTTACATAAGGTTTGTGAACCCAATTTTTGTACCTTCTCTAACTATAGTATAAGCAAGGGAAATAGCCCTGGTTGGGATGGCTCAGTGGATTCAGTGAGGGCCTGTGAACGGAAAAGTTACCAGTTCGAATCCCAGTCAGGGCACATGTTTGAGTTGGGGCCAGGCCCCCAGCTGGGGGCTTGCAAGAGGCAACCTATGTTCTCTTGCACATGTTTCTCTCTCTCTCTTTCTCCCCACCTTTCCCTCTCTCTAAAACCAAACAAATAAAAATCTTTCTTTTTTCAGGGAAGCGCACGAATGCAGTCCCCCACTATCACAAATTATGCAAATTTCCCACATTGGGGAAATCACAGGAGCTGGTACACCTGAGTGCAATGGGTGAGCCTTGTCCAGGGAAAACCACCTTCATGATCATGGTATCTCCCCTGCCAGGTAAGTATAATAAATAAAAATCTTAAAAAAAAACAAAAACCAACCATGGGAAGTAAACCTCTGCAATGCAAAATTGTGCTGTGGCCACAACATAACACACTAACATGTGCTATAGAACAAGATCCTTTTTAAAGTCATCCAAGGTAAACAATAAAACATGACATTCTGGGATTACTCTGAAAGCAATAAAAAAGAGTACTGTTACTTATGAGGAAGGATTCTTTCAAAATAATGAGTAAAAATGGTGATGGAAGGAGATTTGGGGTGGTGAATACAAAATACAATACTCGTATAAACCAATGTCACCCCAATAAATTCAATTAAAAAAGTAAAATAATCGAAACAGGTGGAATAATATGTTTCCCAAAATTGCTCCATCAAGTTGAGCCCTGCCAGTACTATAGCAGTTATCAACAGGTAGTTATAAAACAGTGGTCCAGGAACTACCCTCACTTCTTTTAAGTTTGTTTTTCAGATCTAAAGCCAAGTCACCAACCACAGAGACCAACTCAATACCTGATTGGGAAAGTCCCGTCCCGCATCTCATGAGTGTTGCACAATACCAGGTGATGCTTCGCTTTGCTGACATATACTCAGACATCAGTGTTCCAAAAAAGGAGAAGCCTGCTAACCAACTCTCTGGTTAACCCTATCAACTTCTGTGTATAAACACTGAGCCCCACAGTTGGTGCTTAGAACCTGGAACCTATCTCAGTGTTCTTGCCCTCTGCAGAGCCTCAATAAATCTGCCTGTGTGTTATTTTTTATTCTTTTAAAAAAGATTTTATTTAGTTACTTTTAGAGAGAGTGGAAGGGAGGGAGAAAGAAAGGGAAAGATACATGTATCGGTTGCCTCTCGTGGGCCCCCTACTGGGGACCTTGCCCACAACGCAGGCTTGTGCTCTGACTGGGAATTGAACCAGAGAACTTTGCTTCACGGGAGGACACCCAGCCCACTGAGCCACACCAGTCAGGGCCTGCCTGTGCTTTTATCAGTGTCCCTGGTCTAAATTCTTTTCTACCAGGAGATAAGAACTCAAATTCTTCACTAACATAATAAGCGAAGGCTATCATTACAGTAATAAAATCTGAAGGAACAAAAACAAACAAACAAAAAAACACCTAAATCAAACAAACAAAAACAATCTGTCCATTTGTTTATTCAACAAAATATTTTCAGGACATTCTTACTGAATACTGAACTCTGAGGAAGATATGAAGGGCTGTGTCCAAGATTTCTGTGAGAGCCCAGCCCACAATCACAGATCTACCTGGCATGCTACAGCAGAGCATGTGCAAAGGACAAGAACAGGAACAGGTGTAGGAGAAAAATTATTCAGTTTTAATGATGATGCTGACCACCTAGGTGTCAGTGCTTTTTTCAGACCAAGTGTCCAGAGAGCTGTTTCTGGCATAGAACATGAACAAGAAGTATGGATAGTGCTTATGGAAATTATGTATTTAACATATACTCACTAAGACAACTACAGGATATAAGGGGGGTAGGAACCATTGGCTTTCATGCAGAGGTGTGGCAGAATGCAGTTTCAGTCAGCATGTCCATGATTAAAGCTATGACTGAATACCATTTTCAAAATATTATGAAAACAAGCCTGGGCAGATACATTTGGCCATGCGAAAAAAATAGTTTATCAGTGTTTCTATTTCTTTTAATCAAGTGTGCAAAGATTTAAGAAATTTGCAGTCTCCTCTTTCCAGCTTTGAAGAATGAGCTCTGGAGTAATACGGGAAGAGGTGGGTATAGCCATAGTTGATAAGCAACATGCTTGAAATTTCATGTTCTGATCACAGCTCTTCCAGTTTTGTTAACTATCCTGAAAGTATTTTAGGAGGGTCTAGATATTAATATCCACTAATCCCTGGGGAACTGAGAGAAAAAGATAAAGTACCCAAATATAGAGCATGCACATATAAGAAGTGGAATCAAACAACAAAACCTTCAAAGCCAGAATTTTGCTTTTAGGAACTTCCAGGTACTATCCCCTGCTTCCGTGGGCCCTGGAGTCTGTCCCTTCAGGATCACTGGGTCCTCACCTGATTTCCTCTTCTACGGATGGTTCCATGGCTTCCAAGTCACTTCACAGGCTCCCAGCACTTAGTCTGGTGGTCTTTTCAAGCGCGGAGATGTCTCTTTCGAAATTACCACCAGCACTTCTCCACCATCAAGTCTCTGGGAAATGGGAGTCCCCTCCAGGTCCTTAAGCAGAGACAACTCGACTCTTCCTCCTGGAACTTCCAGGACAAACGAGTATTTCTACAGGGAATTACTTTATTTAGCAAATATTTCTTGGTAATGGGTGACTGATGAGAAACTGCTTTCGTTAGGAACCGGAAAGGTCTTTGCAGCAGAGGGGGTGTACTCAAAGAGTTCTAGAGGTTGAAAATTCCAGCCTGTGAATCATGAAGTACAGAGATGGTCTGCCTGATTGGGGCGAAGCTTCTGCAGGTCTATCTCAGGGCAGTCACGCCATTTATTGAAAACTGACCGACTTTCTCACTGTTTTTAATTTTGAGTGGGAATGCCAGCCAGGTCTTTGCTGGAGCTTTATGTTCTCCGCTCAAACTCTACAGCAGCATCATACTTTTCAGGGCTAGAAAGGACTTTTTAAAGAGGTTATCTATTACATAATCCAGTTTACTAATCGCTTATACTGCACCACCGCCAAACTTCAGTCTTTATTACTGCCAGAAACTGGGAACTCATGACTAGACCCCAAACAGGCAAACAGATTACTTTGGCTTTCCCAGACTTCTGGCCCGAAGTCTGACTTTGACTTAAGCGGCATAAGGGGCAGTAGGAGGAAAGAGCCACACACTACACGGGATGCTTACCTGGTTCCCAAACCCGTTAAGGACTAGGAGAGAGAAGAGCTGGTTGAGGCGGAGAGGTTTTTGGAGATTCTAGCTCGCTAAGGTGACCAGGTTTTGACAGAACGACGCCTGCGCAGTTTTTCCACATGCTCCCATCAAATAGTGACGACTTCAGGAAGGAGGGGCCGCTGAATCGCCAAACAATGCTCGCGAGGTTTCGAGGATCCGGCTGCTCCGCCCCCCACCTTCCCCAGAGCAGAGCCGGAAGAGGGCGAGATGAACCGGAAGAAGGTGAAATGCTTTCGGTAGACGCTTCATGACTGGGAAGATGGCGGCCGCTGCGTGGCTTCAGTTGCTGCCTGTCATTCTTCTTCTTCTGGGGGCTCAGCCATCTCCACTGTCGCTTTTTGGTGTCGGACCGGTACTCGTTGCCGCTACTGACCGATCCAAGTGGCATATTCCAATACCATCGGTGAGTGTTCCGAGGCAACAGCCTAGGGGAGTGAGAGGTGGGGCTACGGCGGCCCAAGGGGTCCATGAAAGTTCTGCAGAAGTTGGCTTCCCAAGGGGTGGGATTGCCCAGAGCGTCCTTGTCTCTGGTTAACGGGACCCCCCCCCCCCCCCACCACCTCCCTGGAGCGCAAAGCCGGGAACCTCTATGCGTAGAGTAGCAGGAATGTCAGCGCCACATCAGGAGTGGAGTGGTGGAACGGTTTCGTAGCAGAGACCTTTCAGTGCCTGACTTGAGACAGATAAGCTGAAGTTTTACAGAATTCAGTGACCCCGCATTGGATGAGAGGAATATGTACATAGGCGTCTTTCTTCCCTTCTGCACTTTTGTTGTTGCTGAATAGTTCTACTTACGAAGTTGTACGATTTAGTTTGAACTTTGAAATGGTTATTCTAAGCTTTGCCGTGCAATTAAGAAGCCCAGGGATAAAAAAAATATGTATTCTAGTACGTGAAGGCTAAAATGGAAGAAATAGTATTCTAAAATTTGATATGGTAAGGTTAATCTTTCGTTTGGACACTTAACTAGATAGGTTTACCTTTTCTGCCTCCTAACCCCTTTTGTACTTCATTTGAATAAGAGCTGTAGTCCAGTGAGCAAACAAAAATTAGATGCAGACAGGAAATGCCAAAAAATCATTATTAGTCAAGTTAAAACCATGGTGCCTTTTTGTTTCATTCTGTTCTCCTCACTGGTTGTAATGTCCAAATCTTATCTGAGCTTTTATATGGCAAGCACTATAGCTTTTGTTCATTTGGTGAAGATCTTCGGTCCATGAAAGTTCTGCAGAAGTTGGCTTCCCAAGGGGTGGGATTGCCCAGAGCGTCCTTGTCTCTGGTTAACGGGGACCCTCCCCCACCACCACCTCCCTGGAGCGCAAAGCCGGGAACCTCTATGCGTAGAGTAGCAGGAATGTCAGCGCCACATCAGGAGTGGAGTGGTGGAACCGTTTCGTAGGAGAGTAACAAATACCTAAAATACCCAATTTTAGGTATTTGTTACTAAAATGAGTTAAATCTGGCTATTTGCTCATAGAATAGTTTATTTGAAGAAATTACTGGTTATTCTGACCAGTGATGAATGAGTAAAGAGGATGATGAATTGATTAAGGTGTACCTTCTATGAAGATTTAAGTTGGGACTTCTAGCTGCCTGCCTTCCAGAGATCTTGCCTCTCTCATGGCCTGGTGGGGTGCGGGGTGGGGGGGGTGGGGGGTGGGTGGGAATGACTGCACCAAGCTTCAGCATCCTGTGGTTTGGATATGGTGGAATTTTACTAAAAGGAAGGCTAGTGATTCCCTTTTTGTTAAAAAAAAAAACCTAACTTGAACATTTTATAAATGTAGGTTTTTATGCCACTTATATTCTGCCTTGGGAATTAAAGTGATCTCATGCTAATTACCTTTCTCTCCTTTATCTTTGCAGGGGAAAAATTACTTTAGCTTTGGAAAGATCCTCTTCAAAAATACCACTATCTTCCTGAAATGTGAGTTTTTGTATTTTGTGAAGTTTTTGAGTTCTTGAGTGATTTTAAACTTTTAAATTACCTATTTTCTACTTCTAATGACTTATTTTCAACATAAGTTCTGAAATTAAAAGTCCAGCACTATCTAGGCATAAGGATATGTGTATAACTGAGGTCCTTTCACTGAATAATCTTCAGAATACTTATTTGTATGAATTCTACTTTCTTCTCGTTTTTCTGGTGTTTATACAGTAGACCCTTGAAAAATGAGGAGATCAGGTCCTCCCATGCCCCGTGCAGTCAAAACATCCACATACAACTTTTGACTCTCTGAAAACTTAAGTTGTTCAGTATCTGTGGGAGTTAGATTGGTTCTAAGACCCCTTGCCCCAGATGCTTGTGTCCCCTATATAAAATGGTGTAGAACAATGCTTACAGTCAGCCCTCTGCATCTGTGAGCTTCTGACTGCTGAAGAAAACAGTACAGTACAGGTATTTATTGAAAACATCTATGTATAAATGGACCCATGTAGTTCAAACCATCTTGCTCAAGGGTCAGCTGTTGGGTTAGACAAGTTGTGTTGGTTGATTGCCGGCATGGTGTCTTGATCTGTTCTAAGTTACAGAGATACCACTGATTTTGCCTTGGTGTGCCTGTTAGGTATTTACTGAACCCATGACGTAGGTTTGTCAGGTCATTGGCTCCAAATGAATATGTTGAGTAAATCTTTTGTTTACAAAAGGAGTATTTTTACCACTCAGATCTTTGCAAGAGGAAACTCAAAGACATTATCAGGAAATAGGGATTATGTAGAACAAAACCAGTCTGTCCGGTTGAAAAACTACTGTCTCTGAATCCAGAATATCCCATTGTATATTAAAGAAAAGCTTCCTTTTATTTCTGAAACTGGCTTTATTGTAGAGAACAAATGATCATGGGCAGCTCCATTTTAAGATCAGGGATTAAAATCTTAAATCATCCATATGTGCTTCTATGCATATCTGTCTCTGTAAAATGCAGAGTTGGAAGTCATAGTTTTATGATTTCACTCTTTTAATCATTTAGTAAATAGTTACTAAAAACTATGTGCTAGGCACTGTTTGAGTCAGCAGAGAAGAGATAGAAAAGGCTCTTGTTGAGTTTTAGTCTTCTGGGGGTGCAGGAGGCAGGTAGAATTCTATGAAGAATATACTGTGTCCATGACAATATAATCTCCTGATTGATGACTTAAATTTGACTTAAATGTACTTTGATACACTGGTTTTTCTTATGAGTTGCTTTACTAGGTAACAGTAGCTTTTAGGAGTAGAAGTATTTTGTCTTTTGTCTGACATTCTGTATGCTATCCTTTCCTTTTATTATGTGTAGTCTTTTTTACCTATATTTTGATCTAATGATATTTTGCTAAGTTACACAAGCTACATATTTTGAACTGTCTGCATTTCATTGTTTTTGGAGGATTTGCGGCTCCCTAAAAGCTACATTATCTTTCACTTTGCTTGTGTGCTTTCTGATATTTACCTTGTCTCTGATCTTAAACTTTTGTGGGTTTGTTATATATAGCTTTCCATGAAATCAGCAGGAACTTTTTCATTATCTCTTAAAGCCATTTATTCAAAGTTCTTACTGGTGTCTTTTAACATTAATAGTAGTATTTTTGCAGCCAAGTTTCCCTGCAGACCTCTTGTTTGGGGGAACCTTTTACTGGATTTTACTTATCCCTGCTCTGTATGGTTCTTCTGAATAGTTCATAGCAAGATTGTAAAATTCTTTTTATCATTCCCATAAATTCTGTTTAACATCAGATTTTTGTGTTATTTTAATTGAGCCTTGTAAAAGTGTGTCATTTAAAAACTAGTTTGAGAAAACAATTTAAAACAGAAAAGGGAAAGGTTATAACTTGAGGTGTGCTTCTTTTGTTAAGAACCAAAAGTAGCTTCCTAGATGCAGTCATGTTTATCTTTGTTTTTTGCACAAAGTAGGTATCCCGGGTATATTTTCCCTTCTACGCAAGAATCAAAGAATGACTTTCCCTGGTGAAACAGCTAATCAGTCATATAGTCAGATTTACATTTCCAAGTCTTCAGACTAATACCTTGATCTACTAGAATATTGTGTTCCAGACTATGTTTAGAAAGTTATATGAGGCTTTTATGATTTCATCAAGTTCCTTGAGGCCTCTCATAGGTGGGTTTTGAACACAATCTAATACTCTTTTATTTTTGCTTTTGCAGTTCCTACCTTCCTTGGCCAGGTTTGCTTTATATTCATAGTTTTTTCTATCCAATCTTAATATCTGCAAAGATTTAGGCCATGAATTTTTTCCCCACTGTTTTAAATGTTGCCTTGTGGCATCTCTAATGTTGTTACTCCTTATCTCTCCAACTAGAATGTATCCTTTTTAAGGGTCTTGGTGTAACATAGTATTTAAGTGCTCTGTTTAACAAATATTTGAGTGATAATAGAAGACTGGTTTTAACTTAGGACTGCTTTATTTCCACGTTTTTCCCAACAGAGAACCACAAATCAAGGTTTTAAAGCAAAAAATAGATATAGTTTCAAAGGTTAAAAACTGCTTAACTGCTTTTTCTTTCTGTGGGTAACATATTTAATTTATTCAAAGACCATCCAGTTCCTTCTGCATATTACTTCATTACCTTCTGTTTGGAGGAGGGATGGTCTTTGAGTATCTCATTTTGGCAGGAAATAAATGGAATGTGGGGTTTGGGAATCATCTTTGATTCACAAAGATTCTTATTTTATAGTTGATGGAGAACCTTGTGATGTACCTTTGAATATAACCTGGTATCTGAAAAGTGCTGATTGTTACAATGACATCTATACCTTCAAGGTAAGGAACATAAAATTACAGACTTTTCTTGGACTTTAGAGATCATGAGGTCCCAACCTGAGAGAGGGAGGAGTGTCCTGTGAAGGAGAAAAACTGAAAGTAGGATCCATGCTTCCCAAGTTACAGGCCTAGCTGCCAGCAAATCTCAAACTTTCTAGTCTTAGAACTCTTACATTTTTAAATATTATGCAGACTCCAAAAGCCTTTGTTCATGGAGGTTGCTATATTAGAAATTAAAACTGAGAAAATAGAGAAATATTTATTAATTCAAAATTAACAATAAGCAATAATAAAAATAAATAATAATAAAATTATTAGAAGTATTCAGTTCAGCCAAACGG